ACGACGTGAATAGCATTTATAATTTTAAGCTGAGGAAGTTGTCTGCAAAAATAAATTTTGATACCCAAAATAACAATTACCCGCGGATAAAGTCGCGGGCAAAGCTAGTTTTTTTTATTTTATTTTTTTTATTTATTTAGCACTCACAACTTTACAGTGTTTCAATAAACTTACAAGTAACTAATTTTACATGTATCACGTTGTGAGAGCCTGGTGCCTGCTGTAGGTATAATAACCTGTGATACAAGTCACCAGCCCCCCTCGCCGCGAGCTCACTATAAAATTATTTGGACAATATAAAAAAGAACTTAGTACCTAGAGTTACAACTTAGAAAAGCCTCTGCGTTTTTATTATATATATATAAGAGTGTAATTGTGTTGGTGTGTAGGTATGTATATGTGTATGTTGCATGGGTGTAATATCCGTATTTGTTATAATTGTTATGTTTAGAATTTAGCTGATAGGGGTGAGAAACCTTTCTGTCTCTGTGTAATTGAGTGATTTTAAGAAGTTTGTGATATTTTTTTTACAAAGATATAAGTTTTGACTATATATTTTAAGGTTGTAATTTAGTTTATTATAGAGAAATGGGCCAAGATAACAGTAAAAGTGTTGGGAATGTGAGGTACGGTAGGTGATTGATGGGCAGACATTATATTTTCGTCGTTTATTTTTTAGGAGATTTGGTTCGTATGGTAGCTCTGAATGTTTCTTCAATATGATTTGTAAGATAAATAATTGACGCACAGTGAGTACACCCCACATTTTGTACAGTTCAGTTGTAGGAGAACGATAAGGAAGATTTGCGCCTACTTTAAGGATACATCTTTGCGTTCTCTCTAGTTCAATGAGGTGAGTCTTTGCACTCCCTCCCCAGGAAATAATACAGTATCCAATTACGGACTGAACTATTGCGTAATAGACCATTTTGATAATATTTATATCTGAGATGTGTCTAAGTTCTTTAAAAATGTATATAAGTTTTCGAATTCTAATAACTAGTGTATTTATATGCGATTTGAAATTTAGACATTGGTCAACCATTACGCCAAGGTATTTAAAATGCTCCACTCTATCCAGGAAATAACATTTGCAGTTTGGCGTCATTTTAGTACAAGTATGAGCTTTAATATTAAGGTCTGGACCTGGTAGTAGGTTAGGTTTGTGGGCAAAAGCCATATATTTCGTTTTTGTCACGTTTAGTGTTAGTTTATTACATTGAAGCCAGTTTAAAACTTGATCTAGTCCTGACTGAGCGCGTTTAAAGACCGTCGCCCAATTTTCTTCTGTGAATAAAAGTGCAGTGTCATCGGCGAAGGTAATAATTTTGCACTGGGGTATCTTAAGACTGCATAGATCGTTCAGATAGACCAAAAATAGCGTTGGGCCGAGTATGCTGCCTTGTGGTACGCCGTAATTTAGTGGTAGGCTATCGCTTAGTAGATCTTGCCCTATAATCCTTACTCTCTGAGTTCGGTCTTGTAGGTAGTCTTCAAAAAGTTTTAGAGCAATACCCCTAACTCCTACTGTCTCAAGCTTTTTAATCAGATAAGGAATGGAAATAGTATCAAAAGCTTTGGCTAGGTCTAAGAATATAGCAATACACTTTAGTTTACTATCCAGATTTAGTATAGTAGTATTTATGAGATCATGTACAGCGTCATTAGTAGCTTTACCACGTCTGAAACCATATTGATTTGGAGAGAGGATCTTATTTGTCTCTAGGAAATTCACAAGTCTGTTATTCATTAGTCGTTCTAGTATTTTTGATAATGTGGGTAATATTGATACTGGTCTAAAATTATTGGGGCTATTTGTGTCACCTCCCTTAAAAATAGGAGTGACGAGTGCTTCTTTAAAGGCTTTAGGGAATACTCCAGTTTCCATTGCAAGATTACAAATATAAGTTATTGGTTTAATTAATGTATTACAGTATCTTTTTATAATACTACTAGTTATTAAGTCTTTGCCAGATGCAGATTTATTCTTTAAGTTTTTTATAATAGTATGAACTTCAACTTCATTACAGGGTAGCAGAACAAATGAATTTAGGGATGAACAAGTAGGATTTCTTGTTTGACAACATAGTGTATGTTGTTCAGATTCAGAGTTGTCAGTAATAATTTGTTCTGCGAGTCTTGAGCCCACTTTAACAAAATAGTCATTTATAGCATTTACATTACCAATGGTATTATTAGCGCCCATATGACTTGACATCTTTTTAGGATTATCGTAGTTACTTATATTCTTTATTGCTTTCCATAACGATTTAGTATTGCCTTTAGCATTCTGAATTTCTGTTTTATCAAATTCTTTTTTAGCTTTTTTAATTTGTGAGTTGCAAAAATTTCTGTAGCGCTTGTACGTTAATTTAATATTATCATCATCAGGATTACGTTTAAATTTTTTATATAGGTTATCTCTATTTTTCATTATGCGAAGTAGGCCTTTTGTTATCCAGGGCTTAATTATTCTTTTTTTGAGGGGTATATATTTAAATTTTGTACATTTAGTAATCACGTTGTATAGATAATTTAATAATAAAGTAGTAGCTTCATTTACGTTGGCAACTAGTAATATGTTTTGGAAAATATTCGTTTCTGCTATTGTCTTATCAAGCTCAGTATAATCTATAGTTTTTACCTCCTTTTTGACATATATCTACATATACTCCATATATGACAGTTTCAGTAACGTTTCGATCAATAACGTTTCGTTTCACTCTTGGACGTAGCCGGGATGGACAAATTGTGCTTTAGTATTGTTGTGGTACTTTATTAGTAATATATAAATTCACTAATACCTGTACTTACTTATAATAAATAGAAAAAAACAAAAATGTAGCACTTTCACATCGGATTTTGAGAAAATTCATGAAAAACTCGTATTTTAACATCTCAAAACCTACATGTGGTGCATACCAAGTCGTTTGTCAACATGGAAGGAGTCCGAATGTCAAATAAGCTTAATTTAAGTATTAAATGGGTCTCGCATCTCAAATACCGTTATCGCGAACGCTTTTTATACCTCTATACTTCAAGCCGTACAAAAAATTAGCACTTATCATTACTTCATATTGTGAAAATATTTTTGCATACCGACAGATAGTACATTAGTAAAGAATAAAAGTAATATAACGGTCGGAAATGAAGGAAAGAAAAAATGCAAATTAAAAAACCGAACAACTGTACTGGGCTCAATGATCTAGGGGTCGTCATTTTGATTAACGCGTCTAGCATATATTCGTTGTTCAATTTGAAACGTCTTAAAATAATATCCATTTGGGTGTCTAAACAAGCAAAAACTGCTGACAGGAGTTGGATTCTAAGCGAAATAAAGTATGATCACTTAAATCTAGCTTATTTTCACCTTCCATCAAGCAGACATATTAACCTGTCTCTTCAACTTGTATTCAAGCTTCGACAGATCGGCTTAACGGCTTCTATATTTTCAGGAAGCTATTCAAACATTCAGTATTCACTAAAGAATTAGGAATTCACTATGTGTTCCTATGTATTAAAACTAAGCCAAGAAGCAGCGGAACGCAGCTAGTTAAGTTATACCGTAACCGTAAAATAGTAAAAAATCTATAAACAAATAATGAACCACAATTATAAAGATGTCTACTCAAAACTGTAATTAGTTCATTACATCCTCGTTGCTACAGTTTCGATTATAAAATAGGATGTTTTCATTGGCTAGAATTGACGCCCCTGCGTTCCGTTTCACTGGACAACGTACCTTATTAAACTCACGCAAGGAAGTTAATTTCTAACTACTTTTGAATTGAGGCCATTTTGAAAAAGGGAATATATGTGCTGTAATTTTGCTTAACAAACCCCCTAGATTGTAATGCTGAACACAATATACTGTCTAATTGAAAAAAAAACGTATGTGCCTCGGGTCAACAAATATGCACGATAATAAAAAAAAATATATATCTGGTGACGTTTGTAACTAGTAATCTAGGTGAAACTTATTTAAAAAATAAATAGCTGAATTTCCCTTTGTGTCTGGTAAAATAAAGATAGTGCCGTAACGCACTACGTAACGAAGAGTAAAACGTTACTCTCGGATTAGAAGCAATCACGTCAATAATTTATGAAAGGTATCCTTAACCCGCCCCATAAGTATCGTTTTTTTGTCTATTGTGCAATAAAGATAGAGACAAAAGAAAATATAAAAATTTTAACAAATAAAGAAATAAAAATTGAATAAACAACCCTGGTATCAAAATATACTACGCGATATAATAGATTCGTTGTGCTATTACTGTGTGGTAACTTAATCGTCGGCTTCCTGTAAATGTTTTTTATTAAGAGTATAGTGGAAGTAATTCAAATGGGATATTATTTATGTACTTGTTGTTTTCATGCGCCTCATAGCATATAATTACAGCGACGTCTGTTTAAAATTTTGCTGACAATTTCTTGCGAAAATACTATAACTGTGTGGTAATGTTGGAAACTGGTATGCTTCCTCTACTTATATGTTTGACCTAGCAATTATCTTAATTCCCTTCCGTTTGTACCGGTTTTTAAGTAGTTCGAATTGATATTGTGTTTAATTTTATTTAGGAAATCGTTTAGGAGATTTTTTTTATCACTAAATAATTATAATTAAATGCAATATTTGCTAACTTACCAAATTAGGAATCAATTTGTTTAAGGTAATATGAGAGAAGCTATTGCCTGGTAACGTTTTAGAAAATAACAGTTTTTAATTAAAACGTTACCAATAACTTCCTCTTAAACAAATACAATAACTTAGAATGAAGTTAAATGTAATTATTAAACTGAAACCTAGAAATTGAGTTTGCATATTAAACTTCAGCCGCCATCGAATATGGAAAAACAAAATGGCTACCGTGTATTATATGATTATAAATAATAACTATATGAATTTAGTATTCAAACACAAATTACATATTAATTACTGTTTATCCTTCTTCTCTATAAACGTCTGTTTTTCTTACGTTCTTAAATGGTCTCATTTCTAGGTAATAGCATGCCTGGCTCTCGACTTCCTGCTAATAGGACTCGGGATGTCCATGAGCTTCGTCACCATGGTGTTGCCAGATGTCCTGGATGCGAAGGAAGGTCTATCCTTAAACAAGAAAGAAGCCTCCTGGTTCGGTTAGTTTGACACCTAATTTTTTGCGTTCAGTTATATTCTGTACATATTTAAGCCATACATATTTATTTGTTAAAATTATCTATAATTTTAGATTCGTATAGAACTACTTAATCGCACGGCATATTAACATATACACATGCTTAGATGAAGTAAATTAATTCAATATTTAACGTACTTATCTTATTCAAGTGTAACTAGAATAAATAAATATTTAATTACTTCTTTCCGTTTTAATGTTTATACGATTTTACTTTTATACATGACGCAAAAATTTCCATGAGCAATAAAAACTCCATTAAATTAGGGTCTTGTTTAATACGTAGGACCGTGTAAATAATTTTATAACTGGATCATGAATAAAATATAAGAAGCAGTAAGTATTAGACATTAACTAATCAACTAAATCGATAGATGACATTTATTTTTATTTTATTTTTGACCACAAGTAGTTCGCGTAAAGATACATTGAAAATGTTATATGTCTATCATAAGTCTATCGCTAAATATTTAATATAAAACTTGAAACAATGTTTGCCAGATCAGCTAGTATATGACAAAAGAATCAATTTGTATCTTTGTGTTTCAGGTAGCATGGCGTTTCTCTGCCAGCCTCTGGGCAGCATCTTTTCCGGTCCCTTGCTAGACTATTTCGGGCGAAAGAAAGCCTTATTCCTGGTCAATATACCCCATCTTATAGCGTGGGTGTTGATGTACTGTGCTTGGGATGTGCCGTCCTTGTTCATTGCTAATGCCTTGTTAGGAATTGGCACTGGAGTTATGGAGGCTCCCTCTATAACCTATGTCGGTGAAATAAGGTGAGTTGAAAATAACATTAAATTCACACACGAACGTTGTATAGGGTTGGCAAAGAAAGCAATTGTTAGGGCTACCGACATGTTTTCACCGAAATATAGTATTTTTTTTAACAGATCAGTTCCATAACAAATATATTGTACTCCAAAATATAGTACACAAGATTTTTTAACAACACTCGATAGTTAATATAAACGGCATTAGTAAATGAAAAATTAAGGTGGGTATATAATAAAAATATATGGAATTACTATAATAATGGTCCATAATTGTTATAAAAAGACCTAGAAATTTATGTTAATAATAACAGCACACCATATTAATAATAATACCTACAGCCTGTAGTATCTTTTAACCTGTATCGTCGACGCGTGTTGAGTTTTATAATATACCTAATGACAACCAGTATTTCCTATAAATATTTACATAATTACACACACGATAATTTGCCATAATTAAGTCGGTTAAATTACCGATTTGCATTTGATTTAAACTCATTTTTATTGCTCATAAATCTGACCTTCGTTTAGTTATAACTTTATTATGTCAATTTAATAGTTAAAATTACGGTCAAATAACGTAACCAATTTGGTTTAGCATTAAATCAATCTGACCTTTCATAACAAATGAGAAACACCAAAAATGATTTCTTTTACACGTTGCTAGTCCAACGTGGGCCGTGGACTCGATCCCCACCAGGTCTAACATGTTTCTAATAAATTAATATTTAATTTAAAAATCGAAAATAAATTGAAAAAATTTTCGACTCGGGCAGGACTTGAACCGGCATCGTCAGCTTTCCGTGCTGTTGCTCTACCAATTGAGCTACCGAGTCCTACACCTCATCGTTGAATTTTCATCGGTTCAAGTCCTGCCCGAGTCGAAATTTTTTTTCAATTTATTTTCGATTTTTAAATTATATAGTGCCTTCATGTGCAATAACATGTGAAAAATTTATTCCGAAGCATTTTGCATTTAGTCTGCAAAATCTCAATGCTCGATATCAAATGGGTGGTAGGAATATAAAAATATTGTCCAAAGCACGGACTATCATTCATAGATAAGCTATAATAGCTCGACAGCGCTTCTTTTTTTAGATGATATATGGCCGTGGAATTTCACCTACAAAAAAATGGAGCCCATGCTCGACTAAAATACTCTGTTAACAAAATGCCTACCCAGTTTTATCGATATTGTTATTTAGCGGAAGATTCCGTAAAGTCCTTCTGTCAATGGCCAAAACTATCCATATAAATTCCATTAATGATGCCTCAGTTTCAATCAATGACACCATTATTTAAATAAGCTGACTGGATTTTCTTCACCATTTAGATAACAATCAGTGAATAATGATGAGTGAGAATACCTTAGGTTAGTATTTTAAGTGAAGTTTTAAGTCATAGTATAATTTTAGATTAAATCAATCATATTAATAAATTAATAGTTAAAAGTGGCATTTCTTAATAACATATTTTAATTGCACATTATTATCTCATTTATCCCGTTGAATAAGGACGGGATTTTTAATACTGTCTGTAGTTTACACGAGTATTACACTTTTGAATAAAACACATTATCAACTTAAAACGCGAAATATATTAGTTAAACTTATTTGAAAATTATTTTAACTTCTGTCTGACGTTTCCGATGCTATGCAGCAGTTGTGGTCAGGGGAAACGGGATTTTACCTAATTGCAATAAATACTTTTAATACTCGTTAATCCGTGTTAGCAAATTATTATTTTTTTAGGTTGTCTTTCTCCTGCACTGTTGACTCTCTCCGTTCGTTTATAATCCTTTTTGTTTAATCACCACCATATCCATAATAATATATTTATTCTATGCTTTAAAATGTAACATAGTTATCGCGAGAGCAAAAAGTAACCACGACTGCTGCAAAGCATCTGAACCGTCCGTTTGTAGTTACAACGTACGTGTAAATTATTAATTTTGCGTTTTTAACCGTTAAAAGTATTGAACTATATACACTATTTTAATACTTGCCGCGTAATCTTTACGACAATTTTATATTTAACATAAGAAAATATAAAAATAGGTTTCTAGATTTTAAAATAATGTTTCCTGTTTTCTATCTATTATAGTTTTTAGGCGCATTCTCAAGTCGTGTTTAAGTGCTAATATATGTATTTACGTGTATTTTAGCATAAACGTACGTGATACCATTAACAAATTACTAAAAATATATATATATTATAGATAGGTTTTAAATCTAGACTATATATAAAGCTGAAGAGTTTGTTTGTTTGTTTAAACGCGCTAATCTCAAGAACTGCCGGTTTGGATTGAAAAAATCTTTTTCGTGTTGGTTAGCAGCATTTATCGAAGAAGGCTACAAAAAAAAAGGCCGTGCATTTTTAGGCTAATAAAACATGGCAACGTGACAAATACAACCGAAGATACAGCGAGAAAAGTGAAAAAAATTGGGAAAATTCTTTATCATTATGGGTTTCCGAGGCGTACGCTGCAAAAACGGTTCAAAATACCCAAAAAAATTGTCTTAAAGAATAATTCCTCTTTAAATGATCTTAAGAAAAGTTCTCGACGATATATGTCTATCTTTTAAAAATAACTTGCGAGAACAACGGGACCCAATCGACGGGTCGCGAGCGACGTGACGCCACCGATGTCCTGGGTTACAGCTTAGTCCTGGGTAACAGCTTAAATTTATAAAGATGGAGATGTTTGCAAAACGAAATTTGGATGCCTAAAATAACTATTCTACTCGGACTAAGTCGCTGACGTAGCTAGTATAGTAGTAAAATTGGATACTTAAATCTTTATTTAAGATAAATTAAAAAACAGCAACAGAATAGCAAGTTTCAAGCATGATGGCATTACAAAATTGAAAAATACGACACGGGCAGGAAAGATGTATCAAAACATTAACAATAATGTAACAATTTCTCATATCGCGAAAACTGAAAGAAAAATAGTGTGTATGTACACGATCATTAAAAGTACTGCATGGATCTTGTTAGTTTCATTGTTTCATTAAAATCGGATTCCTTTAAATAATGTAACGTTAACTACTGCCTGTAATTTACGCGATTAGTACACATTTAAATAAAATACGTTAACGGTTTAAAACCGCGATATACATGCTTTGCTGCAGCCGTAGTTCACCGGGTGACTGAAGATGGAAGGTGTCTCTAACCTCAAAGTAAAAACTGCTACGCTAGCGCCACCTGTTCCGTCGAAGTTGGAATTTTGCAAAGCACCCGAAACGTCGGACCGTAGTTAATAATTTCTAACTAATATATATCGCATATTAAACCGTTAAAGTGTTTTATTTATAGATAACGTTAGTTAACAGCGCTGCTGGAATAACCAACGGTAGAAGTTCTTAAACGAAGACCTAAGCTAGTTTAAAAAACAGATAAGCAATCAATTATTATAACCTTAATGTCTTATTAATATGCAGGCAAGTCTCAGTACGACTTGAAGGTTCAATTTATATCTTAGTAAAACTTCTCGCATGTCGTTAATCAGACGCGACATTTAGTTTCTTATTGAGAGGTTTTTCATACTACATACTTTGTATATGAATTATTGATTAATTACGCGCATAATCTGTTGGAATTTGAGTGAGGGAATTTTAAGTTCAGGATGTCTAATCAACGAATTAATTAAACTGTGATGTTAAGTAAATTTAACAGAGAATAAAAAAAATCCTTTACTCAGTATATTTATAATTTCATAGCATGACACATACTTTTATAAAATACTAGCTGTGTCAGCGACTTCGTCCGCGAGAAACGTTTGGGCAACCGAATTTGTTTTTGCAAACCCCTTAATCTTTATCAACTTAAGCTATTACCCACGACATCGGTCGCGTTCTTTCCCGTCGTTGTTGCAAGTTAATCTTAAAAGATTGACATATAGCGTATTTTTTAGATCATTTAAAGAGAAATCATTCTTTCATTAATGAATTTTTGGGTATCTTGAACGGTTTTTGCAGCGTACGAAACCCACAGATGAATAATTTTTCCCGTTTTTATTAGACACAGTACAATGTTTTGTTTTTGTAAACTTCTCGATAAATGCTCAACCCGACACAAAAATAATTTTTCAATTCAAATCAGTAGTTCATGAGATAAGCGCGTTCAAACAAACAAACTCCTCAGTTTTATATACATATTAGTATAGATTACTTGAATTTGACCTAAAACAGTTTGCGTGCCTGTGTATTGAGGAGTTGTCACCCGTAGTGGATCGAATTCTCTGTAATAGCACAAGATATTTTAATCTCGTAATTACATGTAATACGTACTAAATGGGCAAATTACATCGCAATTCTTACGCTGTCCATGTTAAATGTCGTGGCAATTATGAACAAATATAGAAATAGCATTAGTGAGAGAGAATTTCTTCTTTTTTCACATTCCGTTAGCTTGTGGGTAATGTATATAAAAAAAATTATATGTTATATATTTGTCCCTTTACAATACACATTTGACGAGGACATCACACATTCCAATTATGTCTGTAGTTTTCGCGAGTCGCACACCTTTAAATAAAACAGACTTTAACAGTTTAAAACGCGATATATATTAGTTACAATTCACGGGGAGACCACAGCTGCTGCAAACTGTCCGAAATATCAGGCCGTAGTAATAATCATTTTCAAATAACCTAAACGAATATATATCGCGTTTCAAACCGTTGAAGTGTTTTATTTAATCATTTCTGTTTGTTTTACTGACTAGTTGATCAGACTTCCGCGCCCTGTCCGACCAAACAATTCTGTTTACCAGGATGCAAACCCAGGATATCTTATAACAATGAACACCTTGGCTATTGTTTTTTTTATTTGGTGGCAATAGCAATGTAATATTTTACAGATATCTTAATAATTTTGACTTTCGTTCCAGCGATGCTTCCGTGAGGGGTATCCTTACAACACTGACCAACTGTTTCACCTCCACTGGAATGTTCATCGCTTACCTCCTGGGAACTGTGCTTTCATGGCGACAGGCAGCACTTGTGTCGCTTACTGTACCCATCGCTACAATGCTACTAGTGATGTTTGTAAGTATTTTTATATTGAGAAATGGAACAGGTGGCGCTGGCGTAGCATTTTTATTTTGACTTTTGAGACACCCTCCATCTTTTGGTCTCACAAAAAAGAAGGGGGAGGGAAAAAAACCCCCCCCCCCCCCCCCCCCCCCCCCCCCCCCCCCCCCCCCCCCCCCCCCCACAAAAAAAAAAAAACCCCCCCCCCCCCCCCCCCCCCCCCCCCCGGCGGGGGGCGCCCCCCCCCCCCCCCCCCCCCCCAAAAAAAGAAAGGGGAAAAAAAAAAAAAAAAAAAAAAAGGGGGGGGGGGGGGGGGGGGGGGGGGGGGGGGGGGGGGGGGGGGGGGGGGGGGGGGGGGGGGGAAGGCGGGGGGGGCTTTTTGGGGGGGGGGGGGTCGTTTTGTGTTCCCGTTTGGTGGGGGTTGGGTGGGGGGGTTTAAAACAAACCCTTCTGGACGGCCCGGGGCGTTGCGGTTGCGGTCCCTTTCCGATCCCATATGTGTGCTGAGACCTTAAGCCCCCCCGTGACCACGACTGCTGCAAAGCCACCGAAACGTCAGATCGTAGATAAAATAATTTCCAATAGTTTTAACTTTTAAACCGTTAAAGTGTATAGTTTATATAAATATCATGAGTACGATACGTGTATATGAATCAATTACAGAATATAAGGAAAATTTAAAATGAATCTTATCTCTCTGTACACGCGTACCTTCAAAAGGACTGCAATGGCGGTGTATAAATAAATTAAGATCTGCTTAAGAAAACATATCGTATACTAGACGAATAAGAATACGCCTTTTTTTCTACCACGGGTACGAGCGATAGACTAATTTTAAAGAAGTTTACTATACACGAAAAAGTAGTTTAGCTAACTGTTTGTAGTTCATTAAACATTTAAACTCATAGTTACTTAAATACTGTCTATAGTTTTCGCGAGTAGTACACATTTAAATAAAACACTTTAACGGTTTAAAACGCGATATATTAGTTAAACTTAGTTAAAAATCATTTTCAAATAAGTTTAACTAATATATCGCGTTTCAAACCGTTAAAGTGTTTTATTTTCATAGTTACTTTTTACTAATCATACTACTAAACTACAGATATAATATAACTATAGTTTATGGTACTTAGTATTCAACAATGTGATTTAAAATCTGACGGTAACGGAACAAACCTTTTGAACGTTTTAGTTTATAAAAACGTGTTATCTAATATACATTAAAGGTTAAATCCCGTCCCAATTTCTAGCTTAACATGTTTAAGATCCAGTTCGCTTTGGTTATAAAAACATAAAGGGGCCATTAAGAGTAAGGAAGATGAGTACGCCAGGGCAACGAATGATATCCCATATTTAAAACCTATCTACAAAAATATGTTTACTTAAGTAAACGTACAAATATCAAAGGGTTTTTTTGCTGACTATGTGTCTAGTCTGGATATAATACCACAGGATACCACTGTATTACATCCAGACTGAATATTATGCAGTTGGTAGGAATATTGTTAAATTCCGTCCGGGCTACAAACCATCCTTCACAGATGAAAAAGCCTTTGCCTTAACGCCATTTAATCGCCTTTCGGTTTCAGTCTGTCAGTTTCCCAATTTTCAAAGGCAAAATAGGTTGACTTCGTCTTATTGATTTGAGTATGTTTCTTCCGTGAAGTAAACCTCGTGCTTATCGTTCCTCTCTTAACACTTATTACCGTATAAATACCGTGATATACCGTCAAATTAAGTAGCTTTTTTTAATGGTAGAGAAAACTAAACAAGTCATAATTTAAAAATCGAAAATAAATTGAAAAATTTTTCGATGTGGCAGAACTTGTCTGTCCGCAGTTGAGGACTCGGTAGCTCAATTGGTAGAGCAACAGCACGGAAGGCTGACGATGCCAGTTCAAGTCCTGCCCGAGTCGAAATTTTTTTCAATTCATTTTCGATTTTGAAATTATGTAATTAATGCCTTCATCGTTAAGCACTATGAACAAAATAATAAAAAAAATGCCTTCATGTGCAATAACATGTAAAACATAATAATGTTTTTAAACAAGTCATGTTCATGCCACTATCAATCAAACAATTTGAAACCACAAAAATAGATCAAATTACTTGCTCAAGAACGTACTTTGAAATCATTTGTAATTTAATAATGGTGTTTCCAAATAGATAATTTTACAGATATCCAAAAACCCTTCCAAGGTCAACTAGTTTCGTAACACCGATCTATTAGATTAAATTATATCTTTTGGTTGACTTCAGATTGAATGAAGTGGAATTTTATCTCGATTAAGAGATGTTAATATTTTTCACCTGGAAATTCTTGTCTAACAGTTTATTAGTAGGAGAGCTATATGATAAAAAAATTGATGATGAAAAAGATGGTTTTAAACGTAAATTCTGAAACTGAATATAACCGCGTCCATACCTCCGAGTCAGATAACGGACACTAAAATATGTCCATGCTTTACACAGGGAAAAAGTATTTTACACATTACTAAGGCGATCTTCAAATTATACTAAAGTCAGGAAATATTTTAGAATGCCAATAAACCCCAAATAGCCTGAGATGTCGATAGAAAATATCATGATAGCATATTTTTTTATATTTCAGGTCCCAGAAACGCCAATCTGGCTGCTGTCGAAGGGTCGCCAAAAAGAAGCTTTACGCTCACTGTGTCGTCTCCGCGGATGGGCAGATCCCGAAGACGTGAAAGAGGAGTTCGACCAACTCCTACAGTACAACGATTTAATCCAGCAGTGCGTTGTCTGCGGCAAAGACGGTTCAGAGATCGAGCCCTGCCGTCACCACACCCAAAATGTCTTCACACGAACCATTTCGAAATTCAAACATGAGCTCTTCGTTAAGGAAACTATGAGACCATTTGTCTTGGTCATGGCGTACTTCTTCTTCTATACATTAAGTGGGTTGGCGCCAGTCCGTCCTAACATGGTGAATGTTTGCAGAGCACTGGGCATGAAGTATGATCCGAAAAACATTGTGGTAGGTGTAACTTGGTTAACTGGGTAAAGATGAGATTGTCATTTGTGATTATCCTTAAACTAATTTGTTGATTATAGTTGTGGATACAAATAACATTTCGTGAGCATGCACGTTGATAGCATACGACATTGTACATAAATGTTTACAATTGACAGATTATTTTCATGTCTAATATCCCCTTTATTTTTTTATTTATGTAAGTAAAGACCCATAAATTACTTGTTCATCGTTGTTTTTATCATACAGGTGGCCGTTGGCGTCGTGTTCATTATCATGAACGTGGTCTCCGCATTCATTGTGAAAGCAATCGGCAAACGGAAATTAGTTCTTTCGTCGCTCCTTGCTACGGCTCTATGCAGCTTAGCTTTAAGCGTGTACGCGCGCACAAGTCTACCTATAGACGTGTTCTCATATGAGTCCACCACTTTTCCGGAAAAGAGGGATATTCTACCAGTAGTTCTATTCATGATGCTGGTCTCATTCACCAGTTTGGGTATACCGTGGGTGTTGCTGTCTGAGGTCTTTCCCTTCAAGTGAGTTCTGTTGATATTATAAATATCATGCAATTTCTTTGAGATTCTCGTATAATTATAATGTTTTATTACACACATTTCAGAGGCCGGGGTATGGCGACAGGTCTATCTGCTGCGTTTAGTTACGCTATTTTCTTCGTAGCGGCCAAAACAAACTACAACTTGGAAGCCTATCTCCATATCAGTGGTACATTCTCATTATATGGTGTAATCGGATTAATCGGCACAGTATACCTATATTTTTTCTTGCCAGAAACAGAGAGTAAAACACTTGTTGAAATAGAAGCATATTACAAGGGTAGTCAGAAAATATTCGCCGATGATTTCTTGATAAACGCCTTCCGAAAGAAGAACTGCCTAAGCTCAGACGTCGATAAACCTATGCTAGTCAAATAACTACCTCAGATGCACTAAATGTATTTCTTAATCTGGATGTAAAGTATCGAATGATAGTGTAAGTTGTTACCTTTAAATAGGCGAATTTAGTTAAGTTTTTTTTGTTAACTGAGATTACATTATTTTTATAAAACTGTTTTTTATTCACTTCAAAATAAGTACACTTTTATCTCTGGACAGTTTATTATTTAAATTAAATAAATAAACTATTTAATACTACAGACTATAGAATACCATATTTATTGGAATAAATTCGTCGATGAATTTATACAAATGCTGTAATATTTTTTTAATCCAACAGAACTCTGGAACCCTATAAATTACATGGATTTTTCCTGGACCCTGATAAAATACACTTCTACATATTAAATGCGTCATCATATTTTATTACTCATTCGAATCATTAATCTTTTAATATTCTAAAGAAGTCTCGCGTTTCACCTTTTCTGGTCGTTGCCCAAGTGCTAGGTCTTCCACAATGTTGGCCGAATAGGGTTAGAACATTATCTCCATGTTTAGATGTAGTGATTTTCAAATCTAACTTTAGCTTCTCTTCTGGATCGCTCAGTAATTCAATTTTGTCAATCGAGTCTGAGTCATTTACTTCACCGTTTAGAGGTATCTGATTTTTAACTTCCAGACATTCTGTTTCAGCGAATTCTGAAACAAAGTAAACTCTATTGGCATTCGTGAATTTAAATGATTTCTTACATACCTAGAAATGTATATATCAATGAATAAAAAACTTTTTACAGAGAGTTTTTTATTTAGTTTGTAGTAGACTAGTATTGTTTAGTTAGTTCGATTCGGAGATTAGTTAGATAGAGCTTGCATTTTCTTGTTGTAAACCAAGATCTTGGTCTCTGGCATTTTGTTTTGTATTTAGTTTGGCGCAGTGATGACGATTTTGTTATAATACAAAGTTGGTCAGCATCGTAAGTAAAATGTTTGTAGTTTAACGGTTAGCATCGTAAGTAAAGTGTTTGTAGTTTAACGGTTAGCATGATAAGTATTAGTTGATTTTTAAATAGGATCTACATCTATATGTACCACTATGGTATTTCTAAGTATATTTGTAACAGTCTTTGGCTTTAGTGATTCGTTGATTATTTTCCAAGCATTTTCAGTATGTGTTTAGTTCATTTATGTCACTGTTATCTCTTTAAATTCCTTAGCCATTGGAAAGGTATTATGTTTTTGTAGTTCCCCAGATACCTGGACTTTTATCACAATTAATATCTCACTTTGAATGGCTATATTATAGAATTTTGAATTTTTATAGATTATTTTTTGTTTTTTTTTATTTTATAGTTATGTTTTTTTCCGATGCTTTCACCTTTTTTGTAGTTCCAGTTGTTTTATTAATTATTAGCATAATGGCAATAGTGTTTGATGTTAAAGAATATTTACTATATGCTACTGACTTTGGTGTTGTAATTTTAAAAGATTAAATTTCTTCGTTATCTAATGCATTGTATTCGTAGTACAACATAGTTTTAACAAGTTGCGAAGTCATTTCCCATGTTTTCGGTCTATTGCAGCAAATTGTTTTATCTTTTGTTGTTTTAACTACTATTTTTGATTTATTGGACATAGCTTTAGTAGTAGTATCGAATATTACTTCAGTTTTGCTATTAACACTAATACGTATAAAGTTTACTGTCAAGGAATTCTTGAATGTAGTATTGGATAAATTAATTTCAAGATTTTCGTCATGCTTAACTTCAGTTGTACTTGAGTTTTCTCTTTTATAGATATGAGATGTCGTATCACTTTGAGTTATGGTAAATTCCATAACGTATTTGGTGCAGAGCAAAACATATGTCTCTTGATAACCTGGAACAAGTTAGTTTCGAGACAAAAAACAGATATCTTAACTGTTACGACGTTATCTATGAACATCTATATATAGATAAAGGTGGAGTAAAACTAGATAATAGATTAAACATTTATATTTCAATTTCCTTCCGAGCTTATGAATCATTTCAGCAAGAATAATTCGGTACACCGGAAGTGCATTGGCTGCTGACTTTCGTCATATATTCTGAAATAAAAATGTTTAACTTATTATCTTGTACCAAAGAAGATAAATCAAGCGAATCGATAAGAATACCAATGTGTGATGAAACAAATTAACAAGAACACAACAAAACATTTTATGTCGGTTGGCAATTTACAACTTTGGTTAATAACGTGAAATTTAAAAACAAAAACATATAAAGCAAAACTAATTGTAGCATATAATAAATAAACATTAAAACAAGTAATAAACAATTTAAAACGGTTTTGGATGCTTTATAGTTGCTAGGGCCGTGCTATTAACTTCTTGTAATTTCTTCAAATGTCCATTAGAAGTATGATGGCCATATGAAAAAGGACGTTCATAGTTAAGGTAATTCCTTATCTTTAGAGTTACTTTAAAATCTTCACTACTTTAAGATTTAAATCGGCATTCTTGCTCCATATGGTTAGATACATACGTGTATTATAATCGCAGTTGTATTCATACATATCGCACTGATCCAGAAAGCTTCTTCGAGTGCAGCCGTCAGCAGATGTTGCGCAAACACTTCGGCTATCGTGGATACAAGTCTTCGCCATGTTGCAGTAGTCTATTGGCTGAAAGAATAAAGAAGGCGTGAAGTATACGAAATCCAACATGTCTTTAATCAATGTATAATTTTCTGAAACATGTTGGATTTCAATTGGAAAATCTGAATATCAAATCGATGGTAGGATTATCACCATTTAAATAGAACACTTCAACGGTTTAAAACGCGATATGTTTTAGTTAAACTTGTTTGAAAATTATTTTTCACTACGGCCCGACGTTTTGTGATTTGCGTTTTAAGCTGTTAAAGTGTTTTATTTAAATGTGTACTACTCGCGTAAACTACAGACAGTATAGGATTATTGACATTTTTGTCTGTCAAATATCACCATCGACGATAATAAAAAGCCATCAAGTATAATAGCGATTTGGTTCTAGTCAGTATCACCAAGCTCAAATAGATAGATGGGGGGATGCTCTGGCGCTTTCCATCTTCCATCGAATAAACCCCATACTGTTCTCCTCTGTCCTTTGTTACATCCGTTGAGACCATCACAAGTACTTCTAATTGTACCGGTCCGATTTTTTGTTACAATTAAGTTACTATTTTTGGTTTGTTCTAAATTCTATAGCTGGACATATAATCAATAAGCTTTCAGATCTAGAAAGCATACTTCTTTAAATTATCTATGGCCAGATATTATTTTAAAATCTCAGCTTTATTAAATATTAGTATTTTAAAATTGTTCACTGCCTTAGATAATTTGAAGAATACTCTGTTTAAATTTAAACCTATTACCGCTTACTACATTACTTAATAGTCTTCGTTTGTTTTGTTATTTAATAGTTACGATCCGAGATTTCAAATACTTAACAGCTGTCGTGATCACGGATAAACCACCAGCGTAACGTACTTATTGACTAGTAATTCATTTATACAGTTCGCGTTGTGTGTAAGTTAACAATTCATTACTAATTCTAACACTATCACTAGTTTACGCGAGTAGTACACATTTAAATCAAACACTTTATCGGTTTAAAACGCAACATATATTTGTTTACCTAGAATTTTTGAATTATATTATGTTCACTACGGCCTCACGTTTCGAATGCTTTGCAGCAGTCGTGGTAACATTTCTTAGTTAAACTGTGACAAATTTAACTAGTTAAAGTGTTTTATTTATATATATTTTTTATGTTTTGAGTGTTGTAGAGAATATGTACCCATCGCGTAAACTGTAATCATAGCTTCTATTGATTTATGAAAAAACATAATTACGTAGGACAAATGTTGCTGCGAACAATGTAGGAATGTAGCTGCAAGAAAAGAAATAATTAAAAATACCTTTTGTATTTAGTCTACTTTGTCTATAGAGGAGATAAATTTTAACGACAATACTTTGTCTAGAAGATAAGGTAACAGTTCTTTTAAAAAAATATTACAATTATATATCTATCTCTGTCTCAGCTTGTTATAAAACGTCACGAACCGCAGTCCACAGATGTAAAAGTCGTGAAGTTTGATCGTGTTTCGGTTTCAGTCTGTGGATTTCCGAAAATCCAAAGCCAAAATAGGTAGACGGCGCATCTTGTTTAGATGTTATATAGTTGCTAGATTTGCTAGTCTTGCCTTCTCTAATATAAGAAAAGGTCAAAGTTGTACAAGGGCGAAAAACGTCGATAGTATTTCTGCTAAGTAATCTCGATGTTTATATTATGTCTCCTCTTTCAAAAGAAACACGATTCTTGGACACATAAAATTGAAACAAAAATCGAAAAAAAGGCGACTCAAACAAAAATTGTTTGAGTCGCCATACCTTATAACCTACGAGTATTTTCTTAAAAAATCGACCAGCGAAACAGTCCCTGTAGTGGCATGGGGCCCCACGAAATAAAGTCAGGTTTATACTTTATGAGTCCTAATTTCTGAACCTCTTCTTATTACTTAAAATCTCATGCAATGGACACAAAGGAATAACGATAATAAAAACTCTTTATTGCACAAAAATAGACATAAGAACATAAATAAATTTGAATTATATATATATATAAATATATATATATATATATATAATACACAAAATAAAACATGTTTGTGCAAGGCGGCCTTATCGCTTATGGCGACCAGGCAACTTTTGCATGTAGAAGGTAATATCTAAATAAACTTATTTAACACATTTAAGAACTTTAAAACATAACTAAGCATGTAAATAAAACACTTTAACGGTTTAAATCGCGATATATTAAATAAACTTATTTGAAAAAATTTTCCCCGTGACCACAGCTGCTGGTTAAAAGTAATTTTCAAATAAGTTTAACTAATATATATCGCGTTTTGAACCGTCAAAGTGTTTTATTTAAATGTGTACTTCTAGCGAAAACTATAGACAGTATAAAACTAAGCATATTTTTTAGATTTACTACCTATATCAATAAGTATGTTGATATAGTAAATATAGTAAAGGAGTCACGATTATTCGTAATTAATGATATTTATGAATTAATACGACTCACCTAGTATTACTATAAGTAACATTATAATGCAGTATCATTATTATCGTACCTGTTACAATATTTAAAGATAACAAACGCGCTATTGTTATGGGGACATAAAATGAATCGAATTGAAAACGATAAAAGCAAACAGTGCTGAGAAACTTAGAAATAAAACGCAATTTATTGAGAAAACGTGTTATAAAAAACAACAATACAACAGCTTTAGGTACTGTCAGTTTTAAAAATAAACACGTGGTGTGATAACGTTTCCCCAACATGGAGGATCATTGAGACACATTTTTGAATCCGTTTTTCTGTTGATTTTTCTTAAAAGCAGAAAATGGTGCTGTGTGTCATTAACGTTGAAATATAAAAATTCATGTCAGTCGTCTAAGAGATAATTATAGTGACTATACAAATATCTATTACTAATATTATAAAGCTAAAGAGTTTGTTTGTTTGAATGCGCTAATCTCAGGAACGTCTAATTCGATAAATACTTTTTCTGTTGGTTAGACCGAGGAAGGATCGAGGAAGGTTTTAAGCCTACAAACCATCCCGCTGAAAACCTTAGCAGTTATAATTTATAAATACGAGGAGTTTACAAAAAAAAATGTCGATGCCCAAAATCCCTATTCTATGCGGACCAAGTCGCTGACACAGCTAGTGTCAAAATAAATAATATTTGTAATGCAATACATTTATTGGATTACAAATATTATTCAATTAGCTGAAACTATGAATGCATATAAAGTGTTACGAGTATATCTATTTTATAATCGTGACTTAAAATGATCTATGGCATTCAAGTTATTGTTCTTATTTATACAATTACATTACAATGCCTATCGTGATTTTAATCATTAGAACAATTTAAATAAAACACTTCAAATGTTTAAAACGCGAAAGATATTAGTCAAACTTGTTGGGGGAGAACCGGACCTGGGGAGGGGAGACACGAGGTCTCTAAAACGTTGTGCCGCAGTAAAAAAATTTTTGTAGACAAGTTAAACTTATATATTTCGCGTTTTAAACCGTTAAAATGTTTTATTTAATGTGTACTACTCGCGTACTACAGACAGTATTTATTTAACCAGTTTCCCAACCAATATGACGTATTTTCTCGCTTCACATTAAATAAATAGTATAGTTTGTTTTTACGATATAATACCATAATTTGGGAAAAAAATAACTTATATTGTCATTAATTGTGAGTTATATGGTGTGAGACGATTGCTTGCTACCCGCTTTAATTTTTATTTCTCATTCATTCAAATAAACAAACTCTTCCGCTTTATATATTTGTATAGATTTAAAAATGTACCGGAGAAAGATAACTAAAGCTGGAATGTGATGATCTCGTTTTGAATCATAGCAAATATTTAAAGATAAATAAAGTATTATTTGCGTGAAGAAACAAGAGGATACGTGAGTATTGTCAAGACATTATCATTTCCATTTCCTTTGTTCCTCACTTCTTAGTTTAATATATGAGTCATTATGAAAAAAACCTGAATATTGCCTAACATCCCATTTCAAATTCATTTTTTTCTTTTTTCTTGATGGGATTGTTGGTGTAATGCAATGTACTCGATCCTCGCCGGGACCAATAATTTTCTATTCAATACTGTCTATAGTTTACGCGAGTAGTACACATTTAAATAAAACACTTTAACGGTTTAAAACGCGATATATTAGTTAAACTTATTTGAAAATTATTTTTAACTTCGGCCCGACGTTTCGGATGCTTTGCAGCAGCCGTGGTCACGGGTCCCCGTTTCAAATAAGTTTAACTAATATATCGCGTTTTAAACCGTTAAAGTGTTTTATTTAAATTTTCTTTTCAATTTTTAATTCATCTGAAACAAGTTGTACATCGGCTGGAAATCTGGGTAATAGGTAGTAGGAATATCCAAATTTCGTCCGGGCACGAACCACCGTCCACAGATAAAAAAGGCGTGAAGCACGTTTCTAGTTAAATCTGTGGATTTCCAAATATCCAAAGCCATAATAGGTCTCACCTACTATCAAATGAACCCCTAGTCTGTTCTCCTCTATCATCAAGAAAATCTACCTGATCCATTTATGTTACAGGCATATAGCCTTTGAAAACTTTAATATTTTTTTACATGTTATTCGATCGATATATCGAAAATAAGTTGAAAAAATTTTAGACTCCGTCAAGACTTGAACCGTCATCGTCAGTGTTCCGTGCTGTTGCCCTACCAATTAAGCTACCGAGTCAACTCCGCAGTCGTGTTTTCAAAAAATTTGAACCCCAGGACCCCGCTTAAACACTAAGGGTATATATAATTAAGTAAAAGGACGAGCAGGGTGAACAATTACACAATTTATGTTAAAAAGCATTCACACGGACGTCCAAAGGAGATGGATAAAGAAAGTCTTTATCTTCTCTGAACGGTAGTTGAAAGTAATTCCACCTTGAATAGATTTTATTTAAGATCAGCACACCAAAACATATTAGTCATTCCTAGAACTGTGTTATCAGATTATACTATATAAAATCAAAGAGCTTCACAATAATAAAAGAAGAGACGAGTTAGTATTCGTCTTATCTTTACCGAAGCGTTACGAAGAATCAGACATTCAGACAGCTAATATCATATAACGAAAACCACTCGTACGATGTAGACTGCTAGTTCGACTTTCTTTAGTTAAAATATTGACGCTCGATACGCGTACATAAGGAAACAATTTAAAACAGTATTATTCGGTGAATAATGTTACTATTGTGGTAAATCGAGTTCAAAATGGTGATAAAAACAAACATTCGTGGAGTGAGTCGGTTGAGATCAGTGTGTGCCCAGGTACGCTTGTATAAAATAAGTTCGTTAATTTTATTTGTCGTATAGAAAGATAACTAAAACAGTTTAAAAATGAGCAATTAAAATATTGTCATAACAAAGAAATTTTGTCTTAGTGAAAAAAAGGTGTATTATTCGTTTTTATGAAAGTTTATTTTTCTCGTCGCGAGTGGGTATTTTTTAAATTTAATTCGTTTTTAATAGCTCAGTAATTTTATTCCGTTGTGTACAAGTGTATTTATCGAATACATATGAATATTTTGTTCCATAAAAGATGTGGACATTTTTTCAAGACCAGTTCAGTTCAACGAACAGTTTGTGTCTTAAGATTTCATACATTGCAAGACATGTAACATTGAACCTCAATTCTTCAAAATTAAGATTAAAATTAAATTGCGCGAGAGCTGTATGTTTAAATGTATTGAACGACTTCTATTATGATCACGGCAGCAACAAAACACTCATCTTGTGTAGTCTTTTACAAGTTTTTTAATATATTCTAAAATATTACATCCTACAATGTCTAGTTGTACACTCGCTCCTTTCCTCCTTGGGTGGTGTGAATTAGTAGTTCACTAGAGAGTCTAAGAAAATTTCTGGTTTGTAAAGGTCACCTTCGTACTTTAGATAGTACGAAAATCTTTCGCTTTTAGTTGTTATTACTTATTTAGTGGGTAGATGTTGAAGAACGCCAACCTGCTTTGTAACAGCGTTGTAACAACCTTCTCATCTAGATGTATGACGTCATTTAAAAGGGGAACCCCTGCCTTACTAATATCTGTTAACTGTTAACTGCAAACTTCCTCCACTTTAAAAATTATAGCTAATACTAATAATAATATAAAAATAATTATTAATAAAATTACTTATTGGTCTTAAAAGGTAGTCTTAATAGGTCTTTCTTAAAAAATACTTTAACCAGAACAAAAAGAAATTTTCGATTACTAGTTCCTGAGATTAGCTTCTGCCTTATAATATTAGTATAGATTTTTTATTACTATTTGTTAGTCTTGTTTTTCGCTAAAACATCTACATACAACATTTTACAGTTAAACACTTCGTAAGTAAATAGTAAAGAGTAAAGTAATTCATCTCTAAGTGATCTAAATTGTATGCTGTCAACGTTTCAACTGACTTCCGATTGTTTTATCAATATAACTAATGATATTAAATGTAATTGTTTGTTTAATAGTTACCATTAAGCGATGTAATTACGGTTATTAGTTCGTCCCGTTCGTTTTATTTTAAAAGTTAATTTACACGATCTCTTCATTGAACACGTAACTCCAATGCAAGCATTAAATAGTCCGTAAATGTTTTAAATAAAAACAGGAAGTTTTTATTTAATAGTAGTAATTAGTGAGCAGGTAATTGGTACGTCGTTCCTTATAAAGTCAGCGTGTATATTATATTCCGAATTATTAAAAATGTCAGACTCACATTTTGGAGAATAGGATATTATACTGTGATAACAAGATCGAAATTCGGTTTGAGTGATGACCCACTTACATTTTAAAATTTAGATGGAAGGGTCAAATTAAACAGACAGAAAAATATCTCCCTCTGCTCCCAAGGGGAAACAGGATTTTAAATATTGTATATAAAATATAAAAAACCCGTTTCTCCCATGGGGCATGGAGGTAATAAAACAGACATATGCTTTATTTACAGACAAGTAATAGACCATTGATCACAAGATATCTAAAAAAGCTACTGATCTACACTAACTTTACCGGGGTTCGAACCCAGGATCACTTGCGCTTAACGCAATGCACGTTTAATCTACACAGGCGGTCAAATTTTATATATACATAGTATCTTCAGACAATGTATACCTAGTAGTCAATAAACTAACTAGAACCTGTATAAAATAAGAACGTCGATAATTAAATATCTTGGAAAAACATTAAAACCTCATTACAAAATTAATTATGCTTTGTTAACGTGCTCCGCCATTTAGGTTTAACAAATTGTTACTATCACGTGTTGTATTACAGAAGGTATTATTTGAAATATTTCAAAGCATAAAGTTGTATATAACATTAATAGTTGTTTTTAATGATAGAGGAGGACAGACATAGGCTGGAGTTCATTTGATGGCAGGTGAAATACCCCAGCCTATAGCATCTAAACAAGATGCGCCGTCGACCTATTTTAGCTTTGGATATTTGGAAATCCGCAGACTGAAACCGAAACGCGATTAATCTTCACGGCTTTTTCATTTGTGGGCCGTTCATCGTTCGTGACCCGGACGGAATTTCTACATTCCTACCACCCATTTAAAATACAGATTTCCTAAATTTAGAAGTTAGAAACATGTTGGTCCTGGTGGGGATCGAACCAACGACCTGTTGATTAGCCAACTTTTAACATTAGTTTATAAACAGTCGACCAATTGTGAAACGGTTAATTTTTCCGCTATAAAAACAAAGGATTTCGTCATTTGGCTGTTAAAATATTGTTTATAACAATAGTAATCAGTGTCTTATTGTTATAATAAAAGTATAATAACTATAGAGATATATGTTTTTAATTATAAAAATTCAAAAAAATATTCTTAGAGATGCAATGTATGTATGATTTAAGATCGAAACCGCCGCCGGCTATGCACCTGTTTCTTTCTTCGTATTTCTTCTCTTCTCTGAGTATAAGTAACTCTTGGGATTATAATAATCATTACTATTACATATTAATAAGTCCAAAATATTATCAATGTGTGTCTACAATTCAAACGAAAACAACTAACTCAAAATAAAAAAATAAGTATGCGTTCGCAGCAAAATTTAATAAACCAATTTAGTTGACGTGTCAACCCGTTTGAAATCACTTTACAAATTGTGGTTTATTACCTACCGTAAATAGACTGTCCATCACAGATATTAAATGTGGCAAAAAATAAACGTATAATTTCATAACATTAGTTCAATGTAACACGCAAGATTGGTCACGGTCTTTAGATCAACAAATGGACGATCCTTCTTCATTTTATTCTCCTCGTAAATTTATGTAAATATATACACACATTTTGTACAAAACCTTTATTGTGAAATACTGAAAAAAAACCTCGTGAAGACTAAAGATGGCGAAAGAACCGAAAAATAACTTATCAATTCGAACCCGTAGTTCCTGAGATTAGCGCGTTCAAACAAATAAATAATACAACTATTTAGCTAGCTTATTATTTGTGTTGGTTAGAGCTATGAGGAAGGCAAGAGGCTATCGACCTGTGACTAATAGCAGAGAATATAAGCGAGGTATGTGGCAAAAATTGGGAAAATTATTTAATTTTTCCGAGGCGTACGCTGTAAAAACGTTATAAAAACAAAAAAATATTCTCTTTAAATGATATAAAAAAAGTCCGCGCTATATGCTATCTTTTAATATTATCTTGCAAAACGATGGAAGGGACGCGACCGACGTCGTGGGTAATAGCTTAAGGTTTATTATAAAGGGGGAAGGGGTTTGCAAAGGTGAAGGGGTTTGCAAAACGAATTTGGATGCCCAAAATAACGATTCGCGCAGACAAAGTCGCTGAAACAGCTAGTATTAGTATAGATTGACCGCCTACTATTATAAGTCGTTGTCTGAAAATTTAAAAGTCACGGCCTCATGATAAATGATAAAAAATTGAGATCTAACCAACGGAACATTAGTTTTAACGACCTTAACCCATATGCCTACTTAAATAACATGATAGTATTAAGTTATGTATCTGACTTGAGTGTTAGTTTCAATAACATTTCGTCCTTGTTTGTATATTTATAAATTTCACCTAATTCAAAAGAGATTATCGCGAAAAAAAACACACACACAGATGGAAATCGATCCTGCGACGAATCGCATATGCGCCGTTATAAATTGACAAAAACATCACTAAAGAAATAAAAAGAGAGCAAGAGACTAGAAAGCTGTTATGCATTTCAAGTAAAATTAGATGAATACAAAACTTGCTCGACAAAAAGTTTATTCGAAATAGTGCAAAATATTGCATATTTATACGTGTTTTTTTTTCAGATAGTAGCATGTATGTCTCCAAATCTCCTCTTGTTGAATCTGGGAATGGCTATAAGTTTCTCGACCATCGCTGTCCCGGATTTACTAAACGCGAAAGAAGGCTTATCACTAGATGACACACAAGCTTCTTGGTTCGGTAAGTAGAACTTCGAAGAGCAGTTTTTGCTTCGAATTCATGTATAGACTAGTAAACTAAACAATTTCCGAAAAAAATATATTTCGCGTACTTCGCCCAGTAACGAACGCTTCTTATAAATAGGTATTAAATTTGTTTATATATACCCTTTCAAAGTAATTTTTGTAAAACATTAACTTATTGTGTTTTATATTATAAGGAATCTATGTGTGGTGGATACGTCTACATGAATAAATATAGACTTAGTATTGTCCTATACATATATTCAAACCAAAATATACATGCGAGTATAAATTCAATCCGCCGTTTATCCTTATCTTGATTTCCATCAATTTTTATTTTTTTGTTATTTTGGTTGTGACAATAAAGAATAATTTGTATATTTTGTACAATAGGATGAAGTACTGTCAGTAATTTTCACGAAGTAGTACATATTTACATAAAACACTTTAATTGTTTAAAACATGAAATATATGTTATTTACAATTTATTTTAACTACGGCCTGACATTTCGAACATGTTGCAGGAGTCCATAGGCTTGGGGGGTAGTTCGTTAACATTTAATTCATTAAACGTGTTTTATATATTTACAATAAGATTTTCAATGATTACTGTAATTATTATGTTTTCAGTATAATATTCAAGTTTCATAAACTACCTCCATATTACTATATTTGTCTAAAAATAGGTCATTTTCCATCGAATAAACCCTATGCTTGTCTGTGCTCCTCTGTCAACATGTATGCCATATTTTCAGGTAGCATATCCTATTTATCGCAGCCATTAGGTGCCCTGTTATCTGGGCCTATAGTAGACTATGTGGGGAGAAAAAAAGGAACGTTTCTAGTCAATTTGCCGCATATCATGGCATGGACACTCATGTACTTTGCGTGGGACCTGCCATCACTGTTCATTGCTAATGGGCTGTTGGGTTTTGGATCGGGCGTTATGGAGGCGCCTATTAACTCTTATGTTGGTGAAATAAGGTTGGTTTTACATAGTTTGATTAATTTAAACGCTTTTAAAAGAAAACTGTAATCCCTCGTAACCTCGCTCGCACCCCTAGCAAAGGTATATAAAGGTGTGAAATCCCTATAACCCTGTGACATGGGACGAACACATTTCTGTGTCCGTTATTCTACAGGCAAGTAGTTAATCTGACTTCTTCGCCCTGATCAATCGAAACAAACTATTCGAACATGTGAACCCAGAACCTCTCGCGCCTAAATCTTAGGGAACACGTTTAAACATTGAGTCACATATGGGGTCAAATATGGAGGCAGTATATAAAAGGCTAGGCTAAAGAAGGGTCGCCGATTTCCGACTGGTTTCCTATTGTACTTTGCTGTCACTTGTAAGCACGGGTCAGATGTGTCAAAGGTTTGGTGTCTAACCAGAGATAGAACCGACCTGAGGACTGGCATAACTTTAATGTTTTAAATGTTTAAATAAAACACTTTTAACGGCTTAAAACGGGAAATGCCGGTTCAAGTCCTGTCCGAATCGACATTGTTTTCAATTGATTAGATTTTTAAATTATAAATGTAATACGTTTTAAATCTTTAAGTCGTATTAAATGTGTACTACACGCGTAAACTCTTTAGTTTTTACGTTTGGTTTCAGCGAGCCGACAATGCGCGGAGCTCTCTGCACCTTGACTTTGTTGTTCACCGCTATCGGTACATTTGTCATGTACTTTCTTGGTACTGTCGTCACTTGGCGATTCGCGGCATTAATATGTCTCTCAATACCTTTTTGTTCTATGCTCCTAGTACTTTTGGTGAGTTTAATGTTTGCTGAATTTTAAGCGATATTTATTTATTATTTAGCAAAAAGAAAACAAACAGATACATCACACAAATAGAGTAGCTAAGGAATAATAATGCATCCTTACCAGTTTCATAAATAGTTTAAAAGTTATTTACAATTAGTTACACGTTATGTAGCAACGATAAAGAAAAAACAACACATCGATAAAAAATATAGGAATTAAAACTAATTTTATATAAAACTGAACAAGCAAAAAGTAGTAAGTAGTTTATAAATTTCATGGCATTAAATACAAAAATTAACCGAATTCGGATCCATAGGAAAATTAAGTATGTATAATAAATAAAATAAGAATAAGTAGATTAGGTCCCTTATGGCTGAGGAAAGGAAGACCCCGTCGTCCTTAGCTGGTTAAACATTATGGACAAGATTCAAAAAAGAAATCTTCAAAATCAATCATCCAACTCAAAGAAAATGTTAGCTTTGTTCTCGAGCTGGACAACAAGACGACCAAAAGTAAATAAAGTAAAAACATACCTTATTTAAAGGTTCCCGAAACACCAGTGTGGCTTCTAGTCCACGGTCGAGATGAAGAAGCTTTGAGGTCCCTCTGTTACCTTCGGGGTTGGACAAAGCCGGAGACGGTTAAAGAGGAATTTGACCAGCTCACTGTCTACTCCAAGACGCTAAAAAAATGTGTGATTTGCACCAATAATGACCAGGATACGAAGACATGTGAGCACGATTCTATGAATTGGTTTAAGAGGTAAATAATCAAATTATGATTAAATTAAATTAAAGGTAGCAAAAATAATCATAATTATAGCCTTACTTTACAAGTTACCTAGTAAATTTTTAAAGGAACTTTCAAGCGAGGGTCGAAATTTTATGTACATACAAATTAACAACTTATCTAAATAAAATACTTTTAACAGTATTTTAAATTGCATTTAATTATATTAACAAATATTTTAACTACGGCCCGACGTTCAGATGCTTTGCAGCAGCCGGGGACAGGAGACAGTACTCAAACGACTTATTAATAAATAAATAAAGCTGGACAGTTCATACAGCAATATTAAAATAATATATTTATTTCTAATAAAATTACTTACTGCCTTTTAGGCATTGGTGATTTAATAATTAATCATAGAATGTAAAAGGCAATTAAACGAATTAAAACTTAACGTATTGTTTGTTTTGAATGTGATAATGAAATTTACAACCGATACGAGTAAAGAAAAAATGCAGAAGTGTGCATGAAAAAAATACTTATATAAAAAAACAATAGACACAAATAGTATATCACCATAAGTACTTATTGAATCTTTATCCTTTATTCCAGGACTGCATTGAAGTTCAGATATGTAATCTTTTGCAAGGAGACACTGAGGCCCCTACAGCTGTCGATGCTGTATTTCCTATTCTTCGTGATGAGTGGACTAAACCCTATCAAGCCGAACATGGTGAACATTTGTGGAGCGTTGGGGATGCCTCACGATGGGAGGCAAATTGTGGTATGTTTGAACTATATTTTATACTAGCTGTGTCAACGACTTCGTCTGCATAGAGTGATTATTTTAGGCTTCAAATTTTGTTTTTGCAAACCTCCCCTTCATCTTTATAGATTTAAGTACACTGAGTTGTGACAGCTAATAGTGCTAAATGTAGCCTATAATCCAAAGCTATGGATCCGAAGACGTTAATTTTAAAGTTATTTTATGTTTAAACTAATTCTTATTATTTCGTTCCTCAGGAAACTTCTTCAATTGTAATATTTGTTCACAGATGATAGTTGGTGCGATAACGTGTTTGAGCAGCGTTTTCGTGATAATGGCCATAAAGCTGTTAGGAAAACGGAAACTTGCGATATCCTCTCTGTTCCTAACAGCTGTCTCCTGTGTTGGTCTCAGCGTATATGCCAGACAACACTTGGACTATAGCGTGTTCTCCTATGACGTCACTACATTCCCGAAAGAGAAGAGTATGTTACCGCTAGTGCTGTTCTATTTGATGACTTGGTTCACGGGTTGTGGCATACCCTGGGTGCTGCTTGGTGAAGTCTTTCCGTTCAGGTACTACTTTTCATTTCGCATTTTTTACATTAGTTATCAGCGCAGCTTCATTAATTCTTGAGATAATAGAGTGTTCTTTGTCTACCGAGTCTTAATTATAACAAACAGTTTCGATCAAGTTTATCATAGTCTAATCAATCAATTGCGTTGATCACTGACGTCATAAATACGGAAATGTCTACCCCTATATGCCGATAAGGGATTTTAGTTTTTTTATTACTGGTTTTCTTCAAGAAAGCACAAATGCCACCATATTTATAGCATCGTTGCCGTTTTGGGCTGGTCGTATGCGTTTATAAGCCTTGGAGTCCGGTCGAATGTGGAAAAACTATTCTACATCATTGCTTAAATTCTGACAAGTATGGCTATGACGTAACGTTGTTTTTTTTTTGTTTTAGGAGTCGCGCTACAGCTCAAGGAATTTCTGCAGCCAGCAATTACGTCTTCACGTTCCTCGCAGCAAAAACATTTATAGATCTGGAAACGAACATTAGACTATGGGGAGTCTTTGCAACTTACGCAGCATTTGGCTTCCTGGGCTCAATTTATTTATACTTCTTCCTACCAGAGACCGAAGGGAAATCCTTACAAGAAATAGAATCTTTTTACAATGGGAAACTAAGGGTGTTCCCAGACGATCCCGTTTATAACTTTTTCAAGAGACGTAATAATAAGATTTAAGTCATTAAATTAATGTGATTAAATGTTTTTTTTTAACTTTAATGTTCTACATGTCGCATGAGAACAATATAGATATGCATTCACATCGATCCATGCTGATGCTCTGCGTTTTTAATATAAAGAAATGAATTTAACAGTTTTATACGGTCTGTAACTGCTTTAAACTCGTTTGTACGTTGTACTTTTTACGTTCTCCATGACGAAAACTAAATGTAATGTTATCTCTTCAAGTAGAAGCTACATATTTAAGCTTAGTCAATAGGTTACAATAGGTTTCAGAAGCTTTTCTTACTTTCTCTGAAAATGTAAGTGTACACATACCTGCAGACAGATAGATCATAATATTTTATTGTTTATAAAAACAAGAGTCAAACGTGAATATGGTAACTTTTTAAATAAAGATTGCCACTTGTTATACCTAGAGGTATATTACATAAAAAGACCTTTTAATTTAATAAATTTATATTAAAACCGATGGATCATCTATCCTCGCCATAAACAACGGTATAGCAAACTGTGTATCCCATAGTATAGCTACAAACGGCCTGTTAGCTCTAAACGTTGGCTGAATGTCGTCCAGAGACAATGCAACAGCTGCAAAGGCTGACGCGCCAGCTGCTGTTACTCCCTGCTCATCTATGGATAAGTATCCCGAATGAAGCGCGTCAGATATTTGAGGCGGATAGGTCCGGTACACTCCGATGCCAGCTAACTCAGTTTGCGTATTGAATATATTTTTTACTCCCATCTGTAAAAAGAAAAACTGATAATTTTCTTTATAATGGAATATCCCAGACTAATATGTCAACAGCTTATCATAATTAGACATCTAATGGCTTCAGATATTAGAAAATCCACAGACTGTAATCAAAATACGGATTTATACGGAACGTCACTCACATATCTGGACACTGGTACCTGATCCCGCCAGAATTTGATATTTATATTATTGTTTCATATCTACATTTTTTAGGTGAGGTTGTACATGATTTGAAATATAATTTTAAAACATGTTCGATTCGGAGGGGAATTTTTTGCAACAAATTAAGGCATTATATAGTTTATTATCTTCAATACCTACTATTTCTTCCTTACTTCACTAAAATAATCGTACCTTCTTTAAAACTGGTTGGAGATTAGTGTCTGACTTCATCGTAAATTTCGGAATCTCAATGTGTATTTCAGCAGAATTCAAATCGTGGTAGTTAACGACATCGTCATCAGTGATCCTGCTGAGAAGCTGTTCAGTATTGGAGTCTTCATTGGGCATTATGAGAACTAAGGAATATTGATATCTCTGAGAAAAAAAATAGACAAATTAAAAACTGATGTTCTTTGGGGCGAGACAACAAAAAAGAAACATCAAATCGATTTATAAAAGACGAAGTGATACCCAAACTTATGCTTGTCTGACAGCACATATACAAATCGAAATTAGAACCCATTTTGTTTAAGTCGGTTAAAAATAACAAAATACATACTTCAAAAGGTAAGATGGTAACTACGGAATTGGTTTTAGAGTCTCGTCCAAATTTAAAGGATTGTTGCATTCTCATGAATGGCACTGTAACCGTTTGACCGTTTTTCAAATAGAATTTTCGGGGAATCGTAGACTCTGGTTTAAATTTGGTTTCCCATAGTCCTTTAAAGTACACAACATTGACCAATACTAACTGAGTGTTAGGGTTGAAAACATCTGAAACAATATAATAACCATCCCGTTCATCATGCTTAAATCATTATTACAGATACAGTAATTTCAAAAGGGCAAAAATCTTGGATTGACTTAACATACCGGGTGGAAGCATATCAGTAATTCTATTGTTAGTGTTGTCTGCTACCCATTTATTAATTTTCTTTGAAGCTTCCGCGGATCTAGCAAAATTCATCGGCGTTACTTCGCTACCAAAATTTCGAATAGCAGTGGTCTTGAATGCTGGATCTAGGTCGAATGAATCGGCAACTACTACGTTGTTCGCTACAGTAAGTATATTTCGAGAGTTGCGTTTCTGGAAACGAAGGATAATTATATATTTACGACTTAAGTTACGGTATTTTTCATTTCCAAATATGATAACATGAGGAAAAAAACCAATGAAGATATGTTTCTTACATTTGTTAAAACATAAATCAGAATGGTTGTTGGCAATGGGCTAACAAAAAGTAACTGTCAAAATAATTCATATATTATGATTGTTTATGAAATTATAATTTACAGTAAGCAAAGTTAAGAATAAGTTAATGGTCAAATCAATAATTTCTTCAAATTTACCTACCCTCATATCAATAGTAAGTCGTCTATATATGGGCGCAGTTATTTCTGGAGCCATGTGTAGCGCGTTGGTAATTTGTTCTTGAGCACCGCCGTTTGTTCCTTGCTGTAGAAGAGCTAGAAGGGTGGCTATAGAAGTTGGAGACATCATGATGTTGCCAGCCTGTAGTTGGACTGCACTCTGAAATGTTTGTTAGTTTTTTATACCAATTTAAATAATCCATAAATGACCATCACGCGTGAATTAAATTTTTTAGGTACAGTAGATGCATATTATGAATTAGCCTGTATATCTTTTTGGATACCTACTAAAGAATGTCGTTAAAGCGTGAAAGACAGACGAGAGTTTTGAGTGTATGCACAATAACTTAAACTGTTAAATCATCTTTAATTATCGTCTTTATAAGCTACTAACTGTGCCAGAGTCTTTGTATAGGTAAAATAGCTATTTTGGACATCAAAATGAATTTTCACACACCACGCAATTTTTTTTCGCAAAATTTCGCACACTAAGCAATCTGTAAGGCCGAGCCTCGTATATTCTTTAAGTTTTATTGTTGATTAAGTGATATGGAAGGCCGTTTGATTGTAAGTTTAAATAAATAAAAAATAGTTTTAGCAAACCTCTTCTTCATCTTTATGAAGTCGACCCGTCGTTAAGTTAATCATAAAACATACACCTTTACTGTAACGGACTTTTTTTAAATTAAAGTATCATTTGAACCGTTTCCTAAGCGCACGCAACGGAAAACCTCAAAGATAGAATATATTTTTCCCCGTGTTTTTCATATTTCCCACTGTTTCTTCGATTCTATCAGTCGCATAGTGATATCAAACAAACAAACTCACACATACCTTCAATAGCTGAATTCCCAAATCCGAAACACCATGACTGACGTTCTTAAGTAATTCCTTCTGCGGTTCAACATTGGGCAAAATATTCGGCTCCGAAAAACGGGAACGTAACTCGCCTGCGAGAATATTATTATCATTTTGTGCGCTCAGCGGGTTAATATCTTGATAGGCGGATCTGTAAATATTGGCTTCCGCGTTTCTTTGTTTTGAGCTATAATTTGGCGCATTATACTCTCCATCGTAGAAATATATTCGGTCGTTCGATTGGTCATTGGTATATCGATGGTTTTGTACTTGACATGACGCGACAGCAACACAAACGAAAAGTACTGAAAAATGTAGTAATCAATATTTATTAATTCACATACAAGTAACTCTTAAAAATTGAGAAATATGTAGAAAGTTAATATTTTAATACTAACGCTAGTGTTTAACGTAGGTATGTGCACTACGTAGAATAATTTAAGTACGCAAGTTTAAAATACCTCTCTATCTTTGGCGTAGATATCTACTTTTTTAATCTAATATGTAATGTTAAAATGGATTATACAATACGCAAGAAATAACTTGGGGACTGCCCCTAAAAAAACTTAAATAACTGAAATTTCAATTATTGATTGTTTTTTTTTTGTTCAAATAATAACTTTTATTAGTTTAAAATGTATATATTAAAAAAGTTGATGAAAGATGACCGCTCTGACTCTTCAAGACTTTTGTTTACATTGTTTTATCATTTATCCATGGGTTAGTTACTTTCGTACTTGATAGATTATGTAAATTGTGTTTATCGTTGCCATATACTATACTATTATATATCTAAAATCATCTTATTTATCTAGTAAAAGGTTATACATACTTAGTAAATTTTTCACCATTTCCACACTTGTTGAAAACACTTCAAACTCATTCCTATTAACAAACTAAAGTCAGACAACGCCGTCTGCGCAGAGAATGACCGTAAACGAGTTATATTATTTTATCATATAGCATCGCTTAAAGAAACAGTCAAATCTGTACCTTACTAGTAGGAGATAAGTTACATTTTCATAACGATATGACTTACAACCTTTATCAAGAGGGGAAGCCCATCTTTCTTGTGGTTTTCCTCATTGTAACTGGTTTATTTGCCAAGTTATTTACGCATCGATTTACTATAAAAATCCTTCGATATTTGAATAAATATAAATCCTTAACATATTTTGGATAGCACAGATGTAATAATAATATTATGGAAGACTAAAGCGTATGACATAATATGTAAAATCTAAAACATACAATTTGTCTTTGAGCGTCAAAAATCAGTGTTACCACGCCTTAAAATTTTATTTTCTTGTTAGAGAAATGCTACTTGATTATTAATTTACATTTTTACCATCGTCAGTTAGGCTTTCATAAATAATTTGTGATTATAAGAAAAACTAAATTAAAAACACCAATATTAATTTATTCATTCAATATCAAAGTAATCCCACTAATTAAACAATATTACAAAACACAATAACTTAACTACTTACTTTAATGTACTAAAATAAAATTAACTAAATACAATTTTATTATTTTCAATTATTAAACGCCTTACCTTCAGTGCCTGGCAAAGAACACTTAGTATGTACATACATTAATAAGATTTTATTAGGCTTACATTTTTCATTTTACAATGTGCACACATACAATTTTAAATTACATAGTATTTTTGTACATACGTTAATAAATATTAAAGTTTATAATAATCGTTTTTGTATCAAGTATTTATTTGTATTTATTATTTATCGCTTTTAATTGGCAATGACGTCTCGATATATACGTCATTGGTAATTAGCAATAAGTATGAATCTTTTAAAACTAGAAATCAATATTGTGTGACGAAGTTTACAACAACAGTTCCCTTATTAAAGTCTCCCCTTTAAGACACAACCTGTGCAGTTCTAAAGATAGTTTCTGAGGTATTGAATTGTACTTATCTCTACAAAGATTATTAGGGGCAGTAAATTCGAAGCCGTCTGATTGCAACATAATAAAAGCTCTTATCTGCGCCATACACACTTCAATTAGGTCTGGTTTATATCTGTAAATTAAAAGGATTTATGTAAAATAAGTCTTAAACATTCTTTTAGATCCACATAAGTTTTGACACGGGACTCGAATAAGTAATCAAGAAGGACCCTATACCAAGGAGCTTATATCTCCTGTCTCTTGGAAGAAATTTCTGCATCCTTTCTTAAACGTTCACCTCACACGAAAATGTATACAACCAATTTAATGTGTCAATTTTTACGACATGGGCAGGACTTGGGCCGGCATCCAAAACGTTTCGAGCTGTTGATTTAACCAATTGAGCTACCGTGCATCGCGTCATCGTCGAATTATTTCAACCGATTGTTACATGCACCTCGCGAGCAAATAATCGTTTTTTTTTTAACTTTTTTTACATATATTGTTTTATAATATTTTACATACATTGTTTTATTTAACACTATTAAACCGGTAAAGAAACCGTCTAGCGGTTTATGCAAACCGGCTTCGGTACCTTAAATTAAAATCCCCCTGCGTCTATCCGGCCTGTCCACAGCATGTCTTGCGTATTACTGTCTAAGTCGTTCAAGTATAGAGGTAACGTGTACTTGCAGGTACGTTTGCCATACGAATTGCTCGTTAGCGGCATTTCGTACCTGGGTATATAAATGTATATATACATACACTATCATGTGAAAATTAAAAAAAAGATCAAGAAATATTGGTTAATGTCGGCACTATAATAATGTATACATAACTTACACAACACAGTTTTTCAGCTTTTCAATAAGGTGACCTTTCTTTAGCAACAACAAAGCTATTTTGACGGCCGCCAATGCTATGGTCGAAGGGTATTCACTGCACATATCCAAATTCAGTATCATAGCGGTGGTACAAATAAGGGACGCTGCAGCCTGTATTTCCCCAAAATCCTCCGCACCAGATCGCCACGCCAAGTAATCTATGAACTCTTGTGGAATATGCGGTAGACGTGGGAAGTTCTAGAAATTAAACACAATGCGAAAAACAAGAAACTAGCGTAGACACAGGCAGGAATAGTGATTTGGGCATCAGAATCTCACTCTTTCTTCTCTCCTATTAATCATAGCGCGATGTTCAAAGAGCGATGGTTAAAGTAGATTTTGACAGCTAACGTAAACTAGGGTCGCGTTGTGTAAAGAGCAATACGGGGTCTCCCGTGACCACTGCTGCGGCAAAGTATCAGGCAATCGTCAGGCCATAGTTAAAATACATTTCGCGTTTTAAATTGTTAAAGGTGTTCTATAGTACATAATAATCTATAGTTAACGTCTTTAGTATATAATAATCTTACCAAAAGTTTTAATATCCTCCATTCAGTCCTGCATAAAGTTGGCACATTAAAGACCTTCCCTGACCGATGCACCAGCGTCTTTGCCGTGTTCGCTTTTCCATGGATCTTTCTAGAAATCCAGAGGCACGCTGTCACAGCTACTGGTACATCCGACGTTTGAACATTGCACCGCGAGTATATTGAGTCGAAGTACCACGCAGCCGTTTGTACAACTGCTGGGTTTCCGCTATTCTGTTGGAAAAGAGTATTTGGTAAACTTGGTTTTGCGGTCTTCATTTTTTTTATGTAATGTGACTAGTTTTGCATATTGACCTTAATTTACCAAGTAGGTAGTACTCAGCTGACTGGATAAAGTGGTCGCGTCACTCAACAGTGACGTCTTATATTTCATTATTTTTCTTTAAAAATGATTTAAATATCAATAAATAAATAGTGTCGCGTTCGTCATTAAAATTTGTATAGTACGTATTTCCCAATAGAGTTTCGAACCAGGATTAGAAAAAAAAATAGTTTCATAAAATAGTTAAATTCATACGAGCAGAATAATGTATGACACCTTCGTGACTTATGGTTAAATGCATGCATGCATGTCTAGCATCGCTTTAATTAACAGAGGCCCTGGGTTCAAATCTCGGGAAAGCAATATAACATAAGTCTAATCAACTCGCATTGATTTGTTGTTTATGTACTTATTTGTAAATAAAATCATTTTTACACACACTGAAACGAAAGCAAGCGTGATACGAAAATATTGAATGAGAATAATATACGTAATTAATGTATGTCAAACCTTTACGTCAAACTCGAGCATCCAATTTAAGGAACACGCTCGACTTTTGGTTCTTCCCAATTTCTTGGGATAAGGCCAGACCTCCTCGTTTTCCAACAAATAGCGAAATACGTCGACTTCATATGGTTCATTACGTGGTATGGTACCTAAAATGATAAATGTTTACTTAACGCAAATTAAAAAATATATATAAATAATGGACTGAAATATAAGACATAGTGTATAAGGCAATTCACAAATACAGACGGGAAATAAGTTGCAGTTATATGCAGTGTAGATACGACCTGCACCAGATTTAATGAAATTTATATCTATTGTAGAAAATAAACATAGTGATTATTTGCAACATTTTTTTAATATCATTGGGAGATGACAAGTAGTAGTACGGTATACTAAATTATTTGTCTTACAAACCTTGTTCACAGTCTGATTCAAAAAAACGCTTCTTGTTCACATTTTCATCTGAAGTTCCTGGGCTACGAGGCCTCTTAAGGCCTTGCTTAATATTCTTCGATTTTAGCTGGTCTTGGGGCGTTCTATCTTCACTTACTTCGGAAGTAACATTAGTTATACTATCATCTCTAAAAACGTAATATCCTATTTCATCGTTCTTCGTTCGCACAGTAACATGACGCGTATCAACTTTTATTATCGGTTTGGTTATTCTCTCTTCATTATTGATTATGCTATTGTTAGGGACGTTGGTATCATTGTTCGAAATGGTCTTTAATGGTTGCCGGGGCAGGGATGGCTTTCTTCCAATTTTTTTATCAGTCACTCGCACGGGAATTCTTGATGTGAAACTCTTATTTTTATCACTGGAATCCATATTTGTAAGGAAATATTCACACAAAATAGTAATAATCGCAACACAGTTACGACCGGCGCAACTGCGACTGGATAATTAAAACTACTGTCGCTACAGAGACAACATCAAACTACCCGCATTTTGATGAAAATGTTACTTCTTCTCGAGCTCTATAAATTGACTTAATTGATTTTTAATGGGATATTAAAATATAGGAATATCCACAAGTTATAATATATTTCAACCGAATTCTTTTTAATTAGAACATAGTATTTGTAATTTTAAATTTACTTTACTACTTTCCTAAAATCATCGTTATTATATTAATTTTCACTTAAAATCGTCATCCTCTTTTACAGAAATAAAAGAAATTAAACTTTATATAATTTAATCTTTAACGTATCACAAGACTTAACATTAATTTAAATAAATAAAATTCAACTTAAACTATAATGTGTACTTTTTCACTATCAAATGCTACTGGTTTTAATAACAAAAAGTTTTTAATACAGTAATTACGGCTACATCATTATTCTTCAAATATAACTATTACTTACATCTAACCCTATTTAGCTATTAAGAAAAAAGATACACCAAAGGTACCAAGGTAAGTATTCATGTATTTTTAATAAATATCTATAGTTTTTAATAAATATAAATATCTGTATGTTAATATCTTAGCTTTTTTATCTCACGAAGCATTTAGACAGTAATTACTTCTAAATTTAAACATTAATTTGGATGCAAAACAAACGACATTTTTAATCTAACAGAACACAGATGTAAAATTTAATTATGTATTCAAAGGCTGTCTTCAAACAGAGTCAGTGGGTTGTTCTGGGTCAGTAACCTTTCCAGCGACTACGACCAAGTTGTCCAAACAGTCAAGGATGTAGAACACGAATGGTTGTTCGACACAGAAACGACGAGGCTCTTTAGTTTCGTACAAGGGAAGATTCTTGAGCGATTCAGCTGCGTTACTCGCTGAAATAAAAAAGAAATAAATCAAATAAGAAAAATAAAAGATTCGGAACCTACGCTATTAAAATATTATTCTACGTAATAAACTGTTGTTCACAGCGACAAATATCTCATATATATAATATTTAATATTTTTACGTCTGGTTACAATAATCTTAAGCACGATACTGATAAAGTTTCAGTTAATATTTTGTATTGCTTCTCTATAACCTATTAAGTATGAAAAATAAGTGCCTTGACCTCCCAAAAAATAGTTTTCAATTTACAGGTGAAACCAACGGTGAACCAAAATGCTTCGAATTAATCAAAATAGAGGGCAATTTCAGATTTAAGCTTACCTCCTATGAGCGACGATGAGATCTTAGTATTATCGACTCGAACTACAACGTTCTGCACGAGTTCCTGAACGAAAAGTCCTTCCTTTGACGATATCCCTGATAACTCTGCCTCGCGCCCGAAAATACGGCTCACTCCAAACTGTAAAATTTGTATTATCGCATAACGAATCTATATAAATATGCATGGTTTTAAAAAATAGGCTAAAAAAGGTCAAGCAATACTAAAAGTATAAGTAGTTTCTTAAACGCCAAAGCATTGAAAAAACTGAATCCGAAAAAAGTGTCGCTACTTATTTCATAACTATTGTCGCTGTTTACGCTCACCTTAGCTAATGCTGCCACCGGCTTGGTGGTAGTGCTGACATAGAAGGATGGTAGCGACACATGCAACTCTTCTTCCACCAGGCTCTCCTTGATGTCAGATATCGGAGCTGATGGGAGGTCAGCGATCAGCCGTGTCAGTCCATCCCTTGTCCTAGGCTTAACTACTAACAAAGCGTATCTTCCACCCTACAAAAATATTAGAACCCATTTAAATTAGTGTTATATATATTTGCAATTTTCTTTAATTGTTTTTTATTTGTGTGCCTGTTGTAAGGTAGTAACCCTGACTACCTTTGTTTTTAAAATACATCCTTAAGCTTACCTCATATGGTAAAACAATAGCCTCGCTGTCCAATTCCGGTAAAGTTCCTGTCATAAATTTGCCTCTAGTTTTCATCATCATTACTTGTTTCTTTTCGGTGTTTGATTTATAGAATAAGCCAGGTTCGATAACATCAAAAGGCTTTTGCCACGTGCCACGGAAGTACATACCGTTGAATATAATCATTATTGAATTAGTTTCTGTAAAGACAAATAATGCATATTGTTATTTATACATAGACAAATTTGCCATACAATTTAAATTTAACCACTTATTTGTAGAAACTGATATCTGAGTTTACACAGACCATTGGTACGTTCTAAAAGAGTATACTTAGTGCTTTTAAATAAATAAATATACTTACTGTGATCACTGTCCTTCTTCCCTACACCGTTAACCGATATGCTAGATGCAACATCGTTTTTGTTCATTAGAACACGTTGATTCCTTACATCATTTCTCGCTTCATCAGCTATCATCGTTTCTTCTGCATCACTGAAGTCATCTGCTTTTGGGTTTGTTTTTACTAATTTAATCTGCTCCTTGATATTTTTAGCTGGCTTATAAGTGATTTGTGTTAAATCAATCTTCTCAGGTTTGTCTTCAACTGCATATGTAATTAACTTTTCTTGTGCGTCTTTAGGAGGTTCGACTTCTGGAACAGTTTTTATGTTGTCTTCATCGTCATCAATGTTTGAATATCTCTCTACAGACCGAACATCTGTTAAGTAACATTCTTGTAGTACCTTCTTGTAGTCATCATTAATTGAATAGTTTTTGTATACGTAAAAATAGTTTTGCAATTCTGGCTTATTGTATTCAAATTTGTTTGTGTATTTTAGTCGTTCCATAATATAACGGTAGTTCTTGCGGATAAGCTTTTCATCTTTGGGTAGGTGCAATGCGCTTACTAGTTGTTCTTTAGTTTCACCACGAGCTCCTTCAGCCAAAATAGCAAGAATAGCAGAATAGCCGAGAGGAGAGAACACTATATTATTAGTATCATCTATGTAGCCCTGAAATAAAGCAGCCGTTTTACTAATAACATAGACTAAAAAAGAGGATAAAATAAATGATTACCTAGTACGTTATATCACGTATAATATGTGAATCATATCTTTATTTATGTAGTTAAATAGTAAACTAGACTTGGACTTTTCGTTTTAAGACATGCTTTTAAAAAATCAGTGTTATAAAATACCTGCAAAAGAGCGGTTGATAATTCATTCGTAGCTTCTCCAATGAAGCTAGTTTCTTTAGGCTGGTTCGTTCTGCCACGGCGTACCCATCTCGCTGTGCTAAGCCCGACAGCCACGAACAAGACTGAAAGTTACATTATAAAACATTAAATTAGCCAAATACTTCGTTAAATAGATCAACACCATTAATCATATATATTAGAGATGAGTATATAATATAACTTTTAATTTGTCAAATAAATTAAGAATTATTATTATTATTAGTATAGTGCAATTTAAATAAAACAGTTAACGGTTTAGAACGCGATCTATATTAGTTAAACTATATTTTTTTAACTACGGCCGACGTTTCGGATGCTTTGCAGCTTGGTTAAGCTGCAAGGCCGAATTGTTTTATTTAAATGTGTACTATTCGCGTAAACTACAGACAGTATATAATGCAATTTATGTTTTTCTATAAATCTTGATAATATATATTTTGTGCAAATCAATGGACAAAATACTTATACTTTTTAGCTTAACTTAATATCATTCTATGAATGCTAATGATCCGAAATATTAAAAAATGTCAAAGTAATTAACTTATATCTTATTTAAGAACTCTGCAGAAGAACTCTGCTCAATTAAGAAGTCTATTCAGAAAATGTATTAAATATACAACAAATACATAGTTATTGATTTTTTTAAGGACCGTACTGTAAAAAATTCAATCTATTATTTTAATGGATGGAAGCTCTTATAGCACAATATAATATTTCAAGTTTAACAACAATGTGATATAGAATTTTTCAGTTAAGGGATTAAACATTTTATAACTGTAAACCGCGCGTACTTAAGGCTTCCTTGATCGTCAACTGTGTCGTGATACAGATACAACGGGTTCTTGCCGCGTATTTAGGTTGAGTCCATCTAGCGGTATTACGATCTAGACTTGATGTTTTAATTAAAACACATCGTTAACCTACACTTGCTAACTCTGCCTCATCTTACTGGTTTACATCATTTCCGTGAGAAACTGATTTATATCTTAGAAAGTTCTTTTTATTATGATTTGTTTATATATCTTTAAAAATAGCATTTTATTTTTCATCATAATTTGTTGTGAAATGTTCCTTATAAACTTTCATTGCTCTGTATTTTTTGCAAAACTACAGTCGTTTAAATGGAATTTTGTAACACTAAAAAATGTTAGGATTTAAAGGCGGTACCTATGATAGCACGCTCCCGGGATGTTGCTACAAAAAAAGAACAGAACTCTCTTATTATATTATAATAATTTGTAAACAGGTCCTACGGAAAATAAATAAGACAGAGAAAATAATTGCTGTTATACATTTCCAAATGACACCTAAATTAAAGCGATTGGGGCATCATAGTCTGTAAACCAGTGTATTTACTAAAATACACTGGCTTACATTAAATGCAACTTGTATAAAATTACATTTATTATGAATTATATTATGTACTACTTCAATCAATCTAGGTGCTACGATTAGCAGTTAGAAATAAAGCACTTTAGAATCTTTAAAAAAATACTTTACAAAACATTAAAACTGTAAATATTTACTCAATTCTGTAGCTTTAAGTTTCTTCATTCATCAGGTTCCACTAATTGCCCTCAGCAATCTCCACGGAGATTATACAGTAATTTACCTCAAATTATCTCGGCTATGTCACGTATGAGACATCGCCTTAGCTGGAGTAACCATGATGTTTTTTAAAACCCTCTCTAAGTTAAAGTCATTCCTTAGATGTTTTGTAATATACGTTATACGAGTAGTAAGTTGTACTAATAAATATTAATAAAGAAATATAATTATTGCTGCTAACAATTTAATTAATGCCAACAGTTAGAGTCATTTCCTAAAATAATCTTTTATATAAAATAGTGGTATGACTATACTGTATATTGAAATCAATATCTTGGTAGCTCGAATAAGGCGACAATCAGTCCTTTCCTGAAAGTCTTTGTAATGATATGGCTCCCCAAAACCGGCGCGAGCGCACCAAAAAAAAAGTTCCTCTCAAGAAATTGCAATTGATTTGGTTTCCCAAATGTGAAGAACCAAAGAGATTGGTAATAACTTAGTAATCATTTTAACCGTTATTAATTGTATTCTTGTAATATCACTATTTATACATCTATTTTTTTTTAAAGAAACCCCGTAGGTAAACATTGTGGTATCAGTATGTAAAATTTCAACGCCGACTGCATTTGTCTTGCTTATTGTATGCTCATCACGTTGTTCTTATGAGCACGGGCATACAAAGAAAGTAAACGGATGCAAGAAAGGATGTAGAGGTATTTTTAAAATATGAGTTTCTACTTCAATGTTTGAAGTAGGAGACAAAATGTTATAAGAGAGATTTCTATGCGACAGAGACCCTTCAAAACTCACAAAGACCGAATTTATAAAAAAATATTCATGTCGTTTATCACGTCATGTATTCATAATAAGCACTAATAAATATGTTTCGGAAAAACTTAAAATTTTATACCTACAAAATTGGAAACGTTTCGTTCTTTAAAAAGAGATATACACTATCCCTTTCCCGCACGTGTAGAGTAGAAGAGATGGTAGATATGTCATAGTTATTTTATTGAAATTTTTATCTCACGATTCACACATTATGATTTAAAGGTTTCCTATAAGTGTTAAACGCGTAAAGCACCGTACTATCCGGTGAACGCACTGCGCTGACCCTACTCTATTGTACTTCGAGTACCGTCAGCAAATAAATTAGCGCGAACTTTCGAAACTCGTTAAAATAATTTATTTTAATATCAGACTACAACTTTTTTTAAACATATAAATACATTAATTCAAATAAGTAATTTTAAAATCTTTATTTATATTAAAAGAAATGCATGGTTTGTTAATACATATTACAAAAAAATATTTTTTTTGGATATTGCTGAATGCTATCAGCATTTCTAATTTTCTCCCAATTATTTATTTAAAAGTTTACTTAGTTTTATGACTGATAACATTAATTGTAAATGAAATAAATAAAATGGACTAGGAAATGAAAACTAATGGACTGAGTAAAAAGAACGATTTTAACATAACTTTTTTTGCTAACCGTACGATCGCATGCCTCCTGGGAAAGCAATTTCATGCAGTCATACGGTTAAATTATTTCTATCTTACAATGTGTAGCAGATGCCTCTGGTGCCTAAGCTTTATTCTTAAATAGTAATTGAGATATAATTCATTCGCCAACTTTGAAGGAAGTTTATTGGATTTTAGTTTTACCGACTTGATTCGAAGTTAAGATATCATCAAGAAACGAATAACGTCTTATTTTTTTTTAATAAATTCTATAGATGTAATGACTTAAAGTCAACCTATAAGTATAGTAGTGTAGTTTAAACAAGTAGTACATATTTATACCATATTTCGAGATTTGAACCGTTAGAACTGTTTTATTTCAATTTAAATTAAATTAAGGAGCTCAGTTAATTCCGAATCATTTTCTAAAAGCAAAAGGCACTTCAAACAATAAACACTGGAAGAAAAAAACTTTTTTTAGATTTGTGAATTGTGATCGTAGACGTTCATTTCAATTTTTTTAAAAAAAAAAAATAAATATTTTTTTCTTTTTTTGACGTAAGAGCTTTTGGAAAACGGAGCTTCTTTATCTCAAATAAAAATGCTGTGCTTAAAAAAAAAAGATAAAACCGAATTTCCTATTTCACTAACGAAATCCAAATTATTTCATTATTTCTAACTTTGTTGTTACAAGCATGTACCCAAGTAACTAGCTGAGTCACGGGACTTTGTAGCGTGAATAATCAATTTGGATATCCATTTTTGTTCTTGCAAGCTCCCAAGTTAAAATTTGATACCGACCTCGCCGCCACGTTGTCTTGCAAGTTAATCAGATAGACATATACTGTCGGGGACTTTTCTTAGGACATCTAAAGAGGAATAATTCTCTGATACATATTTTTTGGATATCTTGAACCGTTATCGCCGCGTACGCAATGGAAACTCCAAGGATGAATAATTTTCTCCGTTTTTTCGACATTTCCCGTTGTTTATTCGCTCCTATTAGTCACAGGCTGTGTTTTATAACCTTTCTCAATAAATTTTCTAACATTATCTTTGCAGGAAACCAGTAGGTCCTGAGATTAGCGTGGTCAAACAAACAAACTCTTCAGCTTTATATATTAGTATAGATATGAATAAAATTCCGAATGTTCAAAGCTAAATAGGTTGATAACGCATATTAACTGGACATAGGCACATAATGTCACAATTTTGAAAGAAAATTTCACCATTCAGCTTTGTGTGACATAGTAATAATATTTATTATTAACAGTATTGTTCTATAGCTCAAGGAAGACCATTACATACTATAGCTGCTTTGCATATTTGCAAAACACTGTATAGTAAAATTATACAGATAAAACATGAATACGTACATATAAAATATTAATGTATTCGTAACTAATCATGACCAATAAACTTTATGGCACTTTTGAAGATGTATTATTTATTACCTGGTAGTTAGATGACAGATGGTTAAAGTAGGTAATGTTGTAATCCATATTATTAAAGATTAAATATTTGAGATTTAAATAAATACAATAAAATAATCCCTCTATTACCACAAAGACTTGTATATAAGTTACGAATGAAATAAACCATAAAAAAACTTAAAATAGATGAATTAAAAAAAAGACATTGTTCTAAAATTCATTTAACTCAGCCTATGGTTATCTTTTATATTTTGGGTTATTGCTTGCTAAGCGCTAATTTTCAATCCTTCCTTTATCAGATTATTAATCAACTTACATATTTGTTTACAATTAATATGTATTACATTTTATTAATTTTAAAATAATAAGTTTATTTAGTAAGTATTATTTTATATACGTATTTACGTTCGTACTCAATAAAACCTGATTTCTATTTATCCCATGAGAAAAACTTATCATTGGATTATTACATTCAGTATCGTATTTAGGTATTTTTTTATCAATTATATTGGATTATACAAACAGAACTTACCCAAAATGACAGCCTTCATTACTCGTAGTCCTCTTCTGAAAGTAATTTATCCAAAATTAAAAGAAAGTATAAAAAAGTGTATGTCTTGAAAATTTTCTGCAAACTTAAAGTAAATCATCATAAATTTAAAGCATAGAAATTGAACATATGTATTTTAATGATATCATCTTATTTTTCAAAGATATAATATTATTCTATATGTGTCCTTGACCTTCATACGGACAGAGATGAGCCAACACTATTTTAAAGTAGGAAACTTAAACATTAATATGTTTATTTACGAACTTAGGTACTACGGCTTTACTGGTTTTATTCCAATAAGAATTAGTCAAAAACTATGTCTAATTATTGCGAAGAATTTAGTTAGACTAAGTGTAGGTACAAAAATAACCTACCAAAATAACATAAATTCAATACTTTATTAAATTTAAGAACTGCCTTTTCTTAATTTCCCTTTCTTAGATCCTCTTGCTGTTCAACACCCGTTATATACCAACAATTGGTACATCGAGGTTTCACTAAATCAAATAAACTTGACCTACATAGCTCAGTTGCAGCGGTACAAGTGTTAATGTACTTACATGCTGGCTGGATGCACAAATTAAAAAGTGACGCACGAAAGAAAGAAACGTCAAATCGCGCGGCAAAACGCGGCTGCGTAGACGCCGTGTTCGGTAGGGAATGACGCTAGCGGACGCCGGCGCACCTTACTTTATATCAACTTAAAACAGTTAGCTGGAAAACAATAACAAGTATAATACCCGTGTTCGGGAATCGGGATTCAAATGTTTTATGTATTAGATGTGTTTTTTGCTACAACGAGAGTTAATGTGTAATATTCTTTACTACAAAATGATATCCACTAGAATGTAACTTACTAGTAATAGATGCACAACATAAATATGAATGTGCAATCCGTTTTCCTCATGTGGGACACAGACATATTTTAGAGTTTGTTTCGCTGGCCATTTTTAATTCCATGCAAGTAATTTATCGGACTCTGTTCGCTGCCCGACCGATAATATTATGATGCCTAAAGAAAGGGCAATGCTGTAAGACATGTTAACATATGTTATAAAGACATGTATACGCTACGTACCTAATAAATAAGTAGTAATATTTTATCAAAATAATTGAAAATGTTATTAAAAAATGTAATCACAAACAATAAATCGTCTTACTTTTCTAGGTCAGGACAGTTTTTTTCGAATTTTAAAGCAGAATTAAATTTAAAATTCATCAAATAGCGTACTGCCTAACTTGTAATATTAATTATTATATAAGAACTAGCTGTGTCAGCGACTTCGTCCACGAGAATCGTTTCTCGGGAATCCAAATTCGTTCTAACTAATACCTTCATCTTTATAAACTTTAGCTGTTATCCAGACGTCCCATTTCCTAACACTTTCTTCATTCAACTTCGTTTGCATTAGTCGACAGTCGACATTTTTCAAATTCGAACCCTTAGTTCCTGAGATTAGCGCGTTCAATAATTCAAACAAACAAACTCTTCAGCTTTATATATTAGTATTGACACTTCAAGATTCCTGTTACACCAACTGTTAATCAAAGATTTCATTTAAAAAAGAACATGATGATGTATCAATCTTTATAATTCCTCAAGAACGTTGATTGATCATTATGTAAAATTTATTCACCTGTATCAACCATTTTTATTTCTACCTTTTAGCCTTTGCCCATCATTAGGAGTCAATGGCTCCGTGTAATCAGAATATTGCCAATAAAACTAACCGTTCTGCAATAAACTGCGTGGTGGGGATGTAAAACTTTGTCATTTATGTCCAATTCGATAAGTATATGGGATTATTAAAACCGCAGCAAGCAAATATAAGAGGACTAACAACGACCTGCTGTGTTACTTGTTTATCAAATACTAAAGAAGAATACTTAAGGCTCATCTTATAATGAAGGGAGTGAAAGCCAAAACCATTAATGACATTTAACGACACCCGATCTTTATAAGTGAGTAATGCCGATTTTGAATAACACCAGAATAACCAATATGGCACCTTTTACAAAACTTATCGGTTCTACAGTAGATGTTAAATACGGTCTTCATAAAAAGGGCTTAAATTTATATTTCTCTACTATCTGTGTCTTCGTCTTCGTCCGCGTTATTTTGGTCATCAATATTTTTGTTTTAGCAAACCTCCTCCTTTTCTTTATAAATCAAAGCTAAAGACGTCGGAGGCGTCTCAACGTTATTAGAAAGTTGATCTTAAAAGATAGACATATACGGTCACTAGGATATTTTTTAGATCATTTAAAGAGGAATCATTTTTTCATACATATTTTTTGGCTATCGTGAAACGTTTTGACAGCGACGCAACGGAAACCTTTAAAGATGAATTGTCCCCCTTTCATCCTCGTTAAACGCTCTAACAAACCCAAAAATAATTTTTCAATTCAAACCAGTAGTTTCTGGGATCGGTGCGTTCAAACGAACAAACTCTTCAGCTTTATATATTAGTATAGATTTGCATAAAAAATCAAAAAGTTTGAAAATAGCACGCGCAAGCAAACAGATTTTATATTATAAGTAAATATTCTGCGAGTATATGGCTTATTGGCTGTATTCTGAGGATATAAAAGGATGCTTCGAGATAAGGACGGTCGGACCTTTATGTATGTTGGTTTTACGATATGCGGGTTCTACTTATCTGTGGCTTCGAACACTTACTATCAGTATTTTTGACACTGCTTCAGTGCTAATGTGTACAGCCAGCAAGTCAGCCAGTATATCTATGGAATGTGAAGATTTATCATGTAGTAGCAAAAATAACTAAACAAAATAAAAAAATAAAACTCAAACCCCATCGGTTCTATTCTAAAAAAAAAAAAAAAAAAAAAAGGATGGAAATTTTTCATATAACAGGATTAATTATTCTATAATTAATAGCATTCTATAAAAAAATCAGAAAAACTCAATGTCGACAACTGATTGATTGTATGACTGATTTCGAATTCTATCGAGCGAACCACATGACAGTGTGCTTGTACATTTTACATCTTTTAAACTTTGCCAAAGTTAAATCCTGTTCAGAAGTGGAACGGTGGGTCTTCCGGTGTTTTCTTTTGTCCAATAAACGATAAATTAAAATCATATTGATATCTTCTTATTTATTGTAGAAAGCAACGAGTCCTCATGAATATTTAAAAAGTATTTATAATGTCGCATATGTGTCGCTTCTTTAGGTCGAGTTTATTTTGCAGATTAACTGAGAATAACGTGTAATAATCTTATTAACATTAAGAACCTGTTCTAATAAGTGCGCGCCGTTACTACCCAGCATCTTGCTTACCTCGTTTCCTACTTTTATTCGATTGTGACAACTTTGGTTAAGGTTTAAAACGCGAAATATATTAGGTAAACTTCTAACTTATTACTTATCTACGGCCCAACGTTTTGACGTCTTTAAATGTGTACTATTCGCGTAAACTACATACCGAATTTTAATACCTATCTAATTCAGAAAATAGGTACTTTTTTTAGTTAGAAATTTGCTTTTAGAAACATATTTTGTGTGGAGAAAACATGTGATAAAACAGTTTTCTATTAATCGAAAGTCTGTAAGGCAACGAATTTGTCTGTTTATTGTATAAACATACAATTTCGTTACCTCGAGGTTGGGAGAGGTAAGGAAAACACTGTGTACCAAATAAGTATTTTATTCAAAATACAAATAAGACGCTATCTTGCAATTCGAAAATTGGTAACTACACTAAAAGTAAGGGTTGGAAAGCCGTCTATTGGGGTTGCCATTTTTTACAATTTTCGCAGGCTCTGTAAATAAAACACAAAGATGATTTAATTAAAAATATATATATTATTATATATATATATTACATGATTATTAACAGTAATAAAATAAAGGGTCAACATAAAAAAATTAAGATAGTCACATTGAGTGTGAAAATTTTTGGCGAAAAGGTATCACACACACTATGCAATTTTAAAGACGTAAATCACTAATAAATATTAATCAAATAAAAATTTAAAAAATGTTTGACACGGTCAGGACTTGAACCGGCATCCTCAGCTTTCCGTGCTGTTGCTCTCACCAGAATACGGATGAAATGTATTTCTATAACTTACCAACATAGTTCTCAACTGGATTAGGCTGGTCAATTCTTCCTTCGAACAACACGAGCCCCATTTTATTACTCCTAATGAAGAAAACGAAAGGCCTGTCCACACGGACTTGGAGATCAGCACCGATAAGTGGTATCACCATCGCGACTGATGATGCAGCTGCCACTGTCCCCTTCTCATCAACAGACATGTGGACTTTGTGGATTATGTTGTCTACTTGGGAAGAGGCGCCATCGTAAATGCCAGAAAGGTTGGCGTTTTTGGTGAATAGGGACTCGATACGCATCTAAAAAGGAAATAAATTAGGCTCTAAACAACAGATTTGGTAGGATAAATTATATTGTCTAGATCCGGTTTCAAATCGTAATTTAAAAAAGTCCTGGCGTCAAGTACTTAAAAAATGTTTATTTCACTTTTGTCACGTTCGCACTAGTACTGAATACTTAGTTATGAATATATATATCAAATTAGATTCAATGACAAATCAGGACCACGACAAATAAATTATTATCGTCATCTATTCGATCTAAGTAAAAGTTATATAAATTTATGACAAACATGTTAGACCCGGTGGGGAGTGACCCGTTGATTATTAGCCATATGTTACTATCAATAGACCAACAAGGCCGTAGGCAAATAGTTCATCAATCATTAATTTAATTTGACCACAATTACCAACTGCATTTGAAATCTTTAACATAAAACCACTTACATTTCTTAAGGGCAGCGCCATATTTTCCGTGTAATCAATAGTGAATTTGGGCATCACAAGTCTGATATCAGCAGGCTCTAGAAGTTGACTTATCTGAGGCAGACTCATGTAAGGCAGATCCCGGATGAGCTGTCCACTACCATCGCGGTCCAAGGGAACAAGAAGGATCATGGAATACTCACCACCCTGGAATATTTATATTCATCAATGAAATCTAGTGATAAAAGAAAATATTGAGGTGCTTGAATTTTTTTTAAGAGCTTATATAAAGCACCAGAGGAGAGAGACAGAGAGATTTAAGGGTTGGAAACGTTCATAAGATAAAGACACTTTCGACTAATCTATCCTTAAGTAATGTCAAAGAGCTTCTTATTTATCTATTTGGCACTATCAATAAGTTTAGCGAGATTAACGACAAGATACTGCTTTAAAACTCTATCTAGATCTAATTCACAAAGTATGAAATTTTTAGATGTTAGATTGCAAATTGTGTGACGTCACAGTAACAAGGGAATTTCTTAAATGGTATGGTTACCTAGCTGTGACAAGGGGTGGAAAAGGATGAAAAAGCTATAACGTAACCGTAATTTATTTATGTAGTTGTCTCAAAAACTATATTCACAATAAATATATGAGGTAATCAAATTGTTCTGTGTCAATACTTACAGCATAAGGCAATTCTACAGCGTGTGCTCTTAAGTTATCCACATAAGCATATTTGACTTCAGCGTGTAACTCCATCATCGCTACATTTATACAAGTATTTCCTCTGTAGAAGCAGCCTGGCCTTGTGTATCTGGAGTTGAAGGCGTTGGCCCAATTGCCTTTGAAGTAAAGAGCGTTCGCCAGGATCATTTCAGCTTTTGGACTTATGTTTGCTAAAAAGGGAACAAAGAAACACGTTTAAGCGCTAAGTAGTTTTGCATGTAAGAGTAAGTATCATGATGTTATTTGTCTTGGGTATTTCCCCTTCCATAAAGTGAACCCATGCAAATCTGTCATAAGAGACGTTAAGTTGATCGTCGATCTACTTTAATCAATGCGTTTATTTCTTGTTGAAATTATCAACAAGAATTGCAAGGTAACAATAAGATGATGATGATGACCTTTAATGACTTCTCGAAATAAACTCAATGAATAAAAACTTAACTTTAAAATTATTATTTCCTTTCACCTTTTACTTATATCATATTTATAATAAATTCATGTATTCTTGTAAAAAAAAAATCATTAAATTTCGAAAGCGTCCCAGCTTTTTTGGACTGGAAGATTTGCTATTAGTAGCATATTTACCAGCGTCAAGAAGCCCAGGTATAAGACCCTTGGTCTTCTCAAAGACCCACTTGTTGATAAGTTCAGAGACGTTGAACGGATAGGAGAAGTCGACCTGCCGGAGATCTGATAAATAGACCTTTTGCACCATCATCTCAAATTCTTTCTTCAATTTCAATTTGTTGGAGACGAAAACTGCGTTTGCGTTTTCTACGGTGACACCAGGAGTATTGACCTGTAAATATATAGTTATGGTTATATTTATAATTTACAGCAAACTTTTCCATGTGGCAAGGGATGTCTTCTTTTGCGGGTCAAACTCATTTTTAAGGGTCTTATATTAAGTCTCAGGCTCGTTGGTGTAATGGTATCAATGTACGGATAATAATCGGGCCGTGGGTTCAATCCCCACCGGGTCACGCACCACCTTCCACAGATTAAAAGGCCGTAAAGCTTAATCACTTTTCGGCTTCAGTCTGTGGATTTCCGAATATCCATCGCCAAAATAGGCCGACTGCGCATCTTGCTTATCTGTCTTCCTCTATCATTACAAGCAATAAAGGCAGCAATTTCATCAGATATTTTTTAAACGCTGTTTGTTATTTTTAAATACATCAATGTGACATAATTGTCACGTTATAAGATAAAGTGTGCAATAAAATCCAATTACGTCTATAAGTGATGAATTAATTATATTTCCAGTAATCGTGTTAATTTATTACTTTTAACCTAGATGACATAAAGCTTGACATTAGCTTATAAATTAATTTACTTCCTAGATAAATAAAATATGTCATCACTATAATATATTGACCGCCTCTGTAGCCAAATGGTTAAACGTATTGCCTAGCATTGTGTTAAGCGCGACAGATCCTGGGTTCGAATCCCAGGGAAACTTCGGAAACTTCTGTCGGCCCTCGGTAAGGGCACAGAAGTCTAATTAACTACTTGCCCGTTAAAAGAACGGATCAGTGAAATGGACACAGAATTTTATATATCATTTTCTACAAGAAACGCAGCAAATAAAATTTTGACGATTTCCAGTTTAAGCACTAAGTTCGTTCTTACACAGAAAAGGTTCACCAGCTTCTTAAAGTAGTCTATTCCTTATACATCTTAATTGTATTTTTGACACAAAAGCTATACTTGTACAGTCTGTAGTTTACACAAGTAAAACACTTTTAATGGTTCAAACTGAGAAATGTTTTTACTAATTATTTTTACTACGGCCCGACGTATAGACTTTCTGGCAGTCGTGGTCTCGTGGCTGTTTCAAAGCATAATTAAACGTAAATAAGTTTTTAAATATATTTCGTGCTTTAAACCGTTAAAATCGTTCTATTTAAACGAACTTGTGTGAACATTCGTCGAATTCCGTTAAGCAGTTTCTGCAGCAGGAGAAAGCTAAGTTTTAATCTGCAATGTCACGACTGTAACCAGATTTATTAATATAAATAAACTTACTCGTAACAACGATAAATACGCGTTCAACTGTTCTCTAAATTCGTCCTTATAAGCAGACAAACGTAAAGCACTCCTAATTTCGTCTTCAGTGTTGCCAGCAGCACCTTCGAGAATCATCGCCAGAGTGGACTTGATACTGGCTGGAGAGATTATTACGTTGCCAGGGCGATCTTCCGCAGTATATTTGAGTAGGTCGATGTCGAAGAAATTGAGCCGGGATAATTCTGTCGGTCCATTTTGGCAGTCGAAACTGCTAAAGTTGATCACGAAGGCTGAAATTATAATTTTCAGTAATTATTGTATGTTTGTATACCGCCTCGGTCGCTAAATGTTGTCTAGCATTGCTTAAAGCGCGAATTCTCGGATTCAAATCCTTGGGTGATAATATATTGTTTCAGTCAGGCAGGACACAGAAGTCTTATTAGTTAGCTGTTAAAAAGTGCTTTTAAAAATGTGTGATTTGTAGTGTATGAGTGTGGCAGTCACATAACTTTTCTACGTGAAGGTAGCCGATATTTTTTCTTATATGAGATAGAATAAGTTTACGTTATTTAAAATAACAAACCTATTGTAATAGTTATTAAGAAATAAATTAAAAATTAAGTTGTATAAATTTTGCGTTTTATTCCGTTAAATGTGTTTTATTTAAATGTAACTACTGGACACTACCGAGTTATTATATATTAGTCATTGTGAGATAAAAATTTATTAAGACAGGAGAACCTTTTAAGAAAAATGGAACGTAAATGTGTTGTACACTAGGTATCTACTACACAGGTTTGATTCCCATCAGTTGTTTAATCCTTTTGTCTACGAGAATGTATGTAACTTTCACCCCGGTTTTTCGCACGTCATGTTATCAGTTTTGATTATCGTTAAAGCCCATCAGCCTACACGGGACTATTTTGGTGGGTAAAAATTGTCTATATAGGATGTCTTGTCAGGAAACCTTGCCTAGGAGACCTAGCTTAGCATTGAAAATGGATTAGTTCGAATAATGATTGAAGGATTTGTTTGCTTTGTACACAAATCCGACAAGATATCACGCTTCACGCTTACACAAATCTAAAATATGTTTTTATTTAACTTTATTAATTATAAACGCCACAAGAATTGTTTCCAAGAATAAAAACTTATGAACTAGCTAATAAATAATTTGCGGCCTCATCGCGACCTAAATAGCAATCTCTTCTAGGCAAGAAGTGACGGGAAAAACAAAAATTTAAGAGGGATAAAAAATACATCCATTAATATAGAAATTTGTACTAAATCTACTGGGTTAGCGTATAAATAACTTGAAAACTCTTCTTCTCGTTCAGGAAAGGAATGCAGTTACCTTCATTGTGCGTAAATTGCATTTAATTATGTCTCTTGGCACATTGAACCATTAATAAAACTGATTTGTGATGAGCAACCGTATTCAATCCGGACCTGGCATCAAGGTTTTCCTGATACAACCAGTTCTTTAACATTATTATTAAATCAATTTATGAGATCTTTATCTTTGTATATTCTTATGCATACTGCTAATAGCTATAAGCCAGTCCATTTTTGCAAAACTAACAGGGACTGCCTATTTCAACCTACCTGGTAGGTACCATGTGTTTCAAATGTATATAGTAATGTACGTTGACAAAGGTTTGACCAATATCGTTTACATCAGTTATCGCTATTATAAAATGTAATCTACACTAATATTATAAAGCCGAAGCGTTTGTTTGAACACGCTAATCTCAGGAAGTACTGGTTCGAATTGAAAAAGTCTTTTTGTGTTGAATAGAGCATATTATGCTCTATAAATATAGAGGAAAGCTTTGGGCTATAATATCATAATTTCACGCTGTGACTACTACGAGCAAAGAAACAGTGGAAAACAGGGAAATATACATCTTTGAGGGCGTCCGTCGCGTACGCTGCGAAAATGGTTCTAGATACCAAAAAAATACATAAGATCTAAAAAAAAGCCGCGACAATATGTCTTTTAATTTTAACTGTCAAGAACGATGTGACGCGACCGACGCGGAGGACGAGGGTAACGGCTACAATAATGGATGAGGAAGTTTGAACAATTTTACGTGGACGTATAATTTTTATATCCTCTAAAACAACCCTGACTTGTAAGAATATGAAACAGTAATTTTAACAACTTACGTATTTTAAAAGCCCTTTGGAAGCCTGTAGCTAGAAGTGGGTAATTAGTTATTATATTTTGATATCCGCCCTATTTCTATGAATAACAAAAAACAATACAATTAGCTGTTTACAAATCGCATTCAAGGAATCTAATTGGTGTCAAGTTACATATCACAGAATCACGTGCAATACGCTCTTACTTTTAAGTGCATTTGTTTCTTGTGCAACTACAGATTATAATTTGAGTAAATAAGAAGAAATATTTGAAGCAATCCAAACACCCGTAATCAATATACATTTAGTTACAAGTTATTGACTCAGTAATTATCGCTAACCTATTGATGTTTACCCCTGAACTGACATCACTACATAGTATAAAACAAAATCGCTTTTTTTGTCCCTATATACGCTTAAATTTTTTAAACTACCCACGAGATTTTGATGCGTTTTTTTTAATAGATAGAGTTATTCACGAGAAGGGTTTTTATATACAACGTTCAGTTTTTTCTCTAGTGTATTTAGTATTAGGATTGTACATAAGCGAAGCCGAAGCGGGTCGCTGGTTAAGTATAATATAATCTTGTACTGTCTGTAGTTTACGCGAGTAGTACACACTTAAGTAAAACGTTTTAACGGTTTAAAACGAGAAAAATATTAGCTAAACTTATTTGAAAAAATATTTTAACTACGGCCCGATGTTTCGGACGTCTCCCCGAGACCACGACTGCTGCAAAGCATCGGACACGATGGGCCGTTGTTAAAATAAGTTTATCTAATATATTTCGCGCTTAAAACCGTTTCATGTGAATATATTCTCTTTTATTTATCTTCAATTACCAACGCAAAGAATGTAGTTCTAAATATAACTTTATCCCCAATTATTATGAATGTAAACAAAAAATGCGAAACGAGAATTCACACGAAAACCTGTCTAGCACTTCGCATCTTCCAAGTAAACGGAAAGGTCAAATTTAATTGAAAAAACAAATCTGATATTAGTCGTAATAATTTAAAAATTGACACTCACCGATAAATATTGATATCCTCATTTTGAGTTTTCACACTATGATAAAGAATTAAAGAATGGAAAAAATGCGTGCATTTTGTACAACTATCGAGTTGAAAATGATGCTTGTAAACAAAACCTTGGCAAGTGTACGCCGAGCGGAATCATTTCGACCGTGCAGACCGGTTTGATGTTATGATAACTTACGTCAGTAGTTTGTGGGAAATTGCAGTCACTTAGTATATTTTTTGATTAAAGATAATCGTAGTTTTACCTTAAGAAGAATAGAATACGGAAGATGTTAAAATGCAACCTTATAAAGTAGAAGCATTTTGAGACACACTACAGTGATCCAGAAATTTGTTAATCTATAGAATTAAATTGGAACATGAATTTAAACTTCAGGGTTCCTTGTTTTTATTAAACATACTGGATGCGGTAAGAATCAAGTGTACGAAATGTTAGATCTTAACCGACCGTAGCTAGCTAGCATACCGAATTGTGGTTTTGACATTTAACTCCTGGTTTTATTTGGTGTAATTATTTTGGAAAATAATTGTTTTAATAGTAGAAGAATTTTTGAAGTTACTCGAGCGTGTTAGATTACATATATTGAATTAATTATCAGATGATTATATTATCAGTAATAAAAAGCGCTTATACACAAATCGAATCACAAATCATTTATTCATGTAGGTAGCTAGGTACACGTATGAACGTCAATCCGGTTACAGAATAAAACCTCTAAATTGACATTTACTACCAGTTCCCACAAGAAAACAAAATAAGTGACTCAAAAGATTTTTTTTCAGAACGCTCGAGTAAGTGCAAATTTCTCAACTCGGCCTCCCCTATTAAGACAAGTAAATGCTATTATTGACATATAAATATTAGTATTAACGTTTTCTTAATCTCGTAAAAGTTTTAATGTACAAACTCGTCAAATTTTAATTGTACAAGAAATATTAAATCTCACTGCCATGGAACTCACAGCAATGGAACTCGCTACGACTACCTTTACTCAAGTATATTTTAAATCAATGAATTCATAGTTGCAGGATTTGAAGAGCAACGCACTTCACTAATTGGGCGGTACGATTTTGAATACAGAGCGGTATTACTATGAAAGCACAATTCACCTAAAATAAATAATATTTCCTATTATCATCTTTCAACAGCAAATAGTTATTAATATATTAAATCGTGTATTGAACAGGATCTAGTTTAAGAAACGTCGGGCCGCAGTTAAAATAACTTTCAAGTAAGTTTTAATATACATCGCGTTTTAAACCGTTTAAGGGTTTTATTTATATATATGGTTAGGGGAAATGAAAATCTATTGTTAATTATTCGCAATTGAAATTTATTATCTACGGTAGTTTAAAAGCTCCATCGAAGAGTGACGGATCTGACACTCGTCCAGTAAACAGCAACTGCTGTGACGTCTCATCTCTGATGAAGAACATGAACGGTTTATTAGCTGTTAGCGTTGCAGTTGGTTCCTCTCCTCCAAATTTGTTTTCCAGTGTAATTTCTGAAATGAATTATAATATAATTCCATTAATTAAGGTAGACTAGAAATAACTTACTAAGGTAAGAAGTACGGTGGGATGTAAAAGATCGTACGGTAGAGATAGTGTTGATTATTATTCTTAAATCTTACGTCATATGAGAACTTTAGAAAAGTTCACATTTCACAACAACACAAGCAAACAACGTAAGAATGTAACGGGTTGAAGAAAAATGATACAATTGTACTTGAAAGAAGCCGATAAAACTGCTACATCTTGTGGTTAACTACATTGTTACGCGGGTCATGATTCGAATCCTAGGAAAGCAATAGCTTTGGCCAGGCAGGAGACAGAAGTCTGATCGACAACTTGCCTGTTAAAGAACCGATCAATAAAATAGACACTGAAATGTGTTCGGTCCATTTCGCGTGGGGAGAAAGAAAACTAGCTTAAGGGTACAGAAATGAAAACATCGTTTTACCAAAAAAACTCTAAATTTCAATTATGGTGATTATGTATTTTGAAAAAAATCTCAACTAATATCTTTCTTTGACTAGATTTTCTTTCCGGCCTTTATAACAATTATTATTGTGTAGTAGTAAACAAACCTGTCGCTGAGTAAGCCACGCTGCCAATCTCATTATTCTCAATACCAGATCTTTGGAGAACTTTCGAGATCTTCATCTTACTTGCACTTGTTTGACCGCGAGAGATACCAGGGAAGGACGCGGTATCTTCAAATGCTTGCCGAATGCCCAACTGAAATGAGACGAGAGTCATTAATAAGCTATATACACATATACACTGGGCCTGCAACGAATATTCGTTCAATGGTTAGTATTCGGTCTATTTCGCGTCTTTTATACTATTCCGCTGAATACCGAATACTTAAGTTACTCGATAATTCGGTAACAATATTGAAAATTGATGAACCAATTTAAATAAAACACTTTAACGGTTTAAATAACGATATATTAGTTAAACTTATTTGAAAATTATTTTTAACTTTGGCCCGCTTTCGCTGCTGCAAAGCATCCACATCTCAAAATGTGTACTACTCTACTATATACGCTTTACTAATATATATGCAGTGTTTCTGATCTCTAACAATCATTCGTAATTTCCTAAATCGTAACCATTGGTTACGATTATAGGAAGTATTCGAATTACATCATAACAAAATTAAGAAATATTAGTCATCTTCTCTATTAGAAAATATAAGAATTTCCATACATTTAAATTATTTTCATTATACCAATGTAGAAGAAGGTTATGGTGCACATTTTTTCTGCATATTAGTATCCACTAGGTAGCAACCTTGAGAAAAGGTAGCAACCTTGTAGATGGTTGACAACATTAAAATCACTTCTGTTTAAAATTTTCCAGAATATACTATTCGTTGCAATTCTAAATGCAACATAGCGAATACATTTGATCGCCTTTAAACAGAATTTTATAATTAATAGCATGTATCGGGTATAAAAATCCTTAACATTTATCAAGTTATACTATGTATGTACTTGTGATTCGGAAATACCCACATGAAGCGCGCTTGACGTACTTCAAATAGCAGGAAAACCACGGCTCGCAGAAACAATAAATACAGGAAAAGTTGAACTGTATTAATCCTCAACAAGAATTAACTGTTAAGTACACTGCTTATTTTTAACGACCGCCGTAACTTAATTTAGATTAAGCGAGAGGTCGAAGTAAGAGTTTTAGTGAAACTAAAAAATAAAAATGTCTCCCTGTGACCACGGCTGCTGCAAAGCATCCGAAACGTCGGGCCGAAGTTAAAAATCATTTCCAAATAAGTTTAACTAATATATCGCGTTTTAAATCGTTAAAGTGTTTTATTTAAATGTGTACTACTCGCGTAAACTATAGACAGTATCTAAAAAATGACTTTAATATTACATATGTGCATATGACGGCATTATATAATATATTATATCTACATTAAAAATAGGCACGGACGGGACTTGAACCGGCATCCAAGTGTTAAGACTCTTAAGAGGTCAACAAGACTTACCTACGTTTAAATTTACTGTTTTCTTAATTTTAAGTTAGATTAAAAATATACATATATTGTATGATTGAAGATAAAATACACCGGATAGTTTTAAGTTAAACAACTTATTTTTATTGTATGTTATGCATTCTTATTATCGTTCCTAAGTATTGCATTGTTACTTTTTATCATAAAACATATAAATGACATACTTATGTTGTTTATCAAAAGGACGCAATGTAAGTACATATTATAGTGCAAACATTAAGAACAAACTTACTATTTTTACGCGAAAATACGTAAATATTTTTTAAAAGAGTATATCATTTTACTTAAATTATTTAAGAAATAATCATATTATCTTTCTGTCCTTTTTTTAAGACAAACGAAAGCTACAGCTGATAACTTCACGCTTAAGGTTACAATTATTATAATAGTCCTTACCTCTTTTAATATACCGTCAAGTACCGAAGTATACTCAAACTGGAACTTGGGTATTTTAACATTGACCAGATGTTCCGTCATTTTAAGGAGTTCCACTCGGAGACCGATGACGTCGTCAAATATTTGCGGAAGACCAGTCAAGGAATTCGGCACGACGACATACATTGCAAATTTTCCACTCTAAAAAGATATTTATTAATTATTATTAGTAGGAAAAACGTTCCTTCATTTCCAATATATAGTGAAACCTAATTGATTGAAATTGGGACCTATAGGGACCAAGACATATGTAGGTACCAATTATTGAGGGATCCTACCCAGTATCTAATTAAGCAGGTTTAAAATTATAGTTGTCTGATTAAAAAAGCCGCCGCGTTTTTGGAAGAACACAGCATGTTTGTGTGTGAAACCTGATTAATCTGTCTTACTTTTTTATTTTTTTTATCAATTTTATTTAACTTTTTTGCATAAATCGTTTTCTTAACAAATTTCAACCGAGTAATAAAACCATCCACCGGTTTATGAGAACCGGTTTCGGTAACATAAGACATACTACGTCTATAAAAGCTCTTTATAATCCCCCTGCATCTACCCGGTCATTCCACCAGCACCAGCCGTGCGTATAACTGTGTAAGTCGTTCAAGTACATAGGAAGTATATAATACTTGTACAGATAATTGAGATACAGAGTCTTAGAATTATAGTGATTAAACTTTTAAAAAATTTTAAAATTCAAATATCATTTGAGACGGGGTCAAAAAGTTCTATTATAAAAAAAAAAAGAACCCATTGCAAAAAACCCAAAAAGAGGTTTCCCATTAATCCAGATCCCACTTCAGAGGTAATTTACAGAAATAAATCTGTAACCTCGATTGCAAACTAAATCATACTAATTTAACAGAAGGTTTCTCTTAGTTTTAGTCCAGATTTGTCTCACAATGTATAAGTAATTTTTATTTACAGACAAATATTATGAGACGTTTGTGTCTGCCCCACAAAATTATCTTTGTTAAATTGTTGTATAAAACAATGCAAAACCTCAACATACCTTGTACGGCATCCTCAAAATTTTAGCGTTATACTTGACAGAATCCGTGTAGAAGAACTTGTGTTTAATGGTCATAAAGGGAATTTCTTTTGTCGCATTTGCTTTAAGATAGAAGTCGTTGTGTCTCGTCTCGTTGGGGTCGAACTGATGTTGCCATGTGCCCTTGAAGAAGAGGGTATTGAGGACCAACGCGGCCACGCCTTCGACGTCACCTGGAACGTAATTAAGACTTAACTTAGGTACTGTAGTTGAGTTATAAAACAAAGTTATACTTATAAGCAAGGGCAGTTCTAGTAAATTATTTAAGGAGAGAATGTATCATCTTTAAATTATCAAAAAAATGTCCGCAAAACTATATGTCTATCTTTTAAGATTAACTTGCAAGAACGTCGGGACACGACCGACGTCTTGGGTTGGAACTTAAATTTATTAGTGGTTTGCAAAAACAAGTGTTGGTACCCAAAATAACTATTTCACGCGAACGAAGTCGCTGACACAGCTAGTAAATAATTTGATGGAATAGTTACATTAACTATCCCACGCTGACGAAGTCGCGAGCCCAGCTAGTATAGAATACTTGTTAAGGTTTAATTACCTGGAGCGACTAAATTCGTGATCCTCCCCTGCGTTATATTTGCCACCCATTTATTAATACTTCCAGCTGCTAATTCAGGCTTATTGAAGTCCAAACTTGTTATTTCAGTCTTGTAGAACCGCTGAGCGACTGCTGCGAAATGCTGAGGAGGCTTTATCGATGAACCCACGTAGATGCGGCTACCTATATCCAGAATGTAATCTGAGGACTTAGTCTGGAATTATAAAACAATATTTCACATACAACTCCTGTAAGTTGGTTAAAGTGCATTGCATAGTACATATATTATTGATAGGACCACGGTTATTCTTTTGTTTATTGTTCGCCAATTTAATGCTATTTATTTAATAACTTTATTAATTACAAACACCAGAGAAATGGTTTACAACAATAAATTCTTATGTACTAGGTTATAACTAAAAGGCGGCCATATCGCTATACAGCTTTTTTATTTTTATTTAGTTCGGTGTTCTCGTGCGTACTTTTAAATATTTGGAATTGTTTAATACAATTCGACAATTAGCCTGTAAAATTCCGTTTCCCCGAGTAGGGCATGGGGCGAACAAATTTCTGTGTTCAATTTATTAATCGGTTTTCTTTACAGGCAAGTATTAAGCAGACTACTGTTCAATATTGTTTCTCCGGGAATCGAACCTCGGACTTCTCGCGCTTAACGCAACGCTGGGCAACGTATAGCCATGTAGCTACAGAGAGAGCCTCACAAAACTAGGTGATCGTTTTAAAGTACAAGAATATACGAAAAAACTAAAAAATAATAAAACCTATACGTATATCATTCGGAAGCCCAGTACCATAATATCAAATCATATGCAATTCAGCCGCAATCAGTATCCTGCTCGACTTTGCATGAATTTGTATTATCAGTGGCGTTTATACTATTGTCTATTGTTATTTACTAGCTGTGTTAGCGACTTCGTCCGCGTAGAATCGTTATTTTGAGCAGCCTTGTAAAATTATAGCTCTTACCAAGGATGTCGATCGCGCCCCGTCTTTTTTTGCTAGTTAATAAAAAAAATATTAGATCATATTTAAAGAGGAATCATTCTTATTTTTTTGGATATCTTGAACCGTTTTCACAGAGCACGCAACTCTTATAGTTAAATAATTTTCCCCGTTTCTTCTATATATCCCGGTGTATCTTCGCTTCTATTAGTCGATTAATAAATCAAAGCTTCCACGATAAATACTCTAACCAACAAAATTCAATTCACCCCCAGTAATTCCTGAGATTAGGGCGTTAAAACAAACAAACTCTTCAGCTTTATTCATATATTAGTATGGAGGTATCGAACTCATTATGAAAAATTATCATGAAAGTATTCATTTTTAAATTTAATTAGGTTATAGCCAAATCAGACATTCAGTTAAACAGTAGATCGATTTTAATCAATGTAATTATTTTTTAGTAAAATGAGTTTGAAAGATATACCTGCAGAGAAGTCAGGAGTTCAGCGAAACTATCCCTCACTTTGTGATAGTCTATGTCTAAGCCGAGAACACTAGATATCTCGGATTTAGTTGCCCCCGACGAAGCTTCCATTAAGATCGCCAGCGCCAGTTTCAAACCCAATGGTGAGATCAGGAAATTCTCATTTGACATCACAGCAACTCTCTAAAAACACATTAGTATCACTGACTACCTCAACAAAACCGACTAAGTTAAAATCGAAAGTAAATTTTTGTCTTCCAAATGTTTTTTTTAATCTTAAACATTGAGGTATTACATAATTTCAACAAAACATTTTAACGGTTTAAAACTCAATATATATTAGTTTAACTTATTTAAACTACGGCCCGACGTTTGGAATGCTTTAAAGCAGCCGTGGTCACGGGGGAAAATAATTTTCAAGTAAGTTTAACTAATATATATCGCGTTTTAAGCCGTTGAAATGTTTACTTTCCGTGTAAACTACAGACCATACTTCTACTCACCTTAGTTAAGGTCCAGTCGAACTTATCATTCACAACGATTGGTTGCCTATTAATTATCACATCTTCAGTTTTCTGTAGATCCATTTGTAAATATGACTGTGGGGGAAGAGCATTCTCAACAGTGCTAGCTGGATTACCGAAGACATCTTGCAAGAACTGCTCCGGTATCGTATGGTTGGACTCGTCGCAAAGTACGTAGGGAACTAAATGATACATTTAGTTTCAGCGTTAATTAAACAACTTGCAAAATAATTATATATTAATAGTTACATACACACAGATTTATGTATATTAAAAAAACATATTAAATCTACATTCGTAATTTGACTGAGCATAAAATTAAAGACATTTTTTATGATAGAACATACAAAAATACATACAATCCTCAATTTTCACCCTTCTACGATCAACCCTTATTTTTAATAGACATTTTAGTAAAATTATTTATATGGCAAAACAACGTTTGCCGGCTCAGCTAGTTATATATATATATAATTAATAGTATTGTGGTTAAAGCTAGTAGAACATAAAGCTCAAGCCTTATCTTAGTATTGTTCTCCATAAAAGGCTTTTCCTCACCGTAGCTTACATTTCAAAGTTTTATTTATCAAATGTCAGACGCAAGGTCATGCTTACGTAATATCGTATTAGGTAAAACACCGTACTCGGAATTCCCAATCGATCAAGATCAAGTGTCAATATTTACTTTGCTTGTAAAGTTCGTCTTTTAATATTTTAAGAAGAATTCGAAAAATATTAACATTTCATTGTGTAAAAGGGTAAAGCGCTTAAAAAGACATTAAAAAAAGACTGTAAATATTTTTTTACATTCTATTTCTTATTAATAATGACGCGACGTTTTGGGAGTTTTATAGTTTACAGTAGCCCTGAGAGGCATGTCTATAAGTATCTAGAATAACGGTAGCGTATGAAACTTTTGAGCATAGGTGTTTACACATTTGTAGGAAAATATATTTGACACATTACCAATTTAATGTGCTTTGCGATAAAAATCACGAAAATTGGTTAATCTGATTTGAAATAGCCTGCTTTGTTCTATATACCTACCAATTCAAATTTTAATAAAAAGTTTCATAAATGCCTCTCATATTTACATCATTTATTGATATATATTCGTATGTATAGTTTTCTTGTCTACATAAATGTAAAATGTGTGGCAACATACCTATCCGCACAATATTCCCGTTGAGGAAAACGATAAACCACTGTTCTTCGCCAAAACAAGCAAAATAATTATGAATAACAATTTTAATTCTATGTGTTGGCATATATAATTAAATAAATAAGAAATACTCTTTTAGAAGTATAAGCAAGCTTTATAAGTAGATTTGGTTTTACATATCCTGTACACACACTCCGTGTCAAGAGTGTACAAAAAAGTTTTTATTTAATGCAGTACAGCTCCAAACTATGTTTGTTATATAAGTATTTAATTAATTTTACTATAAGATGTGAGTTGTTAAAATGAATGACTGTAAACTACGTTTGGAACTGTACAATATCGTCTAGGGGTGTTATTTTATTTAGCTCTTACAAAACAGAAGGATCAAATTTTAATGAAAATCATAGGATTATAAATTAAAATCTGTCGCGGAAACTGGTTTCTTTTCCAGTCGCAGCACCGGCTAGTTCTACCTACAAAACATGAATTCTAACTCACCTAAAAAAAGCACTAGTAATAATCTCATCGTGATTTGAAAGAAAAACTATGTTATCCAAGATTACCAAAGCACATGGGTTCGCTAACACAATATCAACTTCACTGTGTTCCTCTACTGTAGGTACATCTAATTCAACGCGTGCTTACTTCCCAGCACGCCGACCACAACTGATGTTATTGAAGGTCTTCAACCGGTTCACACTGATTGTAGCCTTTATCTTAATTCATTTTCGCATAAAATAGCTATTCGACTCGGTGACATCCCGCCACCAATTAGAATATTTATCGGGGACATAAACAAACGAATGCGACGATGTATTGTTGGTATCGATTTGTTTTTGAGAGATTTTAAAATACATTTCTTTTTTAGTTTTAAACCGATGTACTATTTAAGTTAGAGAAACTTCGGGAAAGTTTATTTTAGCTTCTGCTAATATAAGGATGAGTTTGGAAAGAGACAATTAATTATTTACCTATTAACGTACTGCAACAGAAAGGAACCGATCAATTTATGAATGTTCATGTCAACATATAAGATAATTATTAATAAACACCATACATTCATCAATTTCATTGTGTAGGTATTCGTTATCTATCACTTTAACTTAAACATAAAGTAAGATAAACTACTTTTTCTTTTAATAGTTAGAACCGACGGTATTAGTGGCTAGTATAAAATTATCGAGGAGCGCATGGACAAACAGCAGGTCTCGCGGTAAACGCAATGAATCATATAGCCGAAAATGCACTCGGTCATGCAGTTAGCGGTAAGACATGAATAAACAGCTATATGTTAAACTATAAATGATGCCTCAAAATACCAAGACAATCCTTTTTCCTGTGGTTAAGTTGTCCTATTGGAAATTCCGAATGCTTATAAGGGTTAGACTTTTTTGGTGGGGACTTACGACTGCATTAATTTAAACTTAATTCACGTACTTATTTCAAGTACAGGTTATAAAACTGAAAGTGACCACGCGGATCACTCGAGAAAATGTGATTTCCGCTGTCCATGTACAGTACTTTGGGTTCACTGGGAACTTTAAAGATGAGTCTCCGGCAGTACAGTATAAGAAAAATTCAAACGTCCTTGGACTTGTGAAGGAAGAAAATACCGAAATTTTGCAACGTCTACAGTTACAAAGCATTCGAACGCAAACGATAGGCATTATAATGGTTCTGTATGTTTTGGGAATTATGTAGTGCCTATTTGTGTTCCTACAAAAATTTCCTTTATTTAATAACAGTGCTCAATTACCAATACATGAACCTAACACACAGACGTCAGCCTTGTCTTCTCAGCTGTTTCAACACGCAATCCATAAGAAGAAGAAGAATGATGAACATGAAAAACGATGTCAATTTTTCCTTCCATAAATGAAGATCTAAATAATAAAAACCAATCTAATATAACAATAGATTTATTATATCACGATAACATGAAATTTCATACAACCACAAATAATTAACTGCATTTTATATTTACACAATACGATAAAACATCATATTAAACACTGAACAAACTTTTTACAAAGTACGACTTGACGACAAAATTATCAACAAATTAAACGACAGAAAATAAACTTATTGCCTTTTTGTATTTATTGCAACATTTATAAGTCTTGTAAATTAATTTTAATGTAAAACAATAAGTTTAATAAAATAAAATTCACTTCACAAAACTTTTCTGAAACTATTATTAAAAGATTCAATACTTCTAAATTAGGTTATTTCAAAATTACAAAGTTATTACCAGATGTAATTTTTCAACATATATCACACAATTTACTTAATTTTCGTCTTTATAATCAACAATCTTGTTAAAATAATTAAAGCTTATGAGAAAGTACACCTCTTTCTATCAGGATTTCGACGGCCTTATATAATTCTCTGGAGTACTTGATAGTAAAACTGTCATAACCCAAAAGTGTAAGCCAATCTGAAAAGAAAATGCCGCTGATGACTTTATACACAAGCAATAGAGACGGAAGCTCAAATTAAGCACCAACAGTAGTAGTGACGATGACATATTGTTTCAGAAGAGCAACCTACTAACATCTTACTGAGTCAGCAAATATAATGGATCATTGCAACATATACAAAAACCAGTCTGGCCCATACCCCGACAAAGGTTCGAAAACTTTGGAGATGTTTTGTGTCATATTAAAGCAAGCCCGTCTAACGCAATTTAATATCTTTTTTAACCTGTACAAATTAGGGTTTTATTTCTTCTCCCGTTAATCATATAATCATTAAGAAAATAAAAAAAAGGTTTTCAATATACATATATAATTTTAGCTTCGAGTCCTACTGTGTCATCAATTTTTAAATCGCATTAAAACCATTTATCTTACCATATAAAACACGATAAAGATCCGTAGTATAGGAAAGCGTTTTATAATAAGCCCCATGCGCAGAGACAGTTTGGCGAGAGGAGATGATGTGCGCGTGCGCCGCTCCTCTTGAAGATGTATTATGCTGTGCGAATTAGCGCGTAGAGCGGCCATTTCGCTCTTGTATTTAGACTAAATAAGATAAATTAAGATTTATAACAATTATTAAAAATATCAATCTTTAATGATTCAGTATACAAGTATAGTATATTATTTTATCGATTGCGTATCTGGATAAGCGGATACTGTATATCGTGTGTCATGGTTTGAGTCCGGCCTATGTCTGTCTTTAATATAACTTAGCAAATATTTTAATGACGGTCAGTTATATACAACTTATTACCTCTAATTTATCCAATTGTATTTTGAGCATATTATTATCAGCCAGCAATGCGTCGATCTTTCCTTGCTTCTGTACAACCGTCTGAGTTAGGAATTGTATCTTCTCATTCTCTATGGAATGCATGACGTCGTAGTCTCCGACATTCAGCGCGCTCGTGTCTGACGTGGGATCCGAACTGGCCTCCTTCAGGTTCATAAGCTCTTCCTCTTTATCGTGCAACGCGGTGCGTAGGTTCACTATAGTCTGACCAGTTTGGAATTGGAAGGATTTAAGTTCCTGTAAAAAAAGAAAACAAGTTAAAATAGCAATCAAAAAGTTTTCAAATAGTTTAAAATATGAGTTTACGTGGAGTAATGGGGAGGAAAAAGAATTGGAAAGGGTTATTATAACATAAATCAATATTTTAATGATTACTATGCTCGGGATGTGGAGGAACCCACTCTATCAAGGAAGAAGGTGTATGGAACACTTGAAAAAAGAGCGAGTGTTTTACCAGTTCTTCTCGTTCGTTCTACGCCATTAAATTGGGTAACTGGTAGTAAATTTTGAGTATAAAATTAATAACTGTTTTGACTTTCATAAGTGTACCTCGCTACCTACATGTATAAATGGTTTCAAAAGATAGAACCACTTACCTTGCTCAATGAATTAACTTGCGCTTCGGCCTTATTCCTAGCTGCCCTCTCTTCCTTCATAGCGTCTCTAAGGGCAGTTACAACTCTTTCCGCGTTACTGTGCCTGGATTCCAACTGTGAAATCTGCTTCTTCATATCTGAGCATTCCGATTTTACTCGCGAGAGGATTTGTGATAACTCTTCCCGTTCATCCCTATAAGTAGAGGTTATTTGGTTACAAAGATAAATAGATTTCACTATGTTACTATTAAAATATAATATTTACTAATTTTCTAAAGTTGAGGAGTTTGTTTGTTTGGTTTAATGCAGTAATCTCTGGAACTACTAGTACAAATAAACAAGTTTTTTTTTGTGTTGGTTGGAGCATTTATCGAGGAAGGCATCTAACCATCGTGCTGCAACTAATAGGAACGGGAAATGTAAAAAAAGGGGGAAAATTATTTATCCTTGTGAGTTTCTGTTTCGCACTCTGCGAAAACAATCAAAATAACCAAAAAGTATGTATAAAATAAAGTTTCGTCTTTAAATGATCTAAAAAAATCCTAGGGATAGATAAGATCCCTTTAAGATAGACATTATTCGCGGGGGGACGCGGACGACGTCAAAGGTAACAGCCTAAATAACTATTCAACGCGGACAAAGTCGCTGACACTGCTAATAAAACATAAATTAGTAACTTCTTACTTCAATTTATCAATTTCTTCAATGAGGTCTTTTGTATCCTGGTTCATATCACTACCTTCCCGCAATGTTTTTATTTCATTATCTTTCGAGGTTAGCATGCTTTTAACTCTAAGCTTATATGCTTCCCATTCTCGCTCAAGCCTAATGCATTCTAGCTGCCTCTTTTCACAGCCTTGCTCCAATTCTGACACTTGCATTTGCGCATGTCTCAAGTCATTTTCTATTTTTGTATGCGCTGAGTTTCTGTTGTGTAGTTCATCTGTGAGATTTCTTATACTGTAATATAAAAAAAATATGCAACAATAGGTTTAAGTTATTGAAAAGTATAACACACTTCAAAAGTCACCAAATATTTCTGGCAAGGCAAAATTTAATTTAAAAAATATAGATATTTGCTTTTTCTTCTCATTTAAGTATATATACTGTGGGAGTTATTTTTTGCTCTAAACCCTCTATAGCTTTATTTGATTTGTATAGGATTTAATTAGTTAACAATGATGAAGACCTTACTTTTAAAAAAGCAATATGAAAATTTTACCAGTCCCATAAAACTTAAAACAATATAATACTCACACATTTTCCAAATCACTGTTCTTTTCTTGTAATCTGGTATTCTCTTTGTCCAATGCTAATTTTTCTGAACGGTATTGTGAAAGTTCCACAACGCTGACCTCTTCAATTTTGGATCTTAGATCGTCTAGCTGAACCAACAAACCCTCCTTGTCTAAACTCAACCTCTGGTTGGTTTTCTCAAGTGTCTCCAATTTATCATGCACCTGGTTTAATTCTGAGAAACAATTTATCTTTTTGTGTAATAATTAGGTATCAAGTAATTGGAAAATAATGAAATAGAGAGTATTTTATTCTCTATTCTCTGAAGATAATATAGTGTTGTCTTTATTATAAACTTCCTTTATGTGTGCTAACAAAATAGCCAGACATTTAACTGACAGTGTGGCCGAAAATAAAACTTTTTTTTGTCTGTTTATGCTAATCTAGCTAAAATGACTAAATTTTCTTAGGACTTACACTAGTAGGCAGTAAGATATTAATTAAGTCTAAAAATTCCTTAGATAGAGGTAAGTTGAAAAAAAAAGGAGTTAATGATGCCTTCTGTTATTTACCATCTTCTGTTGATTTCAATGTATCAATTAAATCTGCAACTTCTCTATTTACAACATTTAGCTCATTTTTCAACATAGCATTCTCAACTTCTAAGTTTTGCAAATCATAAGTGAGGGATTCATGGTTGACAAGTTCTAAATCTGTTGGTAGGCTGAACCCTGAAAAGAGAGATAGAGAATTAATGCCATATCCTACAATATTTACAACAGTGGAAGTAACCAGAACATAGCTTTCAGATTTTGAAATCATATTTTGAAGTGAACTAATAACTTAACCTAAAAATAAGTGTTTACTACATACTTCTCTTTCTTAAACCACAATGATCATAATCATTATTTAAAGGTTTAGGGCCGTTCTGGTTTGGGGTTACATGTTGTATTGGTTTTCTAGCAGGCGACCTTCTGCGCCGCTCTGGGGGTTGCCTCACATTATCAAGACTTCCTTTAATAGTTGACCTTGATTGATGATTTATCGCAGGCGCATACGTAGATTTACTGTCTATAGAATTTCTCTTCGGAAGTTTAGGTGATAGACGTTTTCTCTGGCCTAATGATGCCTCTGTAAAGGCGGGACTTTGTGGTCGGTTTTTAAGAGCACTGCCATTATTTCTAAGAACTGCCCCCGTTTGCTCATCTAAATTGTTTAGCAGGGTCTCGGCCCTGCCGGCAAGATCCGCGAACCATGACATTTAAATTTCTTTAATTTTATTTGCAATAAACATTTTGCAATAAACTTTTGCTTTAGTTCTCCAACACTAAAAAAGTAGGCCTAGTATAATTGTAAAAACACTGGTCTCCCCAAATGATATACTAAAAACATTACAAGAATTTAAAAAGTTTCATTATTTATTTTCGAACTTCCCAACTCATCAATATTTTAACTTTGACGTCATTTTTAATTGACATAAGTTGACGCTTGTGTTTGCTTGGCGTTAACATTAAGCATTTGTCAAAATAGTCCGGCGAACACTGTAATATATATTATGTTTAGTTATCTGTACCCTTTGGATTTGTGAAAATTAATCTGTGTTATAGGTCAAATGTTTTGTGGGTACTAAACGGGTGTAAAATATAAATAAACATACTTATTATTATAGAAATGGAAATATCGTAAATTCTTTGAACGAAATATCAAGCTTTAGACAAAGTGATCAGCTAATTCTGATACTGCATCAATAATTCTAGAATGGACTTCGAAAGTCCGGACGTTGAAAAAGACTTTCCTGGCTTATACGCTTCGGAAACTGGACGGAAAAGCAATGAAAGTGACTGTAAGTTGGTTTCATTTACTATGTGTAAAATACAACCGGTCAGATGTATCGAAAAACATGTTTATCTTGTAACGAAATAGATAAAACATAACCATACCATACATTTTACCACACATATTTCTGAAATAAATCAAAGTAATTCAATATAATTAATTCTATTTACCTAGCTTCCATAAGATGTTAACATTCAAGTACTAATTTATAAATTTACTTCAATTTTAGTCAGTGACAATGGAGACCATGAGAAACCAACTAAGAAAGATTTATTAGGACGTAGAAAGGATAAAAAGGAATCAAAAAAGGACAGAGGCTATGCTGCTTTAGAAGGTGAAAGTTCCCCAGAAGAAGATACTGATACTAAGTAAGAAAAAGTAATTATAAATTTGGACATTTCATATTACAATTTTTTCATATAAACATGTACATATTATTGTTAAATATTTTGTATTATGATACATTGTTTTACGTGGTTACCTGGTTAATTAAAAAAAAATTTATAATTTTATAATATGAAATCTGTGTTTTCAAATTATACAGCTATGTCCTTTTCAGAAGCCCATCCAAGTCTAAAAAGACCAAATCCTTTAAGTTTCCCACTAAAAGTAAGGAAAAAAGAGAGAAATCTAGAGATAAAGAAAAAGTACTAGAAGATGTAACAAAACAAAAGGAGTTAAATGAAAAGGAGAAGAGAAAGGAAAAGGAAAGGGAGAAAGAGAGGGAAAGGGAAAAGAAAGAAAAGGAAAAGCGAGACAAATTGAGGGAGAAAGATAAGGTATTTTTTTTTAATTAAAAACTTTGTAATTATCATTACCTGCTGAGTATTTCCTAAAGTTGCCTCTTATTACTAGATGTGTTGCTGGGCCACCCTCCAATTTTTCATAGGAGGTAAGGCAAATTATATTAGTAATAGGGAACTGGAATAGTTGAATTTGTATATGTCATAATGTAACATTTGTTTACGTACATATATCTATATATATGTATACGCATACAATCTTCTGTGGTTAATTGGTTATACAATTAATCAAAAATTGCTTTACTTGGCTACACAAAATAGTAATAATATTGTAGTTACATCTTCAATTAATTGTGTTGAGTTATTTTGATTCTGTTTATCAATTTATCAGCTGAGTCTATTTAAATACTGTCTGTAGTTTACGCAAGTAGTATACATTAAAAAAAAACACTTTAACGGTTTAAAACGCGATATTTATTAGTTAGACTTGCATTGCTTTGCATTCGAAACGTCGGTCCTAAGTTATAAATATTTTCTTAAATAAGTTTAACCGTAAAGTGATTTATTGAAAAGCTGAGTCAGAGAGTGTTCAGAGAATTTTTAAAAATCACATTAACACAAAAAGTATCCTTTAATAAGCCAGTATCATTTAAAATTCCTTTGTTGGTTAGGTATTTACAATTAAATATTTATTCACACTTTTAGTCGTTTATAAACAATAATTATAGAAAATTTAATATATCTGATAGAACTTTCAAGAATAAAACAAAATTGAAAAGACTTTTCCACCGTCGCTCGATCTAACAAAGGCACCCCATCTCAATAGATGTCAAGTTTTCACGCCTCATTGACTCGCGTATTCATAATTCCACTAAGCCAGACACGGCCTTGGCCAAACGACAGGGACGGACATACTTTATTCAGTTGTTTTGAAATCGCGATATGCATCACCTGCGTAGCGTGTTCACGAAGGTTTGATTTTATTTTTTAAACGCTTAGTTTATCGTGTTATCTTGATATTAAACAATTCATTGCTAGTTGAAAAATTTTAGTGTGATAGTGTTTTGTTATTACTTTGTTTACATGTGTAAACAACTTAAGTGGTCACACGGCGAAGTACTAGAGATACCTATTAATTGCACTGTTCCTACCCTTACATCGGAAGCTAATATAGTTTCGTAAAAAAATACGAAATACATATTAGCAGGTAGATAGTATTAATTATATGATTTATCAGTGACCGCGCCTGTCATTAATACCTACGTGTTTTGCACATATTTATTTTATTATTTAATACATACATTTAACTAATCTCACAGTCAGTAAATATCCGACTAAAGCTATTGCACCTCTTGTACCAAGTCAATCTTATATGTCATAGGGGATGAAAAGTAAACAAACGAGCCATTGGTAATAGTGTAATGCATATGAGAAAATAAAGCTATTTTCTTGGTTCTTACCACTTTTTCTGTCGAAAAATAATATAATAACTCATATTAATATATTATATCCTAAATAATACGTAAATAAGTACACCAAGTTACATCTCTCATACCAAATACCCCCTATTGCGTTGATAAAATGCATCAACGTTCGTGACAATTCTAAAGGCCAGTTTTTTGTTATTCTATAGCAGTCAGCTATTCATAAAGAGCACTTAACTTCATTATAGTAATGACCGATCGGATGTAGGTCATAACAAAAAGTTGCTTTACCTTATTATGCTATGTATCATTTTGGCAAAAACAATATCTTTTATTCTAGCATACAATAAATTTACACCTTGTGTATTGACGTAGGTTTTTTTAAAAATCCCGTTTTCAGCGTCGTGGGGCCTGGGGCGAACACATTTTTATGTCAATGATCCGTTCTTTAAAGGGCAAGTACCCGACCGGAACAATGTTTTGTTCCTCTAGAATTCGAACCGAGGATCTCTCGCGCACAATGCAATGCTAGGCAATACGTTTAACCATTTGGCTATGGCGGTCTATGTATTAAGTAAATATAGTAAAGTATTCGCGTCCGCTCTTTCGTAAAGAGCTGGTTATTATAAGTATTTTGGAGATTCCAAACGTTCGAAATTTAAAATTATAAGTGTAAAGATAGATTATTTATTGTCTTATTTTTATATTTTGGAATCACTGTTCACTACATATGCTTAAAAGAAAGTATTGTATAACATTAAGTTATCTAACATGGCACTAGTTCAAGTCCCAGATTTGTCATCGATTTTCCGATCTAGCTTTTTCATTTATGTATTAATTCAATCACCCATTATAGGAAAAAGAAGAGAAGGCAAAATTTAAATTGGAATCTAAAGAAAAGCTGAAGGATGACAAGAAAGAAAAAGTCAAAGAAAAAGATAAGGAAAAGGTGAAAGAGAAGGACAAGGAGAAAGTGAAAGAAAAGGACAAAGATAAGAAAGAAAAGAAATTAACAAAGATGCCCTCGACGGTGACTTCGGGTGTCCCGTTCGAAGAAATATTTACACTGGGTGGTGAGTTCAAACTATATACCTAGCTGAGTAGCCACGGCTATGGCACACTCCGCTGTTGTCCTTCAGAACCTTTTATTCTATAACAGTTTTCGCTCGCCGCTTCCCCGTATATGAATATTAAGGTTCATTCAAATTTTCCTCAATAATTTTTGCGTGAAGTATATTTAACTTTAAAACAGCGTAAGATAACAAAATTCCGATTTCATTAGCTTGCGCAAAAATTTTAACCAGCTTATTCTAATGATAGAGGATGACAGAAAAGTATGGGTTTTACTCGATGGTAGTTGAAATACCACAGCCAGATAACAGACGAGGCGCTCTGTCAATCCATTTTGGTTTTGGATATTCGGAATATTGGATTTTATCATTAATTTCAATTGAAATTATTTTTTTGCATTAAAAATAATTATTCACCTAACGCGTTGTCCATGTTTTAAGTCGTAACAATAGAATCTTTAAGCTAGCTAAACTTTGATAAACAAAAAAAATCATTCTTTAAAAGCTAATTTTACGGATTACGGTAAACTTTTTCCGAGGTCTCGCAAATTGTTTCCGGTCGTTAAATTGAAAGGTCTGTTAACTTTTAACGTTAGAATTGTCAATGTTATTTTCATCATTCGTTTTGTGTAATTTTGAAAAACAGGACATGAGCAATTACTCATAAGTTTATAACCAACACTGGGAAGCGATTAGGCTAATAACAATTATCGATTATTTGACTGATATTGTTACCGTGTTAATTTTAATTGGGTGGATATGATTTAGTTATATTGTTTACCGCTTCCGGTTCAGTGTTAAACATGATGATGCATCGTTTAATACTTGAACAGAGAGCATGGCGTTAAACATGAGAATGTTTGGCTTAACAAACAACTAACCAAGTTTATAATGAAATTAGTATAAACACCGCTATTTGATATAATTTTATATTATGCTTCTCTTATGCTTATCATTGCTCATGTCAGCCGACAATAAGATCATCGTCTTGATGTGGTGATATACAAAATATTGTGTAGGTACGGAACCTTTGTTTTTAAGAGGAAAAGCACGGAACGATGTGGGTCGTAGCGCCCATATCATCTATTTTCCTCAACCTCTTTGATGGGCCCCGTGGTGTAATGGTAGCAATGTAAATCGAATAATAAATGGATCGTGAGTTCGCTCGCCACCGGGACACGTTTCTAATCAATTTATAATTTTCTGAAACATGTAGGACTTAGTCTGGAAATCTGGATGGAATGGGTGTAGAAAATGTCCGTCCGATGTAAATAATTCACTTCGTGTCCGTGTCCACAGATAAAAAAACGCCGTGATGTTTAATCGCGTTTAGGTTTCAGTCTGTAGATTTCTGAGTATCCAAAGCGAAAATAGACCGACAGCGCATCTTGTTTAGACGTTTTATGGCGGTGGTATGTATTTCACCTAGCTCCAAGTAAACCAACATGCTTGTTCTCCTACTCTATAATAAATAATCTAAATAGATTTCAAATATAATTAATGATTCACATTCGTTTGTCCTGCTATTTGATTGTTAATAGACCTCTCCTGCTTTACCATTACATTTTGACAGTATTGATAGGGTCATTGAGAATCAATTTTTACCCTAAATATACGAGTAAAACCAATTGCAAAGATAACGTCAGGTGTATGTAGAACAAAACAATACTCAAGGCAACTGATAATACGGACGCTATTTTTAACCGCGAATTATTCTCTTATTAGTGTGGTTTTAACTTCTTAAGTGAGACGTCAGTGCGTTATGCATAATACTAATCCATTTTTAACCGACTACAATGTGTTTGGTAAGTCATATAAAAGTTATTCTGAAATATATATAACTACATATTTGAACTTAATAAGGCGGGAAACATAATTCTTCAACTTTTTAAAGAAAATTAAAGGAATAACAAAGAAAATTTTCATCACTGTATTTTTTTAAACGTTGGTGGACATTTCAGGAATGTCTTTTCTGAAATTAAATAAACTTACACTATCCATTATCAATCGTGGTCACGGGGGGATCTGCTGCAAAGCATTCGAAACGTCGAGCCGTATTTATAATCATTAAAAATTAATGTAATATATTTCGTGATTTAAAATGTTAAAAGTGTTTATTTGAGAGCTTTCAAAGTATAAAATATAATTGACTATTTTCTTTATTTATTATCTATGATTAATTCAGTTGCCCTGCCGATATTTGGCGTGCCGTTGCAACAGTCTGTGGAGCGATCACGGTGCCACGATGATACGGGGTTGCCATTGGTCGTTAGAGACAGCATCGATTTCTTACAGGTATCACTATTGATTATTCATTCAGCTTTGGGAAATAAACCCCTTATATTGGTACGAAACAATAAGGTTAAGGACCAAAAAATACTCTTTTTGTTAGAAGGATAAATGTCCTAATTAAGAAGTTAAATATTTGTTTAAAGAATTAGATCTTTTTACTTTCTGATTTATGACAGATTATAGCTAAGCGATAACCGCCTCTGTAGATAAATGGTTAAACTTGCCTTGTAGAGCGTTAGGCCCGAGCGGTCCTAGGTTCGAATTCTCGAGCAAACAATAAATTGTATCGGTCGGGCAGGGCACAGATGTCTGATTAACTACTTGCCTGAAAATAAAACAGTTCAGTGAAACGGTAATGTGGTCGCCCCAAGCCCCTCGAGGTGAGGGAGTTCAGTTGATGTTAGTCATTGAGGGTAGCCTATCTAATAAGATGTGCTACCGGCCTATTTGTGCTTTGGACATTCGAAACAAACAAACATGAAATAAAGTAAATATATACCACGAATGCAAATGGTGACATCAATGAGTGGGTGCGAACGACATTGAAATGCTCCGCTAAGCTAAATGCCACGTTTTATTACGAAAACTGGTTATTATGTGACGTGGTCCGGAACGCAATTAAGTGAAAATTAGTATCTCTTTTGGGGAGGAGCAACGTAGTCTAAGACTGAAAATGTGCATGTCTAACACCGAAATAGTCAGAAGGGTTAAAACTTTTCATCAAGCGACATGCTTCTCTTCTGTATAGAAAACAGTTATATTACAATATTACGTTTTTCATGGCAACATCTTTAATTCTTCCGAGCAATCGAGTTACGTAGTAGTTTTAGTCCAAAATGATAATATGGTTAAAAGTGTCTATTCTATATTTAAAAAATAGCATCTCTTCTTCCAGTTCTTCTTTTCAATTAGCAGTCTCTTCTTGTTAAATATTATTAGCGAAAAGAGATTGCCAATGCTGTAACTTTATTTAATACTGTAAAATATATTTTGACAACAATTTATTATTCTACTCATTTTAACAGGCGAACGGACTTAAATCTTATCAGATTTACCGCGCCGAGCCCGATAAGATAAAGCTACAGCAGCTCCGAAAGCTCTACACGGACCGTGGGCCCACCTTCCCATACCATTGGGATGTACCTGTTGCGTGTGCCATGCTGAAGAGCTTCATCAGGTTAGTTAGGTACCCCACTAAAACTTTCCTTTGCTGGGACAAAGCTGTAATAGCCAATACCTATTAGAAAGCTATTAATTATTTACGTTAAATCCGTTGAAATTGTTTAATTTAAGTAAATACAATAGAAATACAAATATTCTTTATTGGCACAAAACAAGAAACATATAACAGCTACACATATATAGCTATCTCCTCTTAGCGACTGCGGAATCGGAGCGAGTCATAAAAAAATAATGAAAATATATAAATATACATTTTTTATTTAAGGAATTCTTTGATAGAATTTAACTAAACTGAAACAAAAATGTATCCATGCGTGACTATAATTATTGTAGTGTCCAGTTTCCTAAGTGGAAAAGCTCATATATTAATAACTAAAATTATTTTATCTGTTTAGGCGTTATAAACTTCAATTCCAAATATAATAGTATTAACTACAACAACAATGGATTTCCAGTGAACTACCAGAATCAATTCTGACGCAAGAGTTGCACGGTCAGTTCGAACAAGCCACGGCCATCGCAGAACCACAGAGGGAAGCCACCGTGGTGAATCTCATCAATAAACTTCCGTCTTGCAATCTAGCGTTGTTGGGTTGGCTTATGAGACACTTTGAGTCCGTAGTGGCTAACGAACAGGTCAGTACATTGATTTATTGGCCGAAAGACCAAAATTGTAGATACAAAATTTAGAAGATTCAGAAAACATTTTTCAGTTGACGAAATTACGGTTATAGGAAATGTTGAGGAGTTAGTTAAGGTAGAAGGGCTAATGGTAGCATTGTATAGCATATAATGCAAGCAACGGGGTGTGGAGTCGGTCCCGATCGGATCTAAGGTTTCTAATCCATTTATATTTTTTCTGAAACGTGTTACACTCAGTCTAGAAATCGGGATAGAAAGTATTTCATTTCTATCAAGTAAACCCCGTGCTTGTTTGCCCTCAACTACTAAAAAAATATCATATTTCCAATATATAAGTCCCGTTTCCCCCTCGTGGGCCATGGGGCGGATACATTTCAGTGTATTCGCTTCACTGATACGTTCTTTAAAACGGGCAAGTAGTTGATCAGACTTCGGTGCCCTGCCCGACCGATAAAATTTTTTGTTTCCCTGAGAAAACCGAACTCGAACCCAGGACCTCTTAGCTAGAGAATAGGTTTAACGTAAAGAGGAAAAAATATCATATAAGGAAAGAAAGGTTTACGGAATGAGAAAAGATTCGAATTTTCGTCTTTCGCCATTTGAGCTTGGATTTCGCTGTTTACGCTAATTAAAATGTTCACCAAGCTTAAACATAAAAAAGAACATTGAAAGTGATAGAAATCAATAAAAAATATGTTAACTGGACTTTCAGGTGAATCACGCGAACATACAAACTCTGTACGCGGCGATGGGCCCAACGCTGGGAATGTCGCAAAATCTCCTCAGCTACCTTGTCACAAAAGCTGAAAAATTGTTCTCAGATATTCATCTCACTAAGTAAGTACATCTTAATTAGGAGTTCAATTATTTGTTTATGGCCCGTTTTAATATATCGTTATACTAATGCGAAAATAATTATTTTGTTTATAATACTGACTTATTTACAGATAAACTCATTAGACTATCAACATTTCATTTTTTAGTCTTGGTTACTGTTATTATTTTTTATTTAGGAAACTTGTAGAAGGCCGGGTGATCAGTTCGCACCATCAGCTGACCATTTCACCTAATACTATATTATTTTACTTATTTGTTGTACTAAGACGTAACTAGCTTATAAGACCATCACGTGGTCACTTACTAAAAAAGTTATACCACTCGTAAAGATTTGTTTCATATAAATATGACGAAGTATTTACAACTTAGGTGGGTATATTCAATACTGTCTGTAGTTTACGCGAGTAGTACACATTTAAATAAAACACTTTAACGGTTTAAAACGCTATATATATTAGATTGTATTGATTAAAATCAAATATCCCTGTTATTAAAATGAAACCTGCGTTGTATTCAGCATAAACAAATTGCAGATATGTCCCGCCGCTCCTCTCGATTCCGGCAGAGTTTCCAGATAACGCAACGGAGATAAGCACTGAACTCCGAAAACAGGAATCGCTGTTGAGTCAAATTCACTCCGAAATGCACGCTGGGTTTATAACAGCCGCCCGCGACCAACAACTTTGGGAGGCTCAAAGGATCGTCACACAATTAAAGGTACATTAAACAGATCTTTAATTTACGGTACGCCGTATATAAAGCAAAGCCGGTTATTAACTTTAGATACAAAACATAAATAGCAAAATGAAGTTTAAGGCAGATGATACAATAGACTATATTTAAAAAAAATTTACTTCCGTCAGTATTATGCAATTTGAAGGGCTCGTTGGTGTAGTGGTATGGGAACTGATGTAGTCAAATAATAATTATAATTTTCCTGAATTGTGTTGGACTTCGTCTAAAAACCTGGGTGAAAGAAATATTGAAAATTCCATCCGGGTCTCGAACCAGCGTCCACAGATGAGAAAGCCGTCTTGTTTAATTGCGTTTCGGTTCCAATGTGTGGATTTCCAAATATTCTTAGCCGAAATAGGTCGACATCAGATCTTATAAATATCTTAATAAAAATAATATAAGTAATTATTATTTTTAAATAGGTTTGCTGTCGTTTAACTCTTCTTTTTGACGACAGACAAATATAATCATCGTCAGGAATAACACTTTCAATTTACTTATTATAATAATAATGTAATGTAAACTTATGTTAAATTTTAGAGAAAACTTCGCTCAGTCCAAAAATCCGTTGAACCGACCTCGTTGCCACTTCAACAATCGGTCGACGATAAACCAGAAGACGTTTCGCCACAACAACCACAAGCAACTATTCCGCCGAACGAAACAGTTGAAGAAATAAAAATGCAAGAAGAGCCATCAAAAGACCTCACAGATAGCAAAGAAGTCGTAGCTGAAGTGGAAACAGAAATACCAGACCCTACTTTTCCAGTAGACTTCGACTCTCAAAATACTGAATTTCCAGTAGAATTTGAAGATAATTTCGATTTCAAAGAAACTAAAGAATTACCAACGGAAACGGAAAAAGAGAAACCAAAATTAACAGAAAAGGAGCAAAAAATACTACGATTGCAGCTGGAGAACGCTGAATACTTACAATTAAAATCCCTACTACAAGCGAAAATTAATTCTGAACAATTTGAAATAGTCAAACTAAGAAGTCACGTTGCGCTAAAGAATAAGCTAGAAGGGCCGCAGAATAAAGAAAGGGAGAATAACCAAGAAGACCTAGAGTTAAAACAGCGGTTGTTAAAAGAAAACGCAATGCTAGAACAAAAGAGATTGAGTTTAGTAAATCAGATATTTCAAGAGAGAGTCGCTTGTGTGCAGTTGAAAATCGAGTTAGCCATGAAAGAGATTATGTCCAAATCATAAATATAAGAATTGAAAGGCTTACAGTACGAAAGGATCAACAAAATCTTTTTTCTTTTCTTTACAAAAGCGCCATCTATGTTCAGTTCTGATTAACCGATCTTGAAGAATGCAATTGTCTTTAATGTCGTAGTCGTACTGAAATATTTTAATGTATTTAAGCATAAATATTTATTTACATTCCTAGTTTAGTTTTAGTATAAAGTAAGTTTTTATCTATTTGTTATTTTGTGAGGAGATTTGACTTTGCATTTTTGTAATGAAGTGTAGTAGCATGGTTATAGTAACATCTGGTTTTATGTGGTGTATAACACATTTCTTTAATTTTAAACATATAATTTTAAATTAAAATCTCCATCCGAACTCCATGTTGTTATAAAAAAATAAATATAGTATCACACAATTATTTGTTGTTTTTATTTACCTAGTAAAAACAATGCGATATTCTCTAACTCCGTGTATAAATAACAGATGGCGCTATTGCTGAAGAATTTTCAAATGCTTCAGCTGCGGAACTAAATAAGTCGATATTTTTTATGTTCCCATTATTTCTTATCAATTATGTTTTTATAGATGAACGGAAATTGACATTATCAAATTTCTAAGGTTATCTGCTGACCTTACCTCCAAATAATTATCCATTAGTTATTTATATTAATTTGTTCCAGTAATAAGGTCTCTTACGTATTTATACAAATGTAATTAAGGCTTTGCAGTATTTGAAGGAAAACCCATTTTGATATCTTCGTAACGAGTTTATGAGTTATATGAAAAATAACGCGTTACACGATATTGAAATTTATTTTTTCCTATAATTTTGACTTCAGCTGTTATTTTAAAATACAGAAATTAGTTTGTTGAATTCTTGGTAATGCATATTGAAAAGTGTTTTTCGCATATGCATCAGTTCTAATCAATATATATCGATGTGAATTATTGGTATCGATAAAGGTTAAATCTAGTTTTAGGTCGAAGTTCCAATTTTTATGCATAAATAGGATCGCGACATTTATATTCAAAGTATGTACATACCTATAAGAAGTAAGATTAAGTGACCTGTTTCTCTTAAATAATCTCTAAATAATGATTAATTTTGAATTTTCTAGAAAAATATGACGCTGTATTGCATAACGCTATCGTTAAGTACTAAGATAGTGTCAAAGAGTTATAATTACCTACTTTATTTGATTACTTTGATAAATTCGTTTTGTAATCATTGCTTATATTTTCTATCGGTGTCACGCTAAATGCAACTGCAATTGAGTATTTTTTATGATAAGACGTCATTAGTTATAATAATTAGTTTTCTATAGAAATAATTGTTTGGATTTATAAGTGTTTTATTATGACTGAGTGGAAGGAAAAAACAAGATTTGAAACTTTCGTGCTTAGGGAAATGATAGACAACGCGGTTAATGATAGGAGATTAAGGAGAGCTAAAATAACATATTTTTTTAAACATTTTAAGCTAAAAAAGTAATCATTGTCTAGACATATTGAATTTCTTATGAAATAATCGGAACGTAATTTTTATGTTATGATTGTAGATTGTTTTTTATATTCAATTGAGTTTGCATTTGCATCCTTTAAATGATATTATTTAAAATGTTAAAAAAATAACTTGGAATCACCGAGAAAATATTTCCCAGTGGTTTTCAAATTTATACCGAAAATGACAGAAGCCATGTACCTACTCACTGTTTGTGAGTAAAGTTTAGGGAAAGTACAGCATATAACTTGTTTAGTGCCGAAAACGAACATCGTATCCGTATTTAGTTAAACTCTAGACACCTGCACACGTTCTGAGGTTTTCCTTGTTGATTACGTAATTTCAAATTAGTCATAATTAACAAACTAATTAGACTATAAATGCGAACACGTATAACTCTTTATAATTTTAGTTACCTACTTATGACACAAAAAAACAAATATATCTAAAATTTAGTTTTATAAGTTGTGAAAATATTAACTCTCTGGCTATCCTGCTTTTTGGGAAACAGCCTGATCACTACAATGACGAAACCAATTCCATTATGGAGGGTTCCTTGTCTTTCTTGAGTCCGGAACCCTAAAAATTAATATTTCATTTATGTTGCGATATGATTCATATTGCAATGTTAAGTGTATGAATAAGTCCTCTTATCACACATGAATTTATATAATTTACTAACTATTAGACGCCCCCGACTTGTAAGAGACTTTCGCCAGTTTGTTTTTTTGTTTGAACGTGCAAATCTCAAAAACTACTAGTTTCATTTCTGTTGGAAATTATTTTTGTGTTGTATAGGCCATTTATCGAGGAAGGCTTTAGATTGTAACATCAGACTGCGACCAATAGGAGCGAAGGACCAGTAAAAAAATGAGGAAAAAGCAGGGAAATTTTTTTATCTTTTGAGGGCTTCCGTTGCATACGCAACGCACCACAATAACCACGAACCGCATTCAAATAAAAAAAAACTACGTATATAGAATGATTTCTCTTTAAATTATGTAAAAAAAATCCGTGGCAATTAATATATAAATTCTCGTGTCAGGTGTTCGAACTTGAACTCCTCCAAAACGCTCGACCGATTTTTACCAAATTGATATGTGTATTAGTAGGTCTGAGAATAGGACAACACTATTTTTCATCCCCCTAAGTGATAAGGGTTGTTCACCTTAATTTTTTTTATGTTTTAGACAAAATTTTTAATTTTATATTTTTTTATGATACAAATACAAAAATACATACAATCCTCAATTTTCACTCTTCTACGATCACCCTTATTTTTTAATAGACATTTTAGTAAAATTATATATATAGCAAAACAACGTTTTTGTAATATTTTAAGATTAACTCGCAAGAACGACGGACGCGGTCGACGACGGTATTTTTTTATAAGACTGAGGAGGCTGTATGCAAAAATACATTTTAATAAAATAACTATTCCACACAGTTGAAGTCGCAAGCTAGTCTACAATAAAAAGCTTTCTACGGAATGGTACATGGTGGTCTGTCAAGTCACGTTGTCAGTTCCGTTCTCAAAAATAAATTCCAGGAAGTATGGAACTAGCTGCAGTTCATCATGTAACGTCCTTATTCGCCTTAATTGGAGTAATGACGAACTGCAGCGGAGCAGGAAGGTAGAGGAAACATCTGTGTCTTAGCTACATAGCATATATATATTGTCTATGTTTCGGTTACATATACAGTTCTATTAACACATACTTATTAGGACTAGACCGCCTCTCTAGCTCAATGGTTAAACGTTTACACGCAATACTAGGGTAACATAGTATAGCATGTGTATAGGTTTAGCGCGAGAGGTCCTGGGTTTGAATCCCGGGGATATAATAATTGTTTCTGTTGGGCAGGGCACATAATTCCGATCAACTAATTTTCTGTGAATAAAATTGATCAAAGAAATAAGCCCAAAAAATCATTCGCCCTCATTTTGTAATTGAGAACAACACACAGGAATATGTAAAAAATAATATCTACGCTGAATTTTATGTACATAATACGTTCAATAAACGAATACCTAATCACTATTAAGACGGACTAAGATTTATCATGTATGTTTGTATTTGCGTACTGTGCACAAAATTTTGATATTCTCACCATACATTTAATTTCTAGATTTTCCAGATGGATTCTAACACGTTCCAGAAAATAATATTTTGAAACATGTTTAAGTTAAACCATCCGTTGAGGCAAAACATCTTACAAAAAGCTAAAATATGCCATTCCACTCGACATAAAGCAACATTTATAACCGAAAATATAATGTACAAGTTATTTACCGTACGACCTTCAACATTAAATAACATTTAAATACTTGTGACATACACAATACTTGTAAATCTTGACCTCATTGAAAGTTGCTAATTATGTGTCTTATTAAAAGCATTGTTGAGTTGTGTTTTAATTTCCAAACTCCACGTTATTCGTTGGAATCGCAGCCAAATCTCAAGGTTGTCTAGACAATAACCCAGATAGAACATGTAATTTTATTATATTGTAAGATATTATTGTTAGTAAATATTATACGTTATATTTTTCGGTAACAGCTTGCTTACGGACCGTTAGTATAACATAAAAGCAGCGTAATCAGGAAAGGTGAATTAATAAATTTTATTTTTCTGAAACGGAACGTAGTCTGCAATTGGGGATTCCAGAAACCGATCCAGAAAGCCCAAAAACGTTTTCACCGGCTTGTTGGTGTAGTGGTAGAAATGTATAGCTTTCATGGTTTTCCCGGTTAACATTTTTCTAATCAATTTATAATTCTTCTGAAACATGTTAAACTTCGTCTGGAAATCTGGATATTAAATGATGATAGGAATGTCGAAATTCCGTCCTGGTCACGAACTACCGTCGACAAATGAAAAATTCGTGAAGTTAAATCACATTTCGGTTTCAGTTTGTGGATTTCCGAATATCCAAAGCCAAAAAAGGTCGACGGCATGGGACCACGGCTGCTGCAAAGTATTCGCAACGTCGGGCTGTAGTTAAAATAATTGGTAAATAATTTTTACTAATACATTTCGCCTTCCAAAGCGTTACAAGTTTTATTTAAATACTCAAAAACCACACCATATAGGGGTCGATATCAGCATGAAAAGAGAATATGTTTTTACTGAATAGTATCCGTTATAAGCCAACGCCTCTCGAGGCAAGGTATTGAATATTAACAGCAATGTCTCGAGTAATTAAGAATTCAGTCAGGCGTGAATCTATGAGGATCACCGAAGCGGAACGGGTGACTCATGCTGGTTTTTGAACTCGCGATGACGCCGTCCAATATCTGAGCTAGCGTTTCAAGGTTTTAGAAGTGTCCCGTGAAGATCTTATTGCCTAGACTAGCAAATGAAACCAAATAAGTCGACAGTGTATCTTGTTGATGTCATATGAGGCTGCTAGTGGTAGAGTTGTCTAGTAACAAAAGGTCTCAATAAGGCGGAACAAAAATTGCGCAATTAATTTAGTAAAATGAATTTGTACTATCATTTGTGTAAGAATTATTTGAATAATTTTCGATCACTGTGTTCTTGTAGATTAACATTTTTAGACTATAAAAATATATGTCAAGTCAAAAATCGGTAGTTAGGCTACTCTGCCTCTAGCGGCCGCATATGTTTGGGGCATTTCATCTCCCATCAAGTAAACCACATACTTGTCTGTCCCCCTCCATCATAGAAAAAAGAAAAAACTTCTAGTATGCCCACCCTCCACAGAGGGCAAGAGATATTTCCCCCTTAATAAAATTACTGATCAAGATTTGTCTTTAGCTTCTGGTAATGTTTTAGTTTCTTTTAAGTGCCGATTTTATTTCTTATTGTAGTTAAATGTTAACCCTGAATATTATATACGACATTTTATTGTACTTAAAAGACAAGCAATAATATTGTTCGCAAGTCGCGTGATCTCATGTGAAGGCATTTTGTTAAAAGCTAGATTAACTACATTTTTCATAACTTAAGTCACGATTTTATCCACCTACTCAGTCCGAGACCTTCAGAGATCGCCCAATTTGGATATTACCTCGGTTGTGCGTGGATTCAATGAGATCACAGTTAAAAATCATTAAAGAGAACATCTGTGTACATTCTTGTATGTGTTTATTAGTATGTACAATCCTCGAAATAATTGGATTGTTTTTATTTCGATATTTCGTTATAAAATCATTTACACACTTTTTGAGGGGATGTATATTAACCAAATTTAATTATACATACAACTTAAATAGAACATTTTCAACGGTTTATAACGCCTAACATGTTAGTTAACCTGTTTACAATTTAATTTAATTTTTAGTGGCAACGGCTGGTGCACAGCATTCGAAACTTTGGGCCGTAGTAAAAATAAATTGTAAATAAGTTACTAATGTATTTGCCGTTATAAACATGTTAAAGTGTTTTATTTAAATTTGTACTACTCCCGTAAACTACAGACAATAAATAAAGATAGTTGAAGTGTAGATACAAAATATGTGAATAGGTATAACGACATACCTACTCTGTTTGTAACTGGGAAACAAGAATAATTAAATCTTAGCTTCCAAAACTAAGTTTCGTCCAAGTGGCCATATTATGAATATTCTAAATGTCACTGACCGACCGAGTATTGCCACAAATAGTGTTCCTACATGCGCATAGTCATGTAAAATTAGCGTCGTATCCCGGCTAAAAGAAAAAAAAATAAAGTGTTTATAAATAAAACGCACATGGCACGAGTCACTGGATGACTGAATATTCAAAATAGTTCGCTGATTCGCTCTCTGTTTACCAATATCGTTCGGAATCTGTTATTCTTGCTGTGACCTTTGAGTTTTGTATATCAATTGGACTAATTTGCATACAGAATATTGCTTTGTGAAACTCACAAAGCAATTTAATGTATGAGTGTTATATATCCACCGCTTTAGACCTTCAAATGAACCTCTAAAAACACTTTAACGGTTTAAAAATCGATATATATTTTAACTTATTTGAATTTTTTTTTCACTATTGTCTGACGTTGACGCTTTGCAGCCGTTGTCACGGGGAGACTGCATATACCGTGTTTTGAACCGTTAGTGTTTTATTTAAATGTGTACTACTCGCGTAAATTATTGAGTTATAGACAGAATTTACAATACTTGTTAGTCCATGAAAAAGGAACAGGTTATTAAAAAATAGATATATTAATACACATTTGTGTAAATAACATAAGTAATCGTTACGTGAAGCTCACTACATGAGTGCCCAAATTTACAATAAGTAAATTCGTCGTTTCGTTATTCGTATGCTTCGCGATATATAAACGCGGTAAAATGTTACTATAATGCTACTGGTATAAAATTATTTTAGAGCAAGTTACGATTAGGTTAGATGTACGCTCGTGCTTATAAAACCGCGTCTAAAAACAACCGACCACACATAGTATCTCCTTACTGACCTGCTTTTATTTGAGAATTTAATTGTGGCGAAATACGTACCTTCGACCTATTAACAGATTTACTCTTTGTTTATATTATAAGAGGTTATTGAACTATATGAATTTCTTAAAAGATCGTATAAACTAGAAAAACATATCGTTATAATTAGGTTACTCATAAATATTCAGTGGATTATCTTTCATGTTGTTCAATTAAAACGCTATATTAAGTAGATAGTTTGAATGTATATACATATTAAATTTATAAATGTATTATTAGTCTTAGTTAAATAACGTTTTTTCACAATAAATTTACTTTTTCATCGTATAGGTAATCTTGCAATAATCGTGTAAATAAATCGCTATCACAAACTACGCAAAATAAAGTTAATATTGCAGATAACATTTGTTTTAAGTGGGACAGCACTAGACGCACCTACTCTTTTAAACGGCTACATAAATTAACTTTCAAGCATTTATTGTGACATGTGAATAGAAAATGTAGGCCGATGCTAAAATTATAGGCTTATTCGCTTATCCATATGTTTCTGCAGCTGGCAACAAATTTCGTGCAGATCGAGTTTACTATAGTTTTCTTCAGAATTACAATTAATGTCCACATCTTCTCATCTACTCTTTTTGATTAGCTTAATGTACACACATTATAGGACGGCCAATGAAAAGTATGTAAATAGTAAATGTATTTTTTATTATTAATAATTTACTGTTATAAACCCAGCTGCCATTACAACCTAAAACTATAAACATATTTTCCTATCCTTATTTAAAAGTTGTTAATTACTATTATTTACTTTACTATTTGTTTCACTAATGAGTAATCGATTGACATATAAATAGTAAACAAACATAGCTAATCGACTTCGGCGCAGTGACACAAATACAAACAATACTGTCTGTATATTGCAATCCAGTGTGAATTGGGTATTTATCGGTAACCGGCTAAAATGCGTTAGAGCATATTTGTTTCAATATTCATTATATAATGATCGGCGTTTCGACTCAGTCCGCTTTCACTCCGCGCGGTGTTCACGACGAGCATGATTGTGTTATTCCGTTTATATTTACACAACTGTTTCGACTGCTGAAAGATAGAGCGTTCAGTGCGTTGTCTCTAAGTAGCGGGCTAACTCGCGTATCTTATCGCCGCCTATTGATCAGTAATCATTGTACTGCGAAGTCCGCCCTGTCCGGACGGCCGGACCACCTTTATTTTCCAATTTAAAGTGTAGACGTGCACCGTACGGCCACGATGTTACCGGTGAAGTCATAATGCGCGGACGAAAATAGAAGCACAGTGTTTACAGGAAAATAGTATCAATAACAAAAGTGTTGCGGTTTGTTATCGAACGGAAATGTCAGCTAAATCGCCCACAGTCAGCGTGAAGTCGCGCGAGATCATCGGTGGCGACCAGTTCAGTCAGCGGCGCGAGGTTTTCGAAAAGCACGACACGGTGTTCCTGCCTCTACCGTCACCCACTTCGCCCGTAACGTCATACAGAGAGGTCGAGCCCATCATCACGTCTAACCACGGCAAAACCACGTCCAACTTCAAGCGGAACACCGGTGGATACTCCAGCATGCGCGAGTCGAGGAGCGACGAACGTCAATACGAATTCCGAGCGCGAAAATATTCCGACAACTTCACATCCGAATTGAACCAGAGTGACGATGTTGACTACAGGTATAGCACTGTGGAACGAACGAGGCGACTTTCGAAAATGCGACGGGATTTTCTAAATTCAAACCTCCACGAGCCAAGCGAGAGCCCGTTCGCCAGGAGCGGCGTGCGCGCATCTATGCCCAACACTGTGAACGTGACGAGATATAAGATAGAGAGTCCGAAGATTCACAAGTTTCCCTTCGCCGAGCCCTATACCACACCCACTCCGGTGCGGCGAATCATTATCAACTTGGGCCCAGATGAAGAAAGTGAAGAGAAGGAAAATCAGAGTCCCGAAAGTAGAAGAAAACATCAGAGTCTTCCCTACGATAGTGGATCACCTAAAACGGATCGACAAAAGCTATTCGAAGAGCTCGTTAAACGATATTCACCACAGAGGAAACCAGTCGACTGGACTTTACCTCCAACGAGACCGAAAGTAGTTGGTTCTGTTCCTAAATCGACATCCAGTGTCCCTGAAAGCGTTGATAACACGAATGAAAATGATGATGTCTTTGAGACAAAGAAAAGCGTAGAGGAACCTAAAGAGCCCGAGAACCACGTAACGCAGGAAATCAAACCGCATATAGAAATTATACACAACGGTCCCGACTTACAGACCGATAAGCAAGATGAAGAGAAGAAGGAAGAGTCTAAGTCTTCCCTCACAGAATCAGAGGAGAACGACTACGTGCCAGAACTATCGACTATGAAAAGACAATTGAGCAGGGAATCTGCAAAACGACCGCCCAAGGACACAATCGTAGACTTAACCATTCCAGACCTGATAGACAAGATGACCAAGGAAGGCGAGAATATAGAGCACCATAAGACCAACGGGAAGAAAGTAAAAAGGAAAAGGAGTTTTTTGGACAAACTCCTGGGGCGAAAAAAAGAAGTTAAAAGTGATAAGTGATAAAGTTGTAACTGCCAAAGATAACAGACCTGTTACAATTGGTTGACAGGTATGACGTCATAGTGTTATCACTGTAAAAAGGTATAAAATAATTTATGTTTGGAAATATAGTATTTGAAAAATCAATTATCGGTAAATGGAAGGTCAGCCCTATCTTATTAGTTATCACAAACTGATAAGAAGTCCTTGTGTTACTCTATCTGCCAAAATTTAATAATCGCTAGCTAACCCATTTATTACGTAAAAGTATAGAATACAATATTTATTGTTTTGTTATTTCCTTGTTTCTGATGATTCATAGTAATTTTTGCTCCGGCAGCGAGTTATTGTGGCGTTGAATGTTTTAAATATATTTCTGTACTGTTAAACGTTCCTTATTAGGGAAAATATTTTGCATAATAAAACAATTGTTAATAATTCCAGTTTCATTGGTATAAAACCTTAAATAACATTGAACACAATTTGAAGAATACTTCAAGACAACACGATATGATATCTCATATCACAATTATAGGAAATTTACTATCACTATCTGATAGCTAACTGTAAGCAAATGAAATATATAAGTACTTAAATGCATTTGGAACGAAAGGTTTTATATAAATTTCCACTGCCTTTAGTTAGATATGCAAACTTAATTAAAAATATGCGTGTTTATTGCAATTCACGGCATTAAATTACAGTCAAATAGATAACAAATGATAGTGATATAACTGAACTAGGTTGCAGCTTACTTCGGACATTTATTTTTATTTTCAAGAATTTCAATTTATATAGTTTTAATACGATGTCTTTATTAAATAAATTATATCGTATGTCAATCTGACTTTATTTAAATATAATCGGGAAGCTAAAGTGTCATGCATTTTCAAAATGAAAAGAAACTGTTGTTATCGATCAATTAAAAGAATTGTATAAAAACAATTGATCATCACGCCATCTAGTGTAAACTTACAAAGTTAGAGTGATTTGATATAAGATCTATTGTAAAACATGGTAAAGCGAAAGGTTGAAGGAAGTTACACATTTTACGTTACTGTTATAACTCCTGACAAGAATGAATACAAGATTAATTACGAGATTGATCACAGGGAGACTCACGGACACGGCTGCTGCAAAGCATCCGAAACGTCGGGCCGAAGTTAAAAATAATTTTCAAATGAGTTTAACTTATATATATATCGCGTTTTAAACCGTTAAAGTGTTTTATTTAAATGTCTACTACTCGCGTAAACTATAAACAGTATTTATTCATGTAAAGTTAGTCTCCACTTCAACAACTAGATGGCGCGATCTACAAAATTACGCGACTTACAATGAAATTAATAATAAAAATTTAATTTCTTTATATTCTTTCGGAAGAAAATCATTGAACAATCCTTTACAACTTACAATATTTTGATCATCAATTACAATGTTATATTGTTGATTCCGCATAATATGTACAACAACAATTCATCAATTAATATTTTGGAAGGCAATATGATTATTACTACAAATACCTTATGGCTAATAAAATTCGCGCGTCAGTAATTTACATAAGTGCGCTTTAAAATTAACACATTTCAATTGACCATTGATGTCATTATATGTATTATTTGTTTTTCTTTACTCAAACTCATGCTGCAATTTATCTGAATTCAATTTTTTTAAGGCTGCTTCTAAGGAGAATAGATGCTCATCTTCCACACCAGGTGCAATTAATCGCATGGCCTCTGCTAAATGGTATACATATTCCTTATTAGTGCCACTAGGACCTTTACAACTTATCACTTGCTTTGCTATATCTTCAATGGGAGCTGGACCTGAAAAACTTTTTACTATTATTATAATACCATCACAAAGATGGTTTTTTTATGATAGAGGTGATGAGTAGGTGAAATACCTCAGCCATATAACATAAATACATGAATCAATGTCTACCTATTTTGGCTTCAGATATTCAGAAATCCACAGGCTAAAACCAAATTGGTTTTTTATCTATGGGCGGTGGTTCATATTCCATTATGGATTTTTTTTTTGATAATTTAATATTCCTACCAACTCTCTAATGGCCAGCTTTACAAAAGAAGTCTACTCAGTGAAAAAGCAAAATGTATATGTTACCGGCCACCCTTTCAGACAAACTAGTTTTGCTAGCTAAACTAGTTCTTCCTATACCGAAGGATAACCAGTTAAATTAACTATTTCTCCATGGATAGCCAGTTTAGCTAGGCCAAACTAGTATATAAAAAATTAATACCTATCTAAATAACAAATTTAAGATCATAATTGAGCAAGCTTAATACATTGGTGCCGGTGTAACTATAAGTAGTCTTTTTTTAAATAGAAAAGAAAAAGAATAGAAAATCAATACTTTAATTTGTGCCACCAAAGCAAACCATTAAAAATAAATAACAATTTTAATAATTACTTCATAAAAATTATTAACACTATATTTATATTTTACCATTACATAACATGAAAAATTAAAAAAAAATTTTCAAGAAACAATATTACTTTAAAACTAATTAATAGCAATATCTAATTAATTAATCAGTATAACTGTGCTCCTACTGCTATCTTTAACAAATTAGTTTGAATAGTCTATGCTACGGTTAGAAGAACTAGTTTTAGAAATTAAATCTGTAACAAAGAGATAATCTCAAAACTATTAAACTTTAGTTTCAAGAATTGTAAACAAAGTATGAGTAGAAGCAAACACATAATAAATCTGGAAATAAATCCAAATTTCTCCAAAGCAAATACAAATAAACAGTAAAATTTTCAATATCTGTATTTACAAAACATTGTATTTATTACTAGCATAAATACTTATATGGATTTTGCAAGTCACATCTTGCTTGTTCAAGTAATTCTTTGTTTGCTTTGAATAATTCACTGTGTTCCATGTTAATAATATCATAAATATTACATGTGACACTTTGCTATGAAATTATTACTTACAAAAATAAATTACCTGCAAAAGATTCATTGTCCTTTGTCGCAACATATAAAGTTATTTCAAATGGTTTTAAGCTAGCATCCTTTGCATGAAATATCACAGTTTTCTTAGAATATCCATTCTTTTCTCTATAATCTAGATGTTTTGTTACTTGTTCTATATCCTCACTCCGTATCTTGTATGCTACTCCCCACACTTGACTGTTTGGATCGTCACTTGGAATTAAGGTGACAACTCTACCAGGCTGAAAGTCAAAGGCAGTTAAGGTTGAAAAGAAAATGTTAATAAAATGTTAAAACCTAATTTATTCACTTATGACATTTGAACAGCTTATTACCTTTTCAGGTATTCCTCTATGATCAATACTGTGTTGATAAAATCTTCGGAGATAACCCTTAATATAACCTACAGCTTTGCTTTCATAGTTGAAATCCACTTTCCACACTAAAGATCCGTAACCAAACACCCACATTTTGGAAGATGAAATGTATATATATGACTTAGCTCATGAAATGATTCTTTATTGAGCAATAATTCAATTTATAGTGATCCATCTCAAAAAAGGTAATATCATCATTATCATCAAGAATTGTCAAATATCTCAAACAAACTTTTGCATGATAAGACCAATAAGACTTTGATAGAAATCAGCTGAGCTTGGAAGTGTTAATACAACCATAGAGTATGAAAAGCAATATGACATCGAATGAAATGTCAAAGTTACCTCCTTAATAGTTGACATATCTGTATATGGCATTGAGCTGAGCTGCCAATATTGGTGGTAAATTTAAAAATTTCCTAATGTTCAATATTTGTAACAAACCAAAACCACAAACAATATCATGTAATAATATACGCATAATTGTATTTTTACGTCTATATTTATCCACTGTAACGCTTTAAACATGCGATACTTATAGAGAAGCCGAGAAAGAAAATCTAGCTACGATTCAATATGATTTTATAAACAAAGTTTTTTATGTTTAATAAATATTTAAACTATCCTAATGCCCAAGCCAACCGTAGCTCAACAACTTTGCCATGATATTGTGGAACCTGCGTTAAAGGCGTCTGCCAATAATGTCAAATCACACTTATCAAGAAAGTCAATAATAAAAGCTGCCAGCAGCAGAAGTGAAACAAAGCCTTCAAGATCCGTGTATATTGAGAAAAAGAGTGTTACTAAAAAAATTGCACCCACTGAAAGCAGTAAATCAAGAGTCAATACTCTTAAATCCAGTGGAACAGTTTTAAGAAAGAAATTCATTGATTCAGCCATTAATACCTTAATATCAGGTCCATTACGATGCGACAACTATTGTGTAACTATGGTACGAAAGAGAGACCAAAATCCTTGTAAATGTGGATCGAAGAAGGTAATTCCGAAAGCTATTAGCCATAAAGTAATTCAAACACCAAGTAGAAAGAACTTTTCAAAAATGGACAAAGCATGTGCTAATCGTTTTGATGCTGTTACTTGTGGAACTCAATTTTATGACAGTCACAGTAGCAAACTCAAGTCAGCAATTAATAAATCAAGATCCAGAACAAACATATACTTTAAAGCACCTTATGAGAAAGCATTAGAATCAAACAATGAAATAAACAGGTCTAATAGGATTCTCAACCAAGAAAATAAACTTGATAGATATAATGATAGGTTTGAAAGTACCAGTTACTTTGGAGGAAAAAGATGGGCCTTATCTGACTTTCCCATTAGAGGCCCCGACTTCTGATTAATATAAATAAAAACAATACAAACATGTCAAAAAGGATTATTTATTATTTCACACCATTTATTAAGCATAGTGCATTTACTTTGTTTTGTAATGAAGTTACTACAATAATTTACATTGAAAATAAAAGTCCATCGGTAAATAATCAGTACAGTGTATAAGTGACGTATTATAAAAATTGATATAAGCATTCTTACAATAATTTTTCATTAAAAATTATATTTAACTATACTTTAGTTAGTCTACCTGCAACTGATTACAGATTTCCAAGTTAACATCTTACACATGAGTAATTATTTTAGTTTATTAATCTTGATAACTTGATATTAATTTGCATATAGTGGACTAAAAACAAAGGAAGTCATTTTAAAAATAATATTAGCTAGAGTCACACCACTTCCTAAATGTCTTGTACAGGGTGTAACTTGAGGAGGCCAATTCTCACATATTTGGTTGAGCAGGACTAACAGGAGGTGGTTGAGCTTCCAAATTCTTGATTAATTGAGCAAGCCAATGCTTAGTGGAATTGTCCTCTTGCAAACAAGCAGTAAACGTAGCATCACGCAGCTGGTCTGGAAGACATTGCCTTAACGCTTCTCTGGCTCTTGGATTGTCAGACAAACGTAAGTAACAACGAACAACATGCTTCAAGAGTCTTGCAGATGGATCTTTAGCTAGTGATAACACCATTTTTCCCAAAATCATAGCCACATGTGAAAATCTATCATAGGTCTGGCATATATAGCACAGACCACTATCATCTAAAAGTATCTTTTGCAATATAAATGTGGCTACAGTTTTTGACAGCTCTGATCCATTCTCCATAATACGTAGGCACAAGGGTATAATTTCAGTAGTCAGGAGAAATGTGATAACTTCTTGTTCATCAGTTTTAACCAGTGCTCCAATAACTCCAAGGCTAGTTAGACGCAGATACTCGAAAGGACGAGTTTTGGACACTGTATGAAGGAACGGATAGAGAAATAAGGGAACGTGTGCCTGCAGAAATGCCGATCTAGTTTCTGGGTGAGATGCTACACATTGCATCAAGGCTAATGCGTTACAGACACGGTTGCTTTGATGCGCTGTCAATGTTGGAGGAATCATCGCAACGTAAATATTTGTGATTTCTTGTAACAAAGCTGCTATCGTACCAAAGCTATGCCATAGCATTGGTGCCAAGTCGGGTACAACTTCCCTCTTTTTACTAAGCTCTAAGAGCGCATTTTCTCGTGTTTCCGGGTTGCATAGTTCCAGTATCCAGGAATAAATCTTTTCTCGGTCCACAACAGTCTGCATGTTTGCAGGACTTTGCTGCGCGCTCATAGTAGAAAGCATCACAATATAACTTTCGATAACTTTGGCGGTATAAATATCATTGCCGATAAAGGCTACCGGGTTACTTTGCTTAAAGCTTTATATAACTAGTACTTGTAAAACTTTGTAATTTTTGTATACTGACTAGTTGATAAATAAAATATGGATCCTAAATGCTTAAATATTAATCTTTACGTCACTATTCAAGTATTCGCAATTATACTCACACTATACAACTACAGAGTACTATACCAATTACCAACGCTATACACAGTTCTCCATTCCACAGATATAAAATTATAATTATATACAATGGAGATAAAAAATATTGATACAGATAAAATTATGTCATTTGTCAATTATATTTGTATTATAAAGTTGGTAAAATAAAAATATCGAATGTAATTTTAAATAATATTGTTTGAAGTTACATTAGGGTTAAAATTTGTTAACTATAACTTAGTTTATTAGAAAAGCTTTTCTAAATAGTGTATTATTTGGATTGAGAAGTGTGATTGATCGAGTATTTATTTTCAGTCCATTGAGCCAAATGCCGAGTGTTGTAAAGCTATGTAATTAATACTAACTAAGGCTTTACGGTTCTTTGTAATATTAACAATCCACTGTTAAGGTATGTTAATATAATATGTAGAATTTCGTATTAATAGTAACAAGGGCCATACTGATTCACACATGACGCCATTGTTTAGACGACCGTATGTTCTCATTTAATTAGATTGTTATTTGAAGTCTGCTGTATCTTATGCTTTAAAATCCTGTGTGTACAAAACATTCTTATAAAACCTTTAATGATAGATTCCAAAAGAGAAACTCCATGGAGAGAAGAGATCCAATAAGAGATGAGTTTATTATCTCAATATATATTGAGATAATACAGATACAATATTAAATAGCTAGTAAAGTCATAAAACGATTCTCAACTTTAAAATTAACAAACAGCTATGAAGTTAATGTTGATTATTATTATTAATTATAATTAATAAAAAGTTACATTCCTCTGTTACAGAATCATGGAGGTCTCTCACTCTTTGACATTAAATGAAAGTGCTTTGCAGCAATTACCAGATGACAAGAAACCACACTTTATATTTGAGTGGCTTCGTTTTTTGGATAAAGTTTTAGTTGCCGCTCATAAGGTAAGATACAATTTTATGAAGTCAATGGCAAAGATTAGGGATAAATTTGTTACTTAAATTGATTATGAATTTAAGCACCTAATGAAACGCTAAAATTTGTAAAGACTTACTATATTCAGAAACCATAAAGATCTTTTTTAAGTTGATATAAAGACGTAGTTCATATCTTTTCAAACGATCATTTAAAGGAACAAAACTATGACACAACCATTAAATTTGCATTTTTTCTAACTAGAAATTGCATCAAAATCCATGTTACTTATTCTCAGTCATTCCTAAAAAAAAGACTTTTCTTCCAGTCCGATATAAAAAACTGTCAACAGAAGTTAGTTGCACAGTTGCTGAACCTGTTTCGTGAAAATCTAGGACCACCAGCTAGGAGGGTCCTATCACGATGCCTTGCGACATTGTTCTCAGTTGGGGACACATTCCTCCTGTTTGATACTGTTAATAAATGTAATGATATAATTAAAGTTAAGGATGATTCACCATCATACCTACCAACGCGACTGTGAGTATTTTTGTCACGTAAAATAGGTCAAATGCTAATATGATGAGAAACAAGAATTTATGCATATTTAAGAGTAGATAGTAATAATATTGTTTAAAAAATTGCACTACTAAGAACACATTAATTATAATCTATTTGTTTTTCATGAGTTTCTTGTGATCCAAAGAGTATAAAACCTTTCTTGTTAGGTAATAGAGTAAAACTTTCTTATTGTTCAATCATAGTACAATTAAATAAATTTTCAGAGCAGCGATTTGCTGTCTAGGTAGCATGTATGAAAAACTTGGCAGGATGATGGGACGATCATATGAAGAAACGGTATCTACTTTAGTTAAATCACTTAAAAGTGCTGAATCTCAAACAAGACTTGAAATAATGATTACTCTTGAAAAGGTAAAGTTTTTATCATAAGCAAGTACACTCTCTCACAGTAAAATGTTTTATTGAAATCTAATTTTTCCATTTATATGTAGAATCTTTCAATAACATGAAATCCTTTATATGCTAAGCTAGTTCGATATATCAGAGTTTTTTTTTTACTTTTATGTATTCACAGCAGTAAGCCTCACATACACCTATATAAATTCTTGTGAACTTACAAATTCTCTAAAACTTTTTTTTAATATTTAGCTTGATGTTTTAGATATGTGTGGGTATGGGAACAGCAGCGGGTAACGTACTGCGTGAAGTGTCAAGGGCTGCGCGTACGTCGATGCTTAATGAGAGATCTACGCCCGTGCGTGCGGCGGCCGCAAATGCCTTAAGAAGTATGCTACCACTGCAGAAGTTGACACCTGCTGATGTCGATGCGATTGCTGCTGCCTGCTTACGGGCTGCACATCCCAGTGATTACCAGCTTAGGTATTAGGCCTGTAAAAACGGTTTTTTAGAAGAAAATAATAGTTCTTTTTTCCCTATTTTTTTATATCATATCGGTATACTATAATAAGAAGGTATAACTATATGATTATTTTCTTTTAGATGTGCAGTAGCAGAACTATTGGGAGCGCTAATAGCGACAACTCAAGCCGGGGAAGCGACAAACCTAAATACAAAGAATAAAGTGGGAATGCAATTAGGTATGCAAAAGAAAGCTAATTTTTTAAAATAAATACTTCATGACCAATCAAGTCAAAACCTGCATTGCTAAGTCTTATGTATAAGTAGAAGACTAATAAATGTTTTTTTTTGACAATATATTTTTTGCAAGTGAATTAGTTGCTTGAAAATACACTGACAGAAGTCTTACAGTTAAATGAGTATAACATTTCCAGTACAAAATAAAAAGGATACACCAAAGAACGTCATATCATTGGACGAAGCGTTGAATCTGTTGATGGGCGCTTTTCTACGCGGAGGTACTTCCTTCCTGAAGGGAGAGATTATTAAGTCCGGCTCGGGAGTTAATAGGGAAGTCAGAGTTTGTGTGACTCATGTAAGTATACATGTATTTTTAAATAATCTTGTAGTTTTGTAGTTTTTAACATAGTCTTTAAAATGCTCAGAGGTCAAATACTTCTTTTTAATAGCCTCGCCACTCAGGACTTCATAAGATACTAAAATAGTACTAGTTATTCTAAATAGACAGCTGTTAGGTACCGAGAAAATCCGTATTTTTTGTTTTATTAAAACAAAACAAAAAAAAAATGTAAATTTTGCAAAATGAAGAGAAAAAACATATTAACGTGATTTTCCTCACAGGCATATGTGATATTTGTACAAAACATGGGCGGCGTGTGGCTAGAGCGGAACATGAGCACGTTTCTGTCTCATGTCTTAGATTTAGTGGCTAATCCCAAAGCTGCCAGTTCTCACGTCGATGCTGTTTATTCAAGGTAATTAAAAGAGCAGTAATTTAATATATACTGGGGTATAATTAAAGTAAAACAAAAAATAATAGGAACGCTTAGTCTTGAATATAGGTAAAAATTTAGTACAAGATATTTCCTTAGTGGGATTATGCTCGTCTTGAATGGAAATACTTGAAAAAGTTTAATTTCTTAATGGACATATTGTAAACAAAATTTCTCTATGTACACGCATAGAGAAATTTTCCGTTCCTCTCATCATTTTATTTATTGCTAATTCTTTCTATACTTGTTGTTAAGTATATTATTGTATTGTTTTGGTACATTTTTTTTTAGAAAATGTATTAACTACATCCTTCGAAATACTCTCGGCAAAATGCTTGGTGAAAAAGCGCAGGCGTCTGCCTGTCGAGAAATAATACAAATTGTGGCTAAACAGATGAACAGCATTGATTTTAACCCAGAGAATGCTAAGGACTGCAATCAGGTAATTTATAATCTATTCTTTCCTTTTTTTATTAATTTTTTTAAATGTAAACATTAATTTAAAATGATTGTCATAGTATGAAACTACTATATGTTATAATACTGTAATTAATTGTTTGTTTGTTTTACCGTGTTAATCTCGGGAACCATTGGTTCGATTTTTTTTATTCGTCTTGGATAGACCATTTATCGAGTTTGATATTATCATCAATCTTTTCATTGATCAGTTTTCAGTCATCAGTTTTCAGAACTCCTTTAAATAATTGTATATATTTACAGGAAACATTATTCAGTCAGCATCTTTTAGTATGTGCTCTAACAGAAGCCGGTGAACTTGCTCTACAATTGGGCACTTCAGTGCATAACCTGGTGTCGGACACTTCTTTGAAGATGATTGACACGATATTTACCGTAAGTTTAATTTTAGTATTTAGTCAGATAAACCAATAAACAGTTCAATACAACACACCAACTGCCTTTAGTAGTAGGTATTATTCATGCAGGTTATGTATGTATATGTAGTAGGTATTTATAAAAACAAGTCAAATAGAAGACGGTACAGTAAATGAACTTTAAATTCATACGAAAACTTACGGCTTATCACCATAATTTTAGGTACAAGTATAGTTTTTCTGTCGTATATAGTATTTGTAAAAAATCATGTCCTTTATAACTAAAGTTGTGATCAATGTATTGAGGCCTGAAAGTCTTAATACCAAAGTAAATATGTAAATAATAAATCTGTCATAATAAGTATGTTTTATACTATAAGCAGTTGGGTAGTTTTTACGTTACGTTGTCACATTCTTTAATTTACATTCCAGGGACACATGTTATTTTCAATCTGATAATAAAAGCGATGATAGAAAGAAGCACAAAATGTATCCGCGCTGTACACAACGAAATTCCAATCTTATGTTATTTATGGTATTTCTTTTTCCGGTCGTATTGTTTCAGAAACTATTTTAGTCCTCCCAACATTTTATCTAACTAATACTTTTATCTTAAGGTGTTGGAACATCCTTGCGTAGCGGCCCGTTTAGCAGCGGCTGCAGCCGTGCGTTGTGTCTGTGAAGCTCTACCTGCCCTTATAACGCCATTACTTGACCGAGCCTGTGATGCACTTGATGTTGCCAGGCCCACACCTCACCATATTTCTGGTAATTATTTTTGTGAGGGAGAGTCTTGAACAATAAAATATTAAATCGATGTCTATAATTCTTTCTGGTCACTTTATTATTAAAACCTTTAAACAATGCTGTTAATATTGTTTATGGTTTATAGGGTATTCAGCGGCACTAGCAGCAATACTCGGTGCTGTTCGGTCCTCGCCTCTTGGCGTGCCTCACGGTCGAGGCAAAATTGCGTTCAACGCAGCTGAACAACTACTGCGTTCAGCAGCTCAGAGCAGCCGTCTCACAGCCGCTAGAACTAATGCAGGGTGGCTTATTGTTGGCGCTATATGTACTTTGGGTATGTATTCAATAATTTAAGCAGAGAGAAGTATCATTTAACACATGTTTATTTAATACATTTTATTTGAAAAAAGCATTTCAAAATTGATCCTTCCAGCCGGCGCGAATTGAATTTACTATACAAATAATTAAAATTAAATATTAAAGTGATGTTAGTTCAATTCGTCATACATTTCGAGAAAAATACTAGTTTACTATCTTTGATATTGTATTGATAATTTTGATTAGGTGTTCCCGTGGTGCGTGGTCTGTTACCACGAATGTTGTTGTTATGGAGAAACAGTTTCCCAAGATCTGCCAAGGAACTGGAATCGGAGAAGGCTAGAGGAGATGCTTTTACTTGGCAGGTAATTTCTCGATTTTTGTAATTTGCTAAATAAAATGTTATCAATTTATAATAATTTATATGAAAAATTAGGACTATATCGTGTTTTAATGTTTTTTATTAAAATAGTACATTTAATGTATCGCCAGGTGACACTTGAAGGTCGTGCAGGTGCCTTGTCAGCGTTGCACAGCTTATTAATTCACTGCCCTTCATTGGTGCATAATGATGACACAGCGAAACGACTAAGTCAACCCATAGATGGCGCTATCGCTGTGCTTACTAAGTAAGTACAATTCAATCATAAAGATAGGATAAATTGTCGTATTTTATACTTATTATCCCTTCATCATCATATGATCATCCCTTCAAACTCGACCAAATATCTTTAAAAGTTAGTTTTAAGTTGATAAATATGAAAAAGCCATTCAAAAACAAAAAAATGTACTCGATCATTCGTGCTGGACCTTAATAGTACCGAAATCTTTCTACTAAAAGCGTTATACGCTTTCTATTGAAAAGCGTTATACGCTTTTCAATTAATCTTGCCAAATTTGACAAATACAGTCTATAGTTTACGCGAGTAGTACACATTAAAATAAAACACTTTAACGGTTTAAAATGCGATATATTAGTTAAACTTATTTGAAAATTATTTCAACTACGGCCCGACGTTTTGGATGCTTAGCAAATAAGTTTAACTGATATATATCGCGTTTTAAACCGTCAAAAAGTTTTATTTAAATGTGTACTACTCGTGTAAATAAAATTAAGTTGAACCATTTCTCATCAAATCTTATAAATTTTCTTACAGCGTGAGTGGCGTTGTTCGCAACTATGGTGGATCCCTTAAAGCGCCGGCAGCTTTACTTCGGCTACGCTTGTACCAAGCGTGCGGTGCCTTATCATCGGGTGCCCCTGCGCCGCCCTTACTTAGACTTTTAGCAGCTGAGTTAGCTGGATCCGCTGAACCCAGCGGCGCTAATGTTGCTACAGGTACACACTAGAAATATAATGAAATGAATAAATTTTCTCCCAGAAATTTCAAATCATAGCGGCGAATTAAAAAAACTCAAATTTATGAAAAAAATATATTTGCATTCATATTCTAATGTAATATATATATATATATATATTAAAACATATCACTGTGTTAATTTTCATCTAGGTATGCTTAGACACGCGATGCATCCACGAGACACGATATTGTTGGACGAAGAGAATTGGATTTATGATACGGATCATGCTGATATCGAAGAACAGGTAATTCTTACATTTTGTTTTTTTTTTAATTCAACTTTGACAACTACAAATATATCATCGTTGATAACCAGGTCCAACGACTTAATAAGGCACGAGGGTCACCTTTTCGTTAACTTAACTAGTTAGAAATTTTTACCCTTAAATCTGGTATTTGTAGTTTAGGGTGCTTACTATTACTCGTAGTGATAATATGACTTTGACCTCTCTAATAATCATATTTTCCAGTTAATATCAGGTCTGAGTGCAAGCGGTTCTGGTGCGTTGGAACATGACCCGTGTTGCCTCTACCGCAATCTCTCTGGCGCGCAGCCGCTGGGCGTGGCCGTTATAGATGCTTCCGTTACTTTATTCCCGCAGATATTCTCCAAAGCTGCTAATAAACACAGGTAATCTATTAACAATTTTATATTTTCACATGTTGGCACGCGATGATGTTATAAATAAAAAATCTAGTTTTATCTAGGTAGCTTAATTACTAATAGCAACAGCTGGGGGCGCTGTGGATGCCACTTCAAGTCCTGCCCGTTAATGAGTGTGTCCCTAATGTCAAAGTCAAATCTGCAACGAGCCTAGAACCGCTGAAAAATGTTGCATTAGAACTATTTTGTTATGTTATTTAAAAAAGTATAAACATTTTTGAGTCCATTGTCGGAGTGGTAGTCGTTTGCGAACGGTCTTAAATTTTCTGCGTTCTTCGCTTTTTACTCGCATGGGTGATAAATGAGATTTGATTATAATTGTTTTTTTAGGTTTTCTATATATTAAATTGTGAAAATAAAGGTTAAAATGTACAATATATTTCTATAATGATTACTATGTGTGCCTTTTTAGGCAACAAATGCTAGAACACTTCTCGGAGTGCATCAAAATGTCCAAGGGTCCACGTCAAGAGGCGATACAGATTAACGTATACACCGCCTTATTACTCGCTCTGCGGACTCTGGCAGACATGAAGACCTCTCTTGGACAAGATGCTGTTAAAACGACCTGCACCGAGCTTATCTTTGTAAGTTTTAATAGACAAACAAATATATAACTATTAATGTAAGATTATGCTTCCACATTACAAGTAATAAATAAATTAGCTTACGTGCATGTACAACTATAGGACATTCACTCAAAAAAAAGCACGCCTAGACTTATTTTTTAAATACAGACTTTTTTATTATTATTATTATATTATACAATTTGTTAGATTAGGTGCTGTTATATCATATGTTTGTATATTTATAACTTAAACTCCATCTTTGTTTATATTCAAACATTGAAGAATGTCGGTGCACAAACATTATGCAATACTCCTAAGTTTGATTTTATATTTTCTCTCCAGGCTGGTCTATCAGCTAACAGCGCTGCAGTCCGCGCAGCTGCTGCTTCTTGTGTGGGTCGCCTGTGTAGTTGCATATCCGAAACAGAGAGTCAAGCGCTCAGCGAACGAGTGATCACTCTTGCTAGAACCAGCGCTAATCGACCTGTTAGAGCAGCAGCTGCGGCTGCTGTTGGTGCTGTTCAAAGAGCTAGAGGTGCTGCATCAAGTGCTGCAGCTCTCCCGGTTTTGAGGGCGTTAGCTCAAGATACTAGCGCGGTTGAAGTTCAAGTGAGTTCATACAATTTTATCCAGGTCTGTTTGATGTATTTTATATAGATGTATTAACAATTATATCTATGTGAAAAAAAAGCAAATTATTGTAACATGTTTATTTGTTATTAAATGACCGATGTCTCTAGTAATAAAGTTATTTAGTGAGACTATAACGTACAACACTTTATTTTAAGTAAATAAACGTCTATTTTTTTTATCCTTTTAATTAATGTTTATTTTGCTTTTAAAGAAAGGACAAAGTACATTTAAATATGTTTGGTAATCGAAACGTAATACGACTTTTTAGGAATATAAAAAAGATAAATCAAAGTGTTACACCATCACCGTTTTTATAACTCATTATCATCATATTAGTGTCTTTGAAAGTATTTTTTTAAAGGTTTGGGCCATACACGGCTTGTCTGTTGTGGTGGATGCTTCGGGACCAATGTTTCGCAGTCACGTCGAGTGGACGCTGTGTACTGCGCTCCGTTTGGTGTTCAATTCGCCGCCAGCTTGCGATATACTTAGATGCTCCCTTGGAAGGCTACTCGCCGCTTTAATTACTGTTCTAGGACCGGAACTTCAAGGTTGCTTACTATAACATGACTATTTTATTATTGAAGTGTGCAGCAATAGGGTACGCCTACTGTGTCTCTTTCTTTATAAATTTTAATGCCATTTGAAAGACTGAGATAAAACCTAATATGACCTAGTTTTAAATAACAAATATTTAGCAAAGTTTTCTTTACCGTTCGACAAAAACGGACAGCAGCGTTTTTGTCAAACGATAAAGAATACCATGTCTTAACTAACATATGGCTATCCCTAACATTTTTATTCTTTTTTATTAGAAAATTATACATAACAAAAGTACATTTATTTTATTTTGTCTCAGCTTGCGGCGGTGCGGCAGTAGGTCGGTTTATATGCGCTTGCGCAGCGTTACAAGAGTGCGGCGGGGGCTCTGGAGGTCCACGTGCTGAGGCAACCGGGTGTCTACAACAATTGCAGATGTTCGCCCCTCGGCACATCAATACTCATACGCTTGTACCAGCTTTATGTGTTAGTGAAAACTTAAATATTTTTTACATACTTAATAAATTGAAAAATCTCGAGACTGGGTAGCTCAATTTGTAGAGCAACAGCACGAAACGCTGCCGGTTCAAGACCTGCCCGAGTCGATATTTTTTTTCATTTTTTAAATGTATCTAACACATACATTTAAAAAATGAAAAAAATATCGACTTTTTCATTTGGAGTAGATTTTATATGTAAAGAACTCGTCTTTAAAATGCCTTTTTTGATGTGAAAAATGATTTATTCTTTTTAGCGTGACTTATCATCGCCGGAACTGTCAGTTCGACGCGCGGCTTTGTGCTGCTTACGCCAACTGTCACAGAAGGAAGCAGCTGAAGTGTGTAAATATGCCCTCTTGGCGAAGGATCACGTGCCTGCGAAACCTTATTGTGGTGCGTGTATGCCAAATTTAATAGTTACTTTATTTTACCTTTATCTAGCAATTTCTTTACTTATCTTAATATCTAATTTAAAAATCGAAAATAAATTGAAAAAATTTTTTTTCGACTCGGGCAGGACTTGAACCGGCATCGTCAGCTTTCCGTGCCCCCCCCCCCCCCCCCCCCCCCCCCCCCCCCCCCCCCCCCCCCCCCCCCCCCCCCCCCCCCCCCCCCCCCCACATTAAACCACCAACGAACCCCCCCCCCCCCCCAACAAAAACACCACCACCCCGGGGGGGGGGGGGGGGGGGAAAAAAAAACGGGCCCAAAAAAAAGGGGGGGGGGGGGGGGGGGGGGGGGGGGGGGGGGGGGGGGGGGCCGCCCCCCCCCCACAAGCCCCCCCCCCCCCCCCCCCCCCCCCCCCATTTTTTTTTTTTTTTTTTTTCTTTCCCCTTTCGAGTTTTTTATTTCCTCCTTTAACACTTGCGTATTAAACTCAATGATTTATTCTTTTTAGCGTGAACTTTTAACTCATCGCCGGAACTGTCAGAATTCGACGCTGCAAAGGCTTTGTGCTGTTGCTCTACGCCAACTGTAGACAACAGAAGGAACACAAAAAAAAAAAACCCCCCCCCCACCCCCCCCACTGCAGCTGAAGTGTGTAAATATGCACCTCTTGGCGAAGGATCACGTGCCTGCGCGGAAACCTTATTGTGGTGCGTGTATGCCAAAATTTAATAGTTACTTTATTTTAACTTTATCTAGCAATGTTTTTTACTTATCTTAATATCTATTAAGATCTAAAAAGTATAGGACTGATGTCATATTGTCGTACTTGTAGGAAGATTTTTTGATTCTCAATGACGAAACTACGTGTTTAAAATAATAGCAGCGTACTTAAAAAAACTGATCTATTGTTTACAGGTGTAGTGATTACGGAAACTGGTCTTCCGGGCGCACTCTTCGCTTTCTTAGATATAGAGCGAGACGAGACAGCATTATCGTACGCTCGCGATACGCTTACTTGCTGCTTGCTGGCCGCTGCAGCTAACGGCACTATACGAGATTGGCTTGCTCTAGCTAAAAGAGTCCTGACAGTCAAATTAGGTATAACATACATTCTGTATTTCACTTATTTATGTCAACAAAAAAAACAGTAAACTAAAATATAACTATAATTATTTCGGTTAATGATATTCTATTTAGTTAAATAGATATGATTTAATACAGATATTTTAAAATATAATTTTTAAGTAAAAAGACGCCGCTTTTTAATAAAAATAAATTCAGTTCCAACATAAGATAGCTAATATAAATCGTCGAGTTCTTTAAATATTTATCGTGCCTTCATAATCAGACCCCAAACGATAGCCACAATCTAAGTGTAAAGTTCTAGCTTCTAGGTAGCTACTGATTTCTCTGGTCTGTTTGACTTTGATTTCCTTATATCATTTGGAATTATCTACATTCAAAAATCGAATTGAAAACCTACGTTTTTTCTAATGTCGGTTAAAAAGAGCTACTTATGATGTTTTTAGAGGACAGCAACAACCCAGACACAGACTTGGACCAAGAAGGAGATGACGACCAGGCTGAGTTCCACGCAGAATCGGAACAGTCCACGCATCCCGCTGTACAACCGAGGTGGCCGACACGAGTAAGTTAAATTAAATTATCGGTATCTATACATATTTAATTTATCATGATTTTACGAATCATGTTTGTTTTAGGTTTTCGCAATGGAATGTATTCAGAAGATAATGTCAGCGTGTGAAGCGACCGGAGATATCGCACATTTTGATCTTGTCAAAGCCAAGAGGAAACTGAATGACAATAATGGTAAAATATACTTTAAATGCTTTTTTCGACAACCAGTTACAATGTTATATTTAAAATATTATTGTTTTATTCCAGGCGACTATTTGTCTCTCCATCTATCAGACTTAGTTCGAATGGCTTTCGTGGGTGCGACGGGTGAATCGGACGCATTGAGGTTATGCGGTCTGAAGACTTTGCAAATGATTATCCAGCAGTATGCGCGTGCGCCGGAACCAGACTTTCCCGGGCATTTACTCATGGAGCAATATCAGGCACAGGTAAGTCCTTCTTTCCTGTGTCTACAATACATATATTATGAATAATTTCTGTGGGTAGTTGTTTTTTACCTTTTAACAGCAAATATAAATCGGTTCAAAAACAAATCATTTTTTTTCATCCAGGCAATTACATATAACTAACACATTCTTAACTAATAATTCTTATAAATAAAATATTATCAAACAAATGTGTTCTTCCTTGCAAAATTACAATATTTTTACTACACAGTTGTGTAGTGTGTATAATAACCAAGAAACGTATATTTCTTCTCTTTAGGTTGGTGCTGCAGTGCGTCCCGCGTTCGCTGGTGACACTGCATCTCATGTAACAGCGGCTGCTTGTGATGTTTGTTCTGCGTGGATTGGCTGTGGCGTAGCTAGGGATATTAATGATCTACGAAGGTTAGTTTTATTATAGTTGGAAAAAGGGTTTTAAAACCAAAATGTTCCTTTTATATATCGATTTACTTTTGTTTATCGATAAGATTTTACAATTATTTAAAAAAGGTAACTTTTTTTAGGGTTCACCAACTTCTTGTATCCAGCTTGGACAAATTGAATAAAAAAGGAAACACTACATTGATATACAATGAAAGCATGGCGACACTGGAGAAATTGTCTATTTTGAAGGCTTGGGCTGAAGTAAGATTTTGCTGATATAAAATAAATACCTACTGATATGAATAATCCTCCGAGTTAGCGGGGACGACACAACACTACTGCGACGCGATAACTGCGCACGCCCCCGCACTAGCTGAGGAACTGTCAAATACGAACGCTGTCGCGCATTTTGTCGGCTAAGCCTAATAAATGAATATTTTAGAGTTTATACTTAGGAGACTAGTACCAAAACTAAATCGACGTTATAAGTGCATACAATTACATATCCAATTGATTGTATTCTACATTACATTACTATTTGTAATTAACAATATACTTTTAGGTGTACATAGTAGCGATGGTGAGCAACGACAGCGCTCCCGGTAGCTACGTAAAGCAGCTTGACACGAAACCGATGAACAATCAATCGGAATTAGCCAAGTGGAAGAACCAAGTACTACAGAACAACAATGAGATTGATAACGCTAATATTGAGGACGAAGAGGATGATTATGGGGAATTTGAGAGCAAAGGAGAGAGCTTATTGAAACTCGTCGAACCAGAGTTGGAAAGCCTTAGTGAGAACTGGTTGGCCGCGTTGAGGGATCATGCTTTGTTGAGTTTACCGCCTGGTATGTTATTTAACCTAACACATTTTAAGAAATTTCTGCTCGTAGAACTAAAAGACATTGAAATATTTAAATGTACAGTTATTATTAGGTCTATTTCCATATAAAAATAATAGATCTGAGCAATATTTTATTTTTAAAGTTATTGTACTAGTCTGGCTCAAAGGACCAAAACCATACATTATAACTTTTATTTGTAAAAGTTATAATGTATGGTACTTTATGGTACTTTTATTTTGAAGATCCCTGACGAGGTGCTTATTTCGTATGGTTTTGTATGTTCTATCATTAATGTTGCTATTTTTGTATTTATTATTTTTATTATGAAGAGTTTGCATCGCAATTACCGCACGGTGGTGGAGCTTTCTACTCAGCGGAGACGGCAGATGGCTCTCGCGCACATTACGCGACTGCTTGGCCGTCGTTGCTGTACGCGGCAGCACTTAGATACAACGCTAGTTTTAAAAACATACCATCGCGTAGTGGTAAGTTATCTATCTATATATTTCGTGTAGTGGGCGAAACATATTTGGGTACAAATTCAAGAACAAATGTTTTTTCAGAAATGACGGATAATTTGGACAACAAAATAACGAAGACGGAGAACGGTAACTTTGAGTTTTTTGAACCTGTAGACGAGAGATTTCATCTTCTTTTTGGTAAGTGTTGGTAATAACTTTATTTGGAAATCAACAAGCTATTCATACTTCTTAAGATCTGTATATTGTATAATAATACTTTGTAGGTATTTGCATGGAAGCTTTGTGCGCACAGCGTGATATGAGTGTGGACAACACAATATCGGTTCTGTTGTCGTTAGTTACTTTGCTGGACGCGCCAGAAAACAGAGCGAGGCTTCTCAAGGAGAGGTAGTTGTTATTCTAGTTATATTCACCAAGATGTAAATCATTGAACATTAGAGCCATTAAGTATTTCTCAATATGACTACATTTTACTTATGAATGTTATTTATCACTTTTATTATTTTAAAGAAGGGTAAATAAATAATTTCCTGCAAATAAATTTTGCGTGTTTCAGAGCTTTGGCTATTGAATTGTGTCAAATTATTCACCGAAGCGGTCTAACGCAAGAGAGTGTAGAAGCTTTGCTGTTAGCAGCTGATGTTTTGCAACTGGTGATTGTTGGAGCAAGGGAACAGTTGCACGAGCAGATGCAACAGAAAATCAAAGGTAAAAATATGTTTTTTAATACGATTTGGCCAAATTAAAAAAAATAAAAATAATAAGTGTAAATTTTCTATAAGAAAAGTTTTTTTCTCAAATGGTTTTGCCCAAAATAGAAATAATACAATATTTAAAACAAATTACTCTGTTTCCAGAATTGGCACCAAACGAAGCTAACGACGGACAAATCCCACAATCAGTACTAGAAGTGGTCCATACTTTAGGCGAAGGCGGTCCTACAGGGGATTTACCGCCGGGGAAGTCCCTGGTCTTCGCTTGCCTGGAAGTCTGTCTCTGCTTCCTCGTCAGACGCTTACCGACCTTAAGCCCTTTGAAACAGGAAGGTCGGGTGGGTGTTATTGGCGTGAGGAAGGGTTTGGGTGTACACGGCGATACGTTGTTGGTGAAGAGTCTCATGTCGATGTCGGAGTTGACTACGCTTACTAGTCCCCAAGGTATTAAGATTCTTTCATACTTTTTATATACAAATTAAAACGCTCACACCAACAATTCTTACAAGAGAATTGACTTGTTTAAATTATGAGTTACTTATTGGTTATTTATTATTTCTCCATCAAAATTTTAATGGCATTTGTGAATGACCACTGTGTTTTTAAACTATAATCGCTTAACATTTTTACATAAGGCTTACTTCGTTTTTACTATCTGAGATCTACCATCGATAAAATAACAAATCCTATTTAACTTAATGATGTTTATTATAGTAACTAAATACATCTTATCTAATTTCTAGGAGCCCTATCCCTCCTCCCAAGTATCTTATACCTAGCAACGGAAGTGCTGCGCTGCAGCAAAGGGGATAATATAGTGAGTTCAGCCGGAGTGCTGCTGCTTCAACGTTCTGCTGAATGTCGGGTTGCGCGTGTCACGGAAGAAACGCGAGCTGCGCACACGCAGCTATTACAGACGACTTTAGCTAAACTTGTTGAGAGAGTAAAAACCGGTAAGTTTTTTTTACTAGCTAAGTCGTCGTTGCTAGTACAATTATAACCGGCCTAGCATGGGCAAACAATGGAATCTTTTATTCAAATTTTATGTTAACATATTAATGTACAAATAGGTAAAGTAATGTCTTATTTTAGAGGAAAGCGAGCAGCGTATAGAAAGCGTGGCTGGTGCCAGGGCGATGGCGGTTTTGCTGGCAAGAGTTCCACCGGTCCCTTTGCTGCATTACCCCTGCATCAACCATTTGAGACACTGCCTCGATACTAGGGATAATGAGGTGAGAAAATTACGGAGCAAGGTTTATGTTTCCTTGATTAAAATTTCACTAATCTATTTTGTGTGTGTGGTTAAGTTTGTTTGACATAATACATTATTCTTTCCAAAGAAATAATTGTATATTAATTTCTTCTTGTTTTTCTTATTTATTTATATACACACACACACACACACACTTGCCCAGGTATTCGCATCGTGTTGCGTAGTGCTCCGCGAAATATGGTCGCGAACTGCTCCCCCCCAAACTGTATCGTGGTGGGCGCGCGCTCTTGCTGCTAGACTCGTAGCCAGGGCTGCTACCGCCTCGCAGGCAACGGATGCTGCTCATGTCAGGGCTGCTACATCAGCGTTATCCGCTTTGACTGAGCTTGTACTAGCTGCACCGAGTGCTGGACGTAAGTTCAACTCTAAGCTCTAATTTTAATATAAGATTTCGTCAATAAATTTACTTTTCAATGTTAAATTCGATTTAAATACTCCTGACTTCTGATTAAGTTTAAAGTAATTGTAAAATCGAAATGAGAATCTTTAATATTATCAAGATTTCAAATATAACTTTTCTATTCTTGCTGCTTAGATGATCCACATAAAGGTAAAGTATAATTATTGTTTCATAAGAAAACCTCAATATAAATTACAACAATGCGTTTACATTCAAAACAAAATAGATAACAAATAAAATGGCGGCTCGACGTAATTACAACGATGATAGTTTAAAGTATTACATTTATTTATTTTTGCATAACAGGTGTGCAGCTCCTTTGGCTGCTAGTACCAATAGTAATATCGTATCTGCGCGAAGGATCAGTTCCGGCGCATGTCAGATCTCTTCACGAGTTCGCTCTTCAATGGCTCATGAAGATAGGCCCGCAACATCCACAGGTATTGTTTCAGTTGAGGGCTCTCTTGATGGAATGTGAAATATTTTATCCATATAACACTCAAATACGTTGCACTGTTGAACTATTTTGGCTTTGGACGTTCGGAAATTCTTAGATTAGGCCGAAATTAAATTGCTCGCTTTTTCACCATGGAAGACCCGGTTTTGTGACCCGGCCGAAATTTTCGATGTACATACCACCCATTTATATCCAGATATCCAATCGGAGTCCAATATGTTTTAGAAAATTTAAAAATGTATAACGAACATATTAAGCCCGGTGGGATTGAATCCATGACCGCTGGATTATTAGATATCATTTTCTATAGTTATTATACTGCAGATCGTAGCCAAGTAATAAGCGAACGATCTCCCAACTAAGTATAAAACAAAGATCCCATTTGCCTTATCAAACATAAGCTGACACACTTCTGTGTCATGTATTAAGGTTTACATTACATTCCGTGTGAAATGCATTATGTATAAAGAAATTCGATTTAATTTAGTTTTTTTTGTTCATATAAATAGATTTTCAATCAATATACTTAGTTTTACATTGTTATTTCGTAGGAGTTTAAGGCTATAATGCAGCAGTCTTCGGAACTACGCACGAAACTAGAGAATGCGGTTAAGGCCAACCAGAACTCTCGCAACACAGGCCCTGTTACGCGACCCGTGTTCGAATCCCGACCAAACAAACCCGCGATACAACTCAAGACGGACTTCAGCGATTTCAGATAGACATTAAATGGTAAATTATATGTTCCTAGCATTAGTTGACAATATATTATATTATAATGTAAAAGGAGTGACATATAAGTATTATAAGATTTTACGCCAGTAGTACACATTTAAATAAAACATTTTTAAGGTGTTTAAAACGTCAAATATATACGCCGTGACCAGGGCTGCTGCAAAGCATCCGGGCCGTTAATAAATTAAAAATACGTTAACTAACATGTTCCACGCTTTAAACCGTTAAGTGTGTTTTATTTAAATATTATATGTTCTTTGTAACCTGTCAGCCAATTCATTGATATTAACTATATAATAAATTGAGTTTTTAATATAGTCACTCAAAACAAAATGTGTAAATGTGTAAACGAAATTATATAAAAAAGTATGCCATAAGTTAATCACGATATAACTTATATTAATTTTATTAAGAACATACATGCATTTTTCTAGATTTTCAGAGCATAGCTCTACTACGAAGGAACGTTAAGCATGAAATTATCAATAATTATATTATATTGAATTTTAAGATAAATAGAATGGTATGGATGTAAACTACGACTAGTAAATTAATTAATATTAAAATAAATTATTCTTATTATGGACCATACAAAAATACATTATGAAACAAAGTAAATTCTACTAGTGACAAGGTAGAAAACATGAAAAAATGTCTTTTGCATTGATATATCTGTTATATTTCATTGTCTATTTGTGCCCCAAAACTTATATACGATGTTTGAAATCCAAAAAATACTACTTACTACATATAGTCACAAAGAAAAAAATACAGAGTATTACTGTAAAGTTCCCGTGTAAAAATGCTTAAATCTCAAACAGTGTCCTCTTTTTTATCGATGTTGAAATTATTTAAACAAACCTGTGATAATTATTATTGGATTGCCAAAATGCTGTGTGTTATTTCACATATAATGTCACTGCCCTCAACTTCCAAGGAGGCTAATTTACCCTTTTAATTATACGAAATAATCCTCATTATAACTTGAATAAATTTTAGATTTTTTTCATTGTGTTTCATTTGCTAAAATTGTTTTGCAAATGAATGCTTATCTGTTAATTACATGTAGTATAAAACCATTTAATGAAACGGACACAAAAATATGTCACTCCAAGCCACGCTTAGTGAACATTGGATTTTACACAAGAGATGTTCTGAAAACAAGAATTTAAAATATGGTTTTTGACTGTTTTGATTTTACTCGTTCCTTCGTTGTTTAATGTAAAGTAATTGATGTTTTAGTATAAGATATAAGGTTGTGATCAAAAATATTCACGACAAAATAAAAGTCTTGATTTTTCTTTAAATACGTCAATTATATTAATTAGGTAGGCTTAATTAAACTTAGTCCTTTTAACCTTCGTCGACAACTAACTTGTCTTCACCACTCTCAGAATCACTTTTCAATTCGATGACTTCGGTCGGGGCCGATTTTCCGTTCTCAGGTTTTACGGTTGCTTCTGAAAAAATGCTTTAAGATTAAACTCAAAATTTTGCGTTTTAAGAGAGGACTGCCTACTTTCTATGGCAGACATAGAATGTACAATATTATATTAAATTCTAATAATAAAAAAAACTAGGCTTTCAATACCGAATTCTTAAGTTATTATGTATTTTGGTATAGATACTCGATAGGTAACTGATAATTGATAAAATAAGTAGTTAATTTATTTGTAAGTAAGCCTTAACTTATTTATAATAAGTAATTAATTGACCTAATAAGAAATGGACTCAGTATTTGTTATCAACACTTCTGATAATTTGGTAGCAGGAAAATCATTTAACGAAACTCACTTCTAAGAAACGCGGGCGGCAGAGTGGCGACAGTGAGATACCCGGTGTGACCGGGCGTCGATGCTGGCCAGGCACCTACCACGTAGCTCTTGTCACTCGACGGTTTTTCTTCTACTGGATTATCGACACTCTGAAGCAAAAGACTTTCGTTTAAATTGTACATACAATAACAAATAAGAGTTAGAAAATAATAATATTTTTTTATCGTGTGGAAAGGTATTTAAGGGAGATTAAAAAATAACGAAAAGGTAAAGTTTAGGAAAAGTACACTTATAAGTATTGACTTATATACAAGAGCAGTACATATAACAAAATTAATTTTGACCGACTTAAAACGCCATTGATCTATTTTAAGTAGGACTTGACGATTCGGACGCCTAGCAGCAGCAGTCGGCTTGATTTAATAAATCTAAACAATTACACTTAGTTCACATTAAAATAAAACACTTAACGGGTCTCCCCATGACTGCTGCAACAAATCTGCGAAACGTTGCGCCGTAGTGTGCAAAAGGTTTAAAAGAATTTATTTTCTCAAAGAATATACATATTCACTTATGAGAAACATTAATGCTTAAACTTAATGTGTTTACATGATCGGACTTTAATTAAACGAAACATGAATAAAAACATGCTTATATATTATATTATATGAATAAGATATTTAACTGGGCGTTTTTAAAACTTCAGAATTTAGTTATCAGATATTAAATTAATAAGTTTAACTAATATATTTCACTCATTCTTTTGTCCCTCATATCATTGTTTTTGCGAACAGCCCGAAAAACAATGATATGCTGAACGATGGTCGTGAAAGCCCTATACAATTTACTTTTCCCTCTACCCTGAAACTTGCAATAGAGTTTCAATCTTCATTAAAAATTATTATCAGCTTCACTGAAGTGATTAGAAAAGGAATTATAGTTCGAAAATAATAACGCAGCAAAATTATGTTCAACATCCTTATTCGGAGGACGAGTCTATCAGTTTTAATCCATGACATCGATAATAACTGAACGCCATGACCCCCTTGCTAGAGTACAGTCGTGAGGAAAATTCACAGAACCACATACTCAAGTGAATACTTTTCAGTAAAATATCCAATAGAAAATTCCACGTTCAACTTCTGTATATTTATTTAACAATGAATCTACATTATATTGCGTGCTTTTAAACGTGATAAATTCCACGAATGTTGTGTCTACAACATTCCTTTTTTAGTTGTGTCGAAGACTAAAAATTCACTACTGTTTTTTTATAGATTGCTTGCTTATGAACTAATGTTTTTCAGCAATCAATCATAACATATTTAAGTTGATAAAAGATAAAGGAAAAACCAAACTGAAAACTATCTGAAAATAGAAAACATTATTTCATGTTGTCCACCAAACAATTCTGTTGTTTAATATATGTTAACTGTTAAACAACTATTTTACATCAGGAAATAGAAAACATTACTTCATGTGTTGTCCACCATAACAATTCTGTTGTTTAATATATTATGTAAACAATTAAATTTGATGAAGTCTAGTTACCCCCTGTAGTCATATTTTTGTACCGTTTATCCTGTCTATAGTTTACGCGAGTAGTACAACTAGTAGTAGTAGTAGTAACTAATATATCGCGTTTTAAACCGTTAAAGTGTTTTATTTAAACCGTTTATCCTGTTCGATTTTACACTCCTGTGCCCTCCCAACTGAAGCAATTTATTGTTTCCCTAGATCCGAACCTAGGGCCTCTCGTTCTTAATGCTATGCCCATACAAATAGATGGTTAGAAGCAATTAAAGTGTGCAAAAGGGATTTTAACCACAGATCAAGGATTAGGAATATGTGGCTTGTCCACTTAACTGTACCAGTACAGTCGAGCACGTATACCCCAGGTGCATGGTAAAGCAACATAGATGTTGATCTTACACATTTAGCGTGTCGATATCATCGCGTACACGCAACTCGTTCCAACTCTTAATCGCTATGTAATTACGGCATTAGCGCACCGCTAATCCGTGGATTTACGCGGTTATAATTGACTAACAAAGCGCTAATCGATCAGTAAATATGCTATCGATCCACGTATTTGATATGACTATTAATGAATACGTATAGTATATTCAGGTATTTGCGGCTATTTTAATATTACTTGAGTTACGTACATTATAGATTCCTCCTTTGTTTAATATTAAAACTAGTGTAATCATAACTACAAACCAATTGAGGCTCGAGTCTCAGACCTCAATGAGACATATACAAAACATTAAAATTATTTTTCTTAATTGGTCTCGACAGACCGATGACTAAAAAATTTGTTAAGTCAACATATTTAAATGAAACATTTTAGCGGCTAACTTCTCTTAGTTTATTTTAACTACGGCGCAATGATTCGGATATTTTGCAGCAGCTATGATCACGGGATGACTGAATAGGGTATACTAAATGTCAGTGAAATCTTCTACGCTAGCGCCATCTGCTTCGTCGTACTTTGTATTTTGGGGTCACCGTAGCAGATGGTACTTTGATATTAAGGCGTTAAAGGACACCTACCCTCCATGAGCAGTAAACAAGTTAACTAATATCGTTCGCGTTTAAAACCGTTAAAAATGTCTCATTTAAATGTGTACTACTCGCGGTAAACTACATATAATTCTTAAAGTATGAAAAAAATATATATAAAAACTTTCATTTTTTACATTATCAAAAGTTCACCTCTCAAAAACGATCACGCGATTCATAATCTTCGTATCAATTTCTTTAAGTAGTGTTTACTGACTTTCTATGCTTGAATTTTAAAGATAACAAAATTTCACTTCGGCGCTTCGCTATAATTAAATTCATTAAGCGGCACATACAAAGGCGCTACGGTTGCTGTCATCGGCCTATGTATTTATTGCGAAGTGATGATCACTGATGTTTAGCGCCCTGTCATTATTGCGGTGGCGCCAGAACTATTGCCTTTAATCTTAGGCATAGGCTGGGTTCGTGAGGTGTGACAGTTTCGTGCCTTTCAAAATATGGTGTACTTGTGTGCATGTAACCTAAAGTACAAGTAAATATTAATCCCCGTGACCACGGTTGTTGTAAAGCATCCGAATTGTCGAGCTTTAGTTAAAATAAATTAACTAATAGATTTCGCGTTTTAAACCAGTGTGTATAACTAGCGTAAACTACAGATAATACTTATAAGCAAGTGGTTGATAAGGACATCTATGCCCTGAAAGCCTTATGTACGGATAAGGTAACGGCCTTTAAATCTGTTCCAACTCTCATTTGCCAATGATCTATACATGTACTCAAAGTACATTAAGTTCGTCCCAGTACATTACCCTAATTGAGACTTCGCGACCGCAACGCAAACTTGAGGTTCCGCTCCTAACCTCGACCCAAGTACACAAATACATGGAAAATTGCGCAATACTTATAGAACCTTTTGATAACTGTACGCAGTTTAGAGAAAATTATGATCGTTTGAGCTCTAAACGAGGCCTCTGCAGCTTGGTGGATGGTTGTTTCAAACTTAATTATATGGATTTTAACTATGTTATCTATCGAATAAGATAGTAAACTTATCTTTAATTCTATGCCTGAGATGACTTTAAAATCCCAGGTTTTAATCCCGGGAAAACAAATACTATTACATAGTACTATTTCACATATGACGGTCACATGAATACTTTAATTTATGTGTCTTAACAAACTTATTAAGACACATTATAATATATGTAAATTAAAGCAACTATTCAAACCAAAAACTGGGTACCTACGTAGAGAAGACTAGATTTATTTTTATCTATTTTAATACATATATTTATTATTCACAACATATGAAATAAGCGATTTTGCGTTTGTTTTGTAAACTTAGGTACTTATTTGTAGTTAACGAATAAAGAAAATCAATATACATATTCTTGTACCAAGTGAATTTGACGTTTAAAGGCATTTTTTCGTTCATAAAAATAATGATGATGTTTAGTTACGATGCAAAATATTGACGTAATTCAGATCGATAGAGACGTAAGATTCTTCCACGATGCAATGTTTATTGTAGAGGTAAAGGGTCATAGCGAATCTGTGCGATAATAACGCCAACGTCAAGTTTGCCAGCAAAACAACATAATACTCGGCCCATCTTGCGCGCACGCACACCGCAATTACGTAACATAAATTTATTCAAACCCCGAACGCGCCGTGATCGATGCTCTTTCGCGTTCGAAAATCGAACAAAATATCGTTGTTGCATTTGATTTATCGATCCAAGTTCATAAATCACCTTAAACAACAACTTAATTCGATAATATAAGGCTGAAAGCCGAACATGCACAATGCCTGCAAATTAATTTTATTTACAGATTAATTTTGATCACCATTATGGTTTATCTATTAAACATGTCGCATATAATTACTTAAAGCAGGACGATTCTTGGGTTCGAGTTCCGGTGAAAGAGATAAAGCAGTTTGTTTTATTAGGGCACGGAAAGCTGGAAACCTTTTAATAAAGAAATACATCCGATAGGAAGTAAACCTGATGCCACGCTTCAAGCATTAATAATACAGGCGATCATAAAGAAATAATAATAGAAAATATCGATCAACACCACAGATAAAACAATAAACCCGAGATTAAAATGTAAAACCTTCACGCTGTCAACACAAAATTTAACCTCTCTGGATGACATGGGAAAAAGAAAACAGAATTCAAAAAAGAACAAGCAGCAAAGAGGCGCATTAAGAATTGAGATAAGAGAGATGGACGAGCACTCAGCGGCGCGCGGCCATCTTTATTATTTATTGACACTTAAAATAATTACTTGCTCGTTGGCCCGTGCCGGAATGGCGTCTAATATTGGTAATTTACTAAAACGATTGATATACATACTTAATTAATTTGTACCATAAAAATATTTAGCGACATTATTATTGACGGAACACTTGCATTATTCCTTTTCTTTCGATAAAAAAAAGAAGCAGATTACTGAAATTATGATTTAATTATTGAAAGACAAATTACCATTAAAATATGGAATACTGATATTTTAAAATGTAAAGTTAACGTTATTTATAATATGTAGACAAAAATAAACATAATTTAAAAAGAGCCCCAAAAACTCGGTCTGGAGTTTAAAACCCCTCACAATAAATG